CACTGGATCGGCGCCGTCAAGGCCTAGCCAGCCGAGGCCCGGCCAAGGCTCGGCCTTGTTTGGCTGCTTGTCGACGTGTGGGCGACCCGCGCCGGCCTGTGGCTGGAGCCCCGCCGAGGCCGCCATGAATGACAGGCAGGCGGGCATGAGCGGAGCCCACTTTAGCACTACGCGTGGCGCGTTCCCCGAGCCAGCCTAAACCAGCCCGAACCCGCCACCGCGCGGCGCGTTGACGCACGCCATACTCTCCTGCTGACCCACTGCACGTGCTTGCCGAGGACGCAGAAGACGCCGAGGACGACGGGACAGATTGGCAAGGACGCCGGGCGACATTTTTCCAGACCACTCCCCGCCGCGCCGCTTCAAGTTGTCTGCCCGCCCGCCTCGCCCCTCCGCGCCCCGCCGCTCCAAACTTTGCCTGACGGCTGAGTGCAGCCGGGCCACGGGCCAGCCTGTCACGCAAATAAACCACCTACGACGGCGCGTGTCCTCTGCCCTCCCCCTGGCCTCCCCCTCCCCGTCGCACCGAGGTGTCCCGCGACGAGAAGGGCCTTCTCGTGTTCTCTGCGCGCGTGGTCGTGTCATGGCTGCTTCGCCCCGGTCGAGGGCTCGGTGGGGGTGTGTGGAAGAAGTCCGTTTGATGCACAGGGTAGCATGCCTGTGGCACGCCTGTGGCACGCCTGTGGCATGCCTGTGGTGGCCGGACCGGCCGAAACAAGGGATGACCGTGTCTTTGTTGTCCACGGCGCCGCACGGCCACGCACCACGCCTCAGTATTACGGTGGTAGGAGGCCTTGATCACGACCGGCCTCTAGTTTCACAGGCAGGGGCGGGCCGCAGCCAGGCCGCAGGCACCACACCGCCGTTTAGTACCACGCTCACGTTTCATTTTTCGAACCTCCCGCCAAATACTCCAACTTCACACGACAAAAATTAAGTACCGTGCGAAAACGCTGTAAAAAAGGCCACCCCTCCCCTCGTGCTGTCTGGACGCGAGCTGTAATTAGATCGGCCGAGGCAAACACTGCGACCAGTTAGTGCCTCCCCCTCCCCTGTAGTGCACCCCGCCCCCTTCCCCTCCCCCGGGTGTCGTCCAGCGGCACCCCCTCCCTTATTAGGCGCTGCTGGCGGGCGCTGGCGCGCTGGCGGTGCGGAGCCATGGCTGGCGGTGCCGGCGGTGCCCCGTGGTCATGCCGACCAGGCAGCCAGCCAGGCCATGGCCATGTGATCCCTGTGTAATGAGACCGACTGGCTGCAGGGGGGGGGGGGGCAGGTTATTGGGGCGGACGGCCGAGACAGGGCTTAGATTCGATTAGTTGTGCGGGGGGGGGGGGGTGAATACCACGCTACGTGTCACTCGCTATCGGGACTGCGGAGTATGGACTGCGAACAGCCTGCCAACAATGCTTTGTTCCTGGTCAGAACAGTGCACGGAACAGAATTACCGAGCAGTTCACCGAGAAGGCCCACGTCCACGATGAAAGAGGGAAAATTTGCTGTGTACGACTAGCGGGAGCCCCTCGCTGCTGTGGACGAGTGCACTACAGTGCACATCAAGCCTCGATGAGTGCTGAGCCAACAGCCACGCCCATGAGTGCTTGCGGCGAAAAGACCCAGCCCGCCCTTAGCCTTGCTCGCAATCTGTCCCGCCGTGCTGCCGTGCTGCCGTCCGCCGATCAGCCATTCTCTCAGTTTCAATTTCCCGCCGCAGTTATTACTCTTCCCCCCGGCACACGCCGGAAGTTTATCATCGGGTATGAAATTTTGATCGTCCCTTCCAGCGGTGGTGGCGCGCCGTGGCGGCGTGACCACGACGCGGTGTACTCCCTCTGTACTCCGCGACGCCGCGGCGCTGCGATGCGGCAGGTGGCGCTAATCTTCGCGTCGGAGGGTCGCATCATTATCGCGATCCTCGCCGATCCGAACCGCGACGTTGACAAATGGCGGCGGCTTCCTTCGCGCCGTGGCGTGCCGTGCCAGGCCGGGCCGTGGCGTGCCGTGCCAGGCCGGGCCGTGGCGTTGCCAGGCGGCGGCTCCTCGGCGCCGTGGCGTGCCGTGCCAGGCCGGGCCGTGGCGTGCCGTGCCAGGCCGGGCCGTGGCGTGCCGTGCCAGGCCGGGCCGTGGCGTGCCGTGCCAGACCGCCAGGCTGGGGGCTGCTGCTTCAAGGCCCGATCGCATCACCGCGGCTAAAGTGCGCAGTTCAAGCGCAGAGTATGTACAGGACGAGCCGCTAAAAAAAAAGGTTTGTTTACTCAAAAATGCGGATGAAACAAACAAAAAAACAAGAGGTTGCCGAACTTATTGTTCCCATCACTGGAAGGAAAGAAAAACGAACAACGATTGTTGCGCTCTTTAATTTTGCCGCGCTCCCGGCGGACGCGGTTCTTCCTGGAAGTTTCGCCTCCCTCTCTCTCTCTCTCTCTCTCTCTCTCTCTCTCTCTCTCTCTCTCTCTCTCTCTCTCTCTCTCTCTCTCTCCTTCCCCCCCTTATTAAGCCGGTGGCCCCGATGAGCCGTGCACTCAGCACGGCCCTCGCTCGCCGGCCTCGCCCACGTCGCCTCATCAGCCACGCGACGAGCGAGCCCGTCCTGGAAGACGATCTTCATCGGGGATAATCCTTCACCTCCAGCAGGTGCGCGCGGCAGCGGCAGCAGTGGGGCGGGGCAGCACGACCCCCTGGGGTGTGCACTGGCTGCGTCACAACTCACTGGCCGCCTGGCCGATGACATCGCAGCCGGCACGTCGCTGGGTCCATTTTTTCAGGCGGGAATGTATTTTTCCAACTGACGAATCCTTTACTCTAAAACGTGCCTGACAGTACAAGTCACATGAAGGCGTCAGTTTCCTTCTATTTGGTTTGCCAATCGGAAAATGGGTGGATTAGGGTGTCTCTTTCAAACCGGGGGAAGACAATGGTTGCGTTCGGAGGCAGCCGGCCGGGCGGGGCGCGGTGGGGCTGGTACTGCGGGTCGATTGGCCGATTAATCCCGGGATAAGCACTCCGCGGCGGTGCCCACTCCAAGGCTCCGAGGTGGTCCGCTAATTACTCCTGTACTGTGCGCGCTGTGCGCCGAAGACTCCCACCTGGCCGGTGGCCTTTTGGAGCAGCGGCAGGAGTAGCAGCCGCCCTCTGCTTCCTCCAGGCCGCCAGGGCCGCCAGGGCCGCCAGGGCCCAGTGGAGCGCATGATATCATTTATCGAAGCAGGCCAGCAGGGCGGGGAGGGGCGGGGCAGGCGTTTACGGCGCGGGCTATTTCAGCGCCCCTGGAGCGCGCGGCGGCGACGACGTGGGCCTGTTTGTTATTGGCGGCAGGCGGGGCTGGCGGGGCTGGCGGGGCGGGCAGGCCGACGGCGAACACGCCGCGCCCTGTCTCTCTCGCACTCACGGGGCGGCCCGGGGTGCGAGGGCCGCGGGTGTCCTGTGCTGCCGTTCCGGACGTTGCCGGCGTTGGTGGTCACGCCCCAGCCCCCCGACTGGGCTGTCCTCCTGGCCCTACCGGCCCTACCGGCCCTACCGGCCCTACCGGCCCTACCGGCCCTACCGGCCCTACCGGCCCTACCGGCCCTACCGGCCCTACCGGCCCTACCGGCCCTACCGGCCCCACCGGCCCCGGCGGCAAGGTGCCCGAGGCGGTGGCGCCCGGTGATCCGACCAGCACTGTGGCGTCTAATTGCAGGCCCATGAATTCATAACGACCACATCACTCCCGTCAACGGCCGTCGCCCAAAGGCCGGGCCCAGGAGGCGGGCCGTGGGCAGGGCGTGTTCAAGGGTTCAGGGTTCAAGGGTTCAGGGTTCAGGGTTCAAGGGTTCAGGGTTCAAGGGTTCAGGGTTCAAGGGTTCAAGGACGCCCGGAACATGCCTTATGCAGACGGCCTCGCCGCCCTCAATGGCACTTCAATGGGCCTCATTGGGGGCTGGTCGGCGTGGAGTGGACACGGCAGCTTAGTGGCCCCCGGCAACTCGCACCAACCCACGCCAACCCTTACTAACCCACACCAACCCTCACCAACCCACACGCCCGCCTCGCGAGTTCCGTACTGCCGTTCTCTACGCCAGGTGTGTCACCTCTGCTTTCCCAAGTATTTTTGCGGTTTATTTTTGCGGGGTTGGGCTGAGCGCGGAAGGGGTAGACTGGGGCGGGAGGCATGAGGAGAGCCCAACGCATCCTGCCTCCTGGAATCCCCAGCCCCAGGACGGCGAGGCGGGGGTGTCACTCCATTCAAATTCACACTGCAGTGAATCACCAGGCCGTCCATACTGCCCCCGGTCCCCAGCCCTCTCGCTCCACTTTGGCAAAGGCGGGGGCCATTTTTTTCGGTGTGTTCCTGTGTGAAAGCGGGGGGGGGGGGGGGCAGTGCGGCGCCGGCGTGGCGGCCCGAGGCACGCAGCAGATATCTGGGAGCAGACCATGCAGCACGACTAGACAGAGAGCCGTAGCGCTGCCGCCTCTGCCGCTGTTATCGCCCTGAAGGACGGCCAATGCTCGGCCAATGGGGGCGCTTCGAAACTCCCCCGCCAGGCGGCCGGTCCTCCTGGTTCAAGCGGGGCCCGGGGCAGATACGGCAGACTGCTTCATTGCGCCGCTCCCCGACCCTAACGGCTGGCCGACGTCGCAATCATTTTCATCCTCATTGCGATTGCTTCGCGCGATTCGCAATAATTCGCAATAACTCGCAATCCTCGCGGTTGCCGGTGAATGCGCCGCGCTGCGCGGCTTGCTTGTTAGCAGGTGTGCCGGAGCATTCCGGGGACGTTCCGGGGACGTTCCGGGTGCCGCGCCGCGCGCCCTCTGTCTCTCCGGGGAACTTTAGCCCGGAAGTACAAAAGCAGCTGTGCGGCAAACTCTCGAGTTTGGCGGAGAGAGGCGCACATGCCGCGGAGACAGAGAGGGAGCGAGACGGTGACGCGTTACGTCGCCAAGGGCCGGATTCGCTTGCTTCGCTCCCTGCCATTCAAACTGTCTGTCCTCTGTGTTGCAGCGGCGGCCGCGGACGCGCACGCCGGCGACGATGTGCTGCCGCAGGACGGGTCGTGGCTCGGCGACGACGACTACCCCGCGCTCAACGGCACCAACGTGGAAGAGGTGAGGTGGCCGTCCGACGACGGCAGGGTTCCGGGTTCAAATCCGCGAGGGTTGGTTTCGGAGGGAGGTGGCGGAAGCTTTCCAGCGCTTGCCGCATCGAGGGGTCGGGGCTGAGTAGTGACGCTCGCGGCGAATGTGGCGCGGCGCGGAGGGCGTGCCTAGGGTGCCCAGGGTGCCTAGGGTGCCCAGGGTGCGCAGGGTTCGCAGCCAACCAGACGCTGTCCGACTTGGCGCGCGCGGATGGCGAGGACGCAGGGCTGCCGGGACTCGGCCTCAGCCCCGCCAGCCTGGCTCCAGCCCGGCTCCAGCGCGGGGTCACTTCCGGACCGCGGTGTCCATGTCGCTGGAGTGGAAAAGGGGGGGGGGAGCTCTGGCAGCAACGTCTGGCCGCCTGTTGAATGGCGTTGCCGCCCTGCCGCGCTGCCGTCCCTGGGGCCGAGGGCCGCAGTCCAAAGGGCCGTGTGGCTGCCAAGAGGCCCGCGCGGCGTGTCGCCGAAACCGCCGCGTCCGCGCTGCCAGCGCTGCTGCCGCGAGGAGAAAGGCGGGGGGGGGGGGGCACTAAAAGCACGAGGCGAGAGGAATTAGGAGACAATCGGGGGGACGGCGGGGCGCGCCGTGTTCGGGGCATTATATTGCTGGTTGACGACGAGCTTCGGGGAGGCGGCGAGCGGCCCGGAACGCCCCGCTGTGCCCCGCTGCAGACCTGCACTGAATACATTTACTGCCGCGGAGCGGAGCACCCCGCCCCGCCTTGCCCGCCCCGCCTTGCCCGCCCCGCCTTGCCCGCCCCGCCTCATCCGATCGGCTTCCATGCGCCACTTGCCACTTTAATGACCAGTAAAGGCTTGTCTTAAAGCGGCACGGCTTTATTGTGTGGGCGGGGCGGGGCGGGGCGGGGCGGGGCGGGGCGTTCCCTGAAAGGGCTGAAGCTCGCGCGCGCCATTCAAAACGCGACAGGCATCGATTCAACGAGCCCCTCAAAACTTGCTCGGCGCCAAACTTTGTGTTCGATTGTAATTGTTGGCATGCGGCGCCTCGGCACCTCGCACAGCGCGACGCGGCGCGACGCGCCGTGACGCCACCAGGAAAAGGCAAGAGGTTCCGTAATCGTGAGAATTGCCAAGCGAGCCGAGGGAAAGGGGGAAGAAGCAAAGCCCGAGCGCATCTCGCTGCTCCGGGTGCGCGGGTTCGAATCCCAGCCAGGCGGTCGTCCTCACCTTTTTCCTGGCTCCGCTGGAACACGATCCGGTTGGAAGGCGCGCTTGAAATTAAAACGCCGGGCTGGATGCACAAAGAATGGCCTCCTTGATGGCGTGGCGGCGCCAGTCGGCGGCAATGCAGAGGCCCTCGCCGCTCTCCCCGATGAAAGGCGTGACGCTGCATTCCGTGCCTTAGGCGGCCGTCGGGCCGTCGGCGTTCCGGATCGCTGATTGGCTGACTGCCTTCTCGTTGCAGCTCCTGGAGTGCGTGGAGGCCGCGCAGCAGGCCACGGAGGACGGCCACTGCGCGCCCAGCTTCGACAAGGTGCTCTGCTGGAAGGGCCAGCCCGGCGGCACGCTGGCCACGCAGACCTGCTTCGCGGAGCTCAACGGCGTCGTCTACGACAACATCGGTGAGTCACGGCCTTCGACCTGGCCCGAGGTTCGACTTCTTGCCCTCCAGGATCATGCCGGGGCTAATTTAATCGCAGCAAGCGAAGCGGAACCAGGAAGCTGGCCTACATTGTCTTCATTGAGGCGGGCGAGGGGGCGGCCGTCTCCGCCAGGCCTTGCGCGCCAGGCGGCCCGTGCGGCCCGCGCGGCCCCCTCGCCGTTATCTGCGTTATCTCCGTCGGGGTGTTCTTGGGGAGGAGCCGAGCGTCTCGATCCATTATCGCTGCTGCGCGCCGCGCCTCGCTGCGCCTCGCTCGGCCGGACCAAGAAGGCCCTAATTGCGAATTGGGCGGACTGGGCGGTGGATTGGGGCCGCTGCTGCCGGCAGTGGCTCCACGCGCCGCCAAAAATACCCCGGAGTACCAGGCCAGCGCGGCCAGCGCGGCACGTGCGCACTCGGGCGGCACCGCCACGGCCAGCCACTACCTCCCGGGCCTCCCGGGCCTCCCGGCGCTGCTGGACCTCCTCCGAGGATTCTCGGCTATCTTGAGCCACACGGCTCCGAGGCCATCAACATATCAGAAGTCTCTCTCTCTCTCTCCGAGGATTCTCAGTCCACGCCAGGATCTATTCGTAACTATTCTGCAGTAAATCTACAGAGATATTTAGAGATGAAGTCTCGACAATGACACATGTTTCGAAATATTTCCAAAAACAATTGGCGGAAGAAACCGCCATCTCATAGAGGGAGTCCACCTTGACACAGTGGCCGCCGAAAGCGGGCCCCGCCTTGGCCCCGCCTTGGCCAGGCCTTGGCCACAGCACCGAGTCGGGCCCGCCCTGCTGCTGCACCCCGCCTGGCCCCTCTTGGAGCCCCTCTCCGTCCTCATTAAGACGCTCGGCGCCAGGACGTCGCGGCGCCCCGCGGCATCCATGCAGCCCCAGCGACGCCGAGGACGCGGCGAAGCGGCGAAGCGGCGCGCAGACCGGCTTTTATCTCCCTTTCCCCCTTCATCGCGTTCATCGCGTTCATCGCGGACGTGCAAAGTGCAAATCCAACTGGCGGCGTTGCGCCATACCGTCGTCCTCCGCGCGGCTCCGCCATCAACTCCGGCCGTGCCTCGAGGACCGCCAAGACGGCCAGGACTGTGAAAACCTCCCCCCCCCCTCCCCCACACACAGTGACAGTAAATATTTTGCACCGCGGGCAACGGTTTCCCTCGAGGAAAGGCCTGGCGCTTTTCTTGTAGAGGAATCAAGCCCGACGGAAGGCGGGATGAATCGTGCGGGGGGAGGGGGGCGGGGCCTCGCTGACAGAGCATTGCAATCCAGCGGCATCATCATCCATCTAGCTTGTCGGGCACGTTGGGGTAGCCCCGGTAGTGAGGCTGGCGGCGAGGCGGCCCACGGGGGGCAGCTTCCTCCCACCACCTCGACCGGCGACGTTTGCGAGGGCGGCGGGACGCGGCGGGACGCGGGTCCGGGTTACATATTTCACGTGTCGTCCATCGCCGCGCGGGCCGGGCACACCACCTCGTCCGCAAACTGTCACACACCGGCCGTGCCGACGGCGTCGTCGGGCAGAGGCGTCACCGCGACACTGTGCAGCCATCACCGTCCGTCCACGGCCCCACAGTGTCGCGGCTTGCTTTTAAACATGTCGCCGCCTAGCTACGCGAGACCGCTACGCGAGACACCTCTACGCGAGGCTAGCCATCCAATCGCCGAAACAACGGTAGGCGGTCCGGGACTCGGCTGGGCACGTCCGCGACGGCGGCGACGCGATGATGATTGCCTCGGGATTGACGGCCGCAAAGAGGCGGCCGCGGAACGGCGCAGTCCCCGCGGGGGTGGCGATGGCGGTCGGCGTCATCGTCCGCGCGTCGTCCTCCTCACAGCGGCCGCGCGCTGCCCGGCTCGGCCTCGGTGCGCTTTCCGGCGCCGCACCTCTATCAGACCCGCCTCATTCCGTTTCCCATTTTTATACTTTTCCCATGTATTTTCGTTGATGTCGATCGTTTTGTGTTTTCTGCTCGTCCTCGACCGCTCTTCTCCTTCTCGCTCGCGACTCCATGTTTGTCTAAGAGTTCTCAAGAGGGGCTTCTCCTCTTCGGTGGACGCGCGGACTGCGCGCGCGTGTGTGTGGGGGGGGGGGGATGTTTCGTGTGTGTGCTCCCCGGCCGCCGCAAAACCTGGCGCAAAAACTCTCCGGGGTCCTCCCCTCCCCCTCCCCTCATTCCGCCGCTTTTCTCTCTCCACCTTTCCCTCTTGCCTCTTTTGTGTGGCGACAGCCCGTTTTTCGCACGATTGCCTCCCGGAGCACGGCCGGCCCGGCGCGGCCCGGCGCGGCCCCGCACAGATCACCGGCACGCCATTCAGCTTCACTGTAAACAACAACAACAAACACAAACAGCAACAACAAACACAACATCAACAGCGAGTGGAATCGCTGGAGGGCCCGCTCGCTCCGCCAGACTCCGCGCGCTCTGTGTGCTCCGCGAGAGGCGAAGGGCAGCGAGGGCACGAGAGAGCTCTCCTTTTTATTTCGAGAGCTTGTACTACTTACAATGCGAACCAACTTTCATGAAACAACTTTCACGAAGACGCCGGTGCTGGGTGTCGATCCTGCAGCCTTCGTACCCGCAGCCCAGCACCCTAGCCACTGCGCTACACGCCCCTCCCCTTTGCCCGCAGGACGCAACGCGACGCGCTGGTGCCTGGAGAACGCCACGTGGTCGTCGTACTCCAACTACTCGGCCTGCATGGTGGAGCGCGTGAGCACGGAGCCGGAGACCGCGGACCACTCCGTCATCACCTCCACCATCTACTACGTGGGCTACACCGTGTCCACCGTGGCCCTCACCATGGCCGTCTTCATCTTCTCCTACTTCCGGTCTGTTGGAAAAGTAGCTAAATGATTGTTTGCGTTCGGCTTTGGCGAGCGGCCACCGCGGCCGTTACTGTGCCGCCACCCCGCCGTGCTGCCGAGCCGCCGTGTTGCAGCGGTGGCGCGGAGCCATGAAAAGATAATTAACCACAACATTTAATGCAGGCCGCGGATTGGCTGCGCGCCGCCAGCGATCCGTGGAGCACTGATTTATAGAGGGGGCAGACACTGCCAAAAAGTCGCACCTTTTCTGCAGTTTGCTAATTTGAATCACCCCGCGCTTTTTTGGGCTCGTTTAATAACCTGCCCGGACTGGCACCGAGCGCACCCAACACCGGACAATGGAGGCCTCCGCGGTCCTCAAAGTGGGGCCGTGGGGCTGGGGACAAAACAAGGATTTGTGCTCACGCACGGCGGGACTATTATTTCCTCTAGAGAGCGCGGCGAACCGCCCGTGTACTTGTTCTTACCGTCGTTCGTCTGTTCCTTCTGGGCAGGGAGCTGCACTGTCTGCGCAACCGCATCCACATGAACCTGATGCTGGCCTACATCGCAGCGGACATCGTCTGGATCCTCAACATGGCGGTCAACGTGTACCTGGTGCGTACCCGATAGTCGAGTACCTCTTGGCGGCCGAGGCCGTCGGGCCGCGATCCACCTCCATTCAAACTAATGCACTCTCCATTCCGCCGCGCCGCCGGCCTTGCAGATCGAGCACATCAGCCAGGCCTTCTGCTTCATCTTCGTCGTGCTGCTGCACTACACCATGCTGACGCACTTCCTGTGGATGTTCGTCGAGGGTAAGTCGAGCGGTGCTGCGGTGCTGCGCGATGGCCAGACGCTCCACTACACTGGTTGTTCCTTCGCCAGGACTGTACCTGTACACGCTGGTGGTGAAGACGTTCCAGCAGGGCACCGCCAAGCTGCCGGCCTACCTGGTCATCGGCTGGGGTGAGTACAGTGTACAGTCCGCGCCAAATCTATTTGCCGGCGCACCGCGAAGCCAATTATCGAGGGCGCTCCGCCGCGCCTCGCCGCGCCTCGCCCCGCCGGCCTGGGTCGGTTTGTTTACACATCGAGTCGCTCTGCATTAGGTACGCCTGGCAGCGGGGCGGGGCGGGGCGGGGCGCAACAGGTTGGCCAACCTGGGCGGGGCACAAAGAGGCCATGAATTTATGCAGCGAGGCCCCCGCAAGCCCCGCAAACACGCTTCCCTCCGAAGTGGATAAGCAGGGCGGGCAGGTGTGGGAAGGGAAGGAGGGGAGGGAACGGCGTTCCACGCCCCTTCCCGATAAGTGTTAAGTGTTGCGCCTTGCACGGCCTTGCAGGCGTCCCGCTGGTCGTCGTCGTGTCCTGGGTCGTGACGCGCCTGCTGCACCCGGAGGAGCAGACCGAACACGAGCAGGTGGGTCTTGTGGAGGTGACCGCCGAACCCGAAAGCGAGACGCCGCGTCAAACAACTTATTTCTCTGGCCGCAGGACTTGTGCTCGTGGCTGGCGTACCATTGGTCGGACTGGGTGTACCAGGCGCCTGTCATCGCCGTGCTCGCCATCAACACCATCTTCCTGTGCTTCGTGATGTATGTGAGTATCGCCGAGGACCGCACCGTGCGGACGGCCTGCTGCACGGCCTGCTGCACGGCCTGCACGGGGTGGATCTTGGCAACAAAGGCTGTCCCCAGGTAGCGAGGCAGGCCGGGACTGCCCTACTATGTTGCGTGCTTTCACCGAGGAGAGCGAGTGACTCCTCCCCCCTTTCAGGGGCCGTCCCCCCCCCCCCCTCCCACTGCTCGCTCCGCAGTGAAAAGAGCGGCCCGCGGCTATTACTTTGTTGGACTTACCCTCCGGCGAAAAGGTCGACCGGTCGGTCGTCGTCGCGGACAATCGCCTCTCATCCCCTGAATGCAAGTGGTCCCATCACATCAAACTACGTGTCTGCGCGCGCGCGCGTGTGTGTGTGTCTGAACGGCAATACGAGTCTGTCTGTGTGAGTTTGTGCAGCACGTGAGTGCGTGTGTACGTGCGTGTGTGTGCGTGTGTGTGTCTGAACGGCAATACGAGTCTGTGTGAGTTTGTGCAGCACGTGAGTGCGTGTGTACGTGCGTGTGTGTGCGTGTGTGTGTCTGAACGGCAATACGAGTCTGTCTGTGTGAGTTTGTGCAGCACGTGAGTGCGTGTGTACGTGCGTGTGTGTGCGTGTGTGTGTCTGAACGGCAATACGAGTCTGCCTGTGTGAGTTTGTGCAGCACGTGAGTGCGTGTGTACGTGCGTGTGTGTGCGTGTGTGTGTCTGAACGGCAATACGAGTCTGCCTGTGTGAGTTTGTGCAGCACGTGAGTGCGTGTGTACGTGCGTGTGTGTGCGTGCCCGTGTTATGGTTGCGCTTCGCTCAGAACTTTTCTCAGCAGTTTTGCGTTTGGCCTTTCGGGCCTTTCGGGCCTTTGGGGCCTTTCGGCGGCGGCGCGGCGGTGGCCCGGTGGCGAGACACAAGACACGGCGGCGCGAAGCGCGAAGCAGCGGGGCGGAGCGGGCCCGCTTTAGCCCAGCCAATTATCCCCACCCCTTGCCTTTCCCGCTCGCTTAACAAAAACCCGTTTTAGAGACTGCCGCGGCGGTGGCGGTCTTCGGCTCGCCAAAGTGGCGCAGTGCTCCCGGAACGTCTGCCGGCAAGGCTTTGTCCACCGGCCTTAATTCGAAATAGCCCCCTCGCCGGTCTGTCTCGCTCGCACGGGACGTCCCGTAGGGGTGCGAGCGAGACAGAGCGACGAGGCTGCTGGTCGTAATCGAGCTGCGTCTCCCTGCCGCGGTGTCGTATTCCTACTTATGGGCCACGCACGGCACGGCACGGCACGGTCAGCAGCGCCACTTGGCCACACTTGGCCACGCCGCCTTCGTCGGGCTGCCTCTCTCGCACCCATACGGGACGCTCCACGAAGGCGAGAGAGAGACCACACCGGTTCGGGACCAGTCTGCGGCGGCCCGTGCCTTGCCGTGCCGCCGAGCCTTCATTAGCACGTCCTCGAGGTGACCTTGACATTTTGAAAAGCGGGCCACGGCCTGGCCACGGCGCGCCCGGGTTCAAACACCAGCACGGCGCGGTGGCCTTCGCGTTCCTCGACCTGGCCAAGGCCTGGCCCCGTCTGGCCCTGACGGCTGGACGGGGTGTACACCCTCCTGGGTCGGCGCGGCGCCGAGGTTAAGGCATGTCTCGGGCTGGAGCGGGCTGGAGCGGGCTGGAGCGGGCTGGAGCGGGCTGGAGCGGGCTGGAGCGGGCTGGAGCGGGCTGGAGCGCCCGGCAGGTAGGCAGCCGCCGTCCGGCGACACAGCCGTGCGCGGCGTGCGGCCTACCCTCGGCTTGACAGGCGTCCAGGACCTCCTCGATGGCCTCGACGGCGACGTGCCTCTGGAGTGGCGGACGGCGGCTTCGGCTCTTATTTACCCGCCGCCCACCTCCCGGGGCGACAACAAGCAGTGCGCGTCGGAGGGGCGGCGCTGATCGCCTCCTGATGGATTAAATTTGGGGCGACGCGGCGACGGCAAGTCAAGCCTGCACGGCGACGCGCGACGACGTGCGCAGCGACGCGCGTCTTCGCCCCTCCTTGCCCGTCGGCACGCACCGCACGCACCGCACGCGCACATTTTCTCCGCGTTCCCCTCCAAGACCGTCGAGGCCGTCGAGGCCGTCGAGGCCGTCCGGGACGGGCGCAACGCGGCGCGAGGTGGTTCACCTCAATTCCGCGCTTCAGCTGCTCCCGCCTTTTCCCCTCCATTTTTGCCAATTTTTCCCTCGGTGGGCGGGCGCCTCTTTTACGGGCGTGGCGGCGCCGCCTCGTGTGTGTACGTGTGTGTGTCGGTGTGTGTTGTGTGTGTGGTGTTGTGTGTGTGTGTTGGTGTGGTGCTTGTGTGTGTGTTGTGTGTGTGTGTTTTTGTGTGTGTGTGTTGGTGTATGTATGTGTGTGTGTGTGTGTGTGTGTGTGTGTGTGTGTGTGTGGGTGTGGTCCCGATCCGTGTCCTTATTGGCGCTGCTGATCCAGACGCTGATCCCGGGACGGGGGCCTCGCCGCCTCGCCGTCTCGGCCGACGCCGCGCGCACCGGGCACGACACAGCGCGACGCCCCCGGCAGGCTGCGTCCGGGACGTGCATTCGTCTCCCTCTCTCTCGCACTCTCGCCGGAGGGCACCGAAGCCCTTTCGGAGTCAGCCCGCTGCAGCCCCCGTGCCTCGTCGCGGCTTACAGTGCCGTGTTTACGAGGCGCGAGGCGGGGCGGGGTGGTGCCTTACCCGCCCCCGCACTACCTGGCCGTGTGACAGTCGCGGTACTCTGCCAAACCCTCGTTGACGTTGTCTCCCTCCTGCTCCAGGTGCTCATCACCAAGCTGCGCTCGGACAGCTCGATGCGGCCGGGCGCCATGGGCCCGCCGGGCGACGCGGAGCAGCAGCAGTCCAAGAAGGCGGCCAAGGCCCTGCTCGTGCTCATCCCGCTGCTGGGCATCACCTACATCCTCGTCATCGCCGGCCCCACGGAGGGCCACGCGGCCAACGTGTTCGCGCACGTGCGCGCGCTGCTGCTGTCCACGCAGGTGCGTGCGGGACAAAAACAAAAGGGAATTCTAAAGTGTTTCATTCTGGCGCCGCCGGCGCGCACTTCCTGCCTGCGCTGCGCCCGAGGCTGCGCCCCACCTGAAATAAAACATTTACTGCGGCCGGCGGCGGCGAGGGCGTTCGTTCTCATTAGCCAAGCAGCCAGGCACGGCGGCGACGTGCCTCGGACTCGGCTCGGCTCGGCGGCGTCCTGCTGCCCCATGCCGACCCATGCCGCCCTCGGCGCGGCCCACGGTGTAAAGGGACCGGGGGGGCATCGAGGAAGTATCGGTGGAGGCCGGGACGAGATGCCCCGCACCATTAGTCGCCGGAAAGGGAGAGAAGCTCGCGATTCGGCGGCGGCAAGGCGGTGAAAGGAGGGAGAGAGACGCGGTGGCCCTGGCGCGGGATAAGGGGGGGGGGTACATTCAATTCGTCCGGCGGCCCCTCGGTGTCGCCTATCCCGTCCTTGGCGCCGCGCGATCCCACTGGTCGTCGTGCCGCGTTTTTACAGCCCCAAACGAAGTCCAAGGCCGAATCAACGCGGTGGTGGACGCAGTGGCGGTCAGCCTGCGTCCAGGGAGGGTAGGGGAGAGGGGGAGAGAGAGAGAGGCTCCATGTGAGTGGTAGCCGTGGTAGCCTTGACCAGCAGTAATTAACCCTCAATCAAATTGGATTCCCCCGCTGCCCTGCAGCGGCACTCTTATGGCGGCGGTCCTCGCTAACGGCCTCCTCGCAGTGCAGGCACGCGGCGACGCCCCGCGCTCCCAGGCCGCGGCTTGGCGGGGACGCCTACAACACCCTGAGGCACTCATTGAGGGGCGGGGGGACGCCGCGCGCCGCGCAGGGAATTGCTCCGGACCGTTCCAACTCACCTCGCTACCGAGGCCGAGGCCCCCGCCGGTCCGCGCCGCCACAGCCCAAAGGGTGCACATTGACTGCGTATAATGTTGCCAACAATTATTGGCAGTTGGCTCCACCCTTTCAGTGCCTCCATTAGCGCGTGGTCATAAAGGAAGGGGAAAGGGGGAGGGGGGCAGGTGTACCGCCACCCACTTTATCAAGGCATTTATCCGGGCAACAGATTTAGCGCGCCGGGTCTGTACAGTACAGTCGGTGTGCTGGGGCTGTGCCGGCCTTCAGTCAGACAAATGCTATTTAACTTGTTGATAAAAAACGGCTGTGTTTCTAATTTCTCATTTTCCCACGTAGGGTCTGCTGGTGGCCATCTTCTACTGCTTCCTCAACACGGACGTACGCCACACGCTGGCCAACCGGTGGGAGCGCTGGAGGGAGGTTCGCACGCTGGGCCGGCAGCGCAACGGGCGCGCCGCCTCCGTCAACTGGACCAACCGAGACACGTAAGGGAGAGGGAGGCTCCACTCGCCGTCGTCGCCGTCCTAGCCGTCCTCGCCGTGGCGACGGTGACGGTGACAACGGCGTGGGGCCGCGGCAGTTTGGCGCCGAGTCAATAGAGCGGGCATCTCTCGGCAAACTCTTAGAGTCAATACTGATAGCACCAATAGCGGACGGAGCGGACGGAGCGGAGCGAGGGCTAAAGGGCGTCTTAGAAATCTGTCCGGCCGTCTGACTGCGACTTTGCCCGCGCCTCCGCTTGTGTGTCCGTCTCTGAAAGTTGCAGCCGACGAAATCAAAATGTTCCTCATTTTTCGCCGTAAATTATTTCGTTAGTTTTGGCTGCAACTTTGTTACGGCGTTTCGTGTACGTGCTGAAACGGTGTGCGTAGCTATGTTTTCGTTTAGCCGTAGATAGGGGCAGGCCTGCCTTCCAGATCACGACGGGCCCGGGTTCGACTCCCCCTTCGATACACCTTCCCTATCCCTCCCTTAGCCCTTGTCTCTTGCTGTAGCTTCGGCCGCGGCATGGCGGAGGCGGAGACGACGCCCATCGCCGCCAACGAGCGCTGAGCTTGGCCCTCAAGCTGCCTTAGGCATGTCCATGACTCTTGACCCCCAAGGCGCCCAAGGCCTCAGGGCCGCGATCTTGCCGGCCTTCATCAAGGTCTTGACGGAGGACACGACACGCGGCGCCGCCGGGGGAAGTCCAGCGCGCACTGCACCGACGCAGGTACAACCCAGCCGTGCATTCAGTCTTTGGTGGCGGACCGTGTCGTCTTTGTGTGCGTGCGTGCGTGTGTGTGTATGCGTGTGCGTGTGTGATAAAGAAAGAGTCATTGTTCCGGCACCTGTTAATCAGACTGGGTAAATGCGCGATTATGTGCTTCCGTGTGTGCGCGTCTTGTGTCTCGTCGGTGTCGGGAAGTCCCACTATGGTGTTTTGTGCAGCTTAGCGACTCTGCGCGTGGGAGACAGCCTCGGTGTTGCGTCCTGCTGCCCACCAAAAGAGAATAAAAAGGGAAAACAAATACGAACTGGTTTTGTGTCCACAGGTCGGAAATGGTGACGGAGATCACGTGCATCGGCCTGTCCAGCGACTAAGTGCCACAAGTGCGCGAAGCACTGCGAGGCACTGCGAGGCACTGCGAAGTACGACCCCAAGGCACGTGTCGGACTTGTAGCCTTGCGGTAGCAGTGCGGTAGCAGTGCGGCCGTTGGTGCATGCCCTTTATTTCGAACGCGCAAAGAGAAAGGGACGGTCGCGTTCAGAAGGTATTTTTCACGAGTGCGGCGGGGCAGCACCGCGTCGGGGCGGTTTAGTTCAAACGTGGCCGCGCGTAGAAAGTTTGAGCACCCCGCCGCTCCACCCTGGAGCCCGCGCTCAGATAATCGGGCAGCAGTTTGCTGCTTTCAAACCCCCGCCCGCACCCTCTTCAAAATCACTACACCATTTTTTTTTAAAATTTTTCCGGATGACTATAGCTCTATATTTAGTTTTGTGAATCCAAACCAAGCGGATTATAGCCTAGCTGGCGATCGGCAGCTCGCGCTTCGCATGTCGGCCTGCCTTTGGGTTGTACGTACCACTTACAGTGGCACTCAGTGGCACGCAGTGGCACGCGGTGCAGCCACGGCCAGTGACGTTGTCTTTCCAGGTGGCCGCTCTGCAAGTGCCCCCTCCGCCACCGAGCACCGAGCCCCCCGCAGCCCCCGTCGCCCCCGCCCGGCCCAGACCCCCACAAGGAGAGCAGCTTCTCTGGTACGGGCTCCCCGTTCCCCTCCTCCTACCTGCCGCACCCTTCCGCCACTCTTTCACTCGCCAGTAGTATAGACCCCCCTCGGTCGTGGGACGCCATTTTGACTCCCCCATAGTAGCTGGCCTTTGCCATTGGTGGGTTCACTGCCCGTGAGGAGACTTTGGGGGAGTCAAAATGGCGACCCGCAACTACGCGGCATCCATACTACTGTTGCCTGCGGCGCGCTGCCGCGCTTGAGCAGCGCCATGCCATGGCCATGCACTACCCGGGCCTTGACGGCTTCGCGCGGCATCGCGCGGCATCGCGATACCGGAGACTAACAGCTTCAACTGCTTCCGTACTAACATGTGTCTGTCTGTCTCACAGTGTGTCGTGTTCGGAAGTGCTGCCACACTTTCCCCTGACTGACGGAGCCCCTTGATAAAGCCGCCCTCTCCTAACACTTCTGCTTTCGGGACTCGACTTGTCACTGTTAACAGAGTCGCGCTAACTAGATCACCTCACCGAGTCACTGGGGAACAAAGCTGCACGGGGGCCTAAACGGGAGGAAAAAAAAAGAATAGCCAGTGCTGGTGTTTGAACTCGCGACTAACGTCTCGGCATGTGTGTGTCACAGGGAGTCTTGCCTCACGGTCCACCACGCGCAAGTGGGGGACAGGTCGCCCGCCTTCAGGAACGGCCACGACCAGCAGTCCTGGCTGGACAAGCCCCACCACGTAGAGGCGCACATGTGAGCGCCCGGCCCGCCCGGCCCGCCCGGCCGTGGTCCACACTGGACGCCCTGGAGGCCCTGGGGACCCTGGAGACCCTGGAGACCCTGGAGGCCCTGAGGGTCCTGGAGACCCAGGAGGTCCTGCAGACCCTGGAGGCCCTGCAGACCCTGCAGACCCTGAAGGACCTGCAGCAGAAGGACGCTCACTCAGCACCGCGTCCGCGGCATGTGAACGCGTCCATACATAGCAGGTGGATGTGATGCGACGCGTTCTCCAGCGACCTATTAGTTCCAGCCTCAGTGCAACCATGACTTGTGATGGACTGTCGATACCACGGCACGACCGCCATCGTTTTCTTCTTTTCACTGCATCCAGAATGACGCGTTCGGCGCGGGGTTGCCAGTGTTCCTCCGCGACGTGACGTGACGTGACGTGACGTCCCCTCGGTGTTGTGCAGGCGCAACACGCCCGGGGGCAGAAGAAGTATGTCGCCAAAGTGTCGCTATTGTGCTGCTGGATGGATTCCCTGAATTCCCGGGGCGACAGCGTCCTCAGACTTTCCTCTTTTTCTACGATTGCTTTGAAGTGGCTTTTCGTTTATTTCTTGATGGGATTGCAGTGTAGAACCCCATCATGACGTTCGTGGAAATCAATGGAAATGTTCACGGTAGTCTTTTCCTCTCCGACATGATTGTTGTTGTGAAAATGGAAATCCCACGGAACGCAATGGAGCCGCGTGTTTCTGTTTCGCCCCACTGTTTTTAGGCTAAGACGACGATTGTGAAAAAGAACGAACGACTGTTGTAAAATGAATGAATATTGTTCTGTGTATGGTGGAGTGGAGGACATTTCTCGGATTGTCACCTCGCAGCCGAGCCCTGCTGGTGCAGGCCGTGGCGACACAGACATGAAACGCCATTTCGCCGCCTCTTTCGAGTGCGTCCAGCCGCCCCACTCTCTCGCTCCAATTCCCGACCCATTTCGCGAGCGCCTTCATTCGGCACGAAATATTCAATGCCTCTAATGTGATCCCGGAGCGCCGCGCCCACCTACACAGTAAAAAAAAAGATTTTTCGATGAAATGAAATAAAAACATTTGCGAGTACGGAGTGTCAATATTATGCATTACCAACCGGATGGCACTGTGGGGTCGCTCCAATTAGCATCTCTTTGTGCAACGCCAGGCAAATACACACACACACACACACACACACACACACACACACACACACGCAATGCCTACCAGATTGCTGCTCCCCGTAATCCGATTAAGTGCTAAAACACCACACGCACTCCGCCGCCAGTGGCGTGCCTTCCTCGCCCCGCGCCTTCGCCATTCAAGTTAATTGCGAAGAAGGAACGCGTCCATCGGCGCCCCGAGTGGGGCCTGCGACCCGATGCACGATCATCGTGAAGGGGCCTTCTTATATTCCAGAGGGAACCAAGCTAGAATTCAAACGACTATGCTCCTCGAGGATGCGAACGAACCTGGACCAGGAAGAGGTTGGCGGGAAATGGGACGCTACTTATATGTTCTAGGCGAACACTGTGTGCATAAAAGAGATTCGAACAACGCACTTTTTTTTCTCTACGCACTCCCTGCTTGAGGCCCATTTAGGCCCCGACACCAGGGTGACGGGCGGGGTCGCGGTACGGCAGGAAAGAAAGAAAGAAAATAAAAAGGGCTTTATTCAAACTTGGAAAAAGTTTACACAGGCGTGACAGCGAAGTGTCGAAAGGGTGAGAACGCATATTGGACGCGTCCGGCCGGCGGCAGCAGCGTCAGCAGCGCCTTCCCGCTCCACCGGTGGTTGCGCAGCGGGTGGGGGTGGCGTGGGGGCAGCGGGAGTGGGCGGCCTTGCAGAGATGCAGGAGCCACTTGAGACGTGCCGCCCCACGGCGCGGCCAGCGAGCCCGGCCAGAGAGCCCGGCCGACCGGCGCGCGCCCTGTCACGTCACATCGCGTCACGCGGCCGTCACGACCAGTGTCGCGGCCGTGACAAGTCTATGCATGGCAAAGCATGGCTCGGTGCGGGGTAGCTCCGGCCAGTAAATGGACCTCGGCCGGGGGGGCTCGATGAGGGCGACCCGGAGTCTCGTTTCGAGTAGAGCTATCCGCACGTCTCCTCTCTCGCTCTCCCTCCACCTTCACCTTCGCCTCGCTTCGCCTCGCTTCGCCCTCCACGATCCAATATCTGCACTGTAGACTGAAGGTCGCCGCTCGGTAACGCTGCCATGACACCGCGCCAGCAGCGCAAGCAGCGCAAGCAACGCCAGGCAGTCAACATGACTCATCTTGGCCCCGGTATTTTCACGTCAAAATGAACAGAAAAAAGTCCAACTATAGTCCAATCTTGTGTCGAAACAGGGGGCGATTTGAGGTCATTTACACCACCTGTTGACCGCTTCTTTCGTTGTGCAAGGAGTCAGCCAGGCTTGACACGAAGCTCGTAGCGCAGAGCAGGTAGTCCTGACGTCGAACGGATTCCCGCGGGGTGGAATGTGTTCCTGCCTCGGAAAAGCCAGCCGCCCCACCCCACCATTCCTGCTGTCCCGAGAACAAGGGACATTGTCGAAAAATGAGAGCAGGGTGGGGGCGGGCTGTCCGTCTCGGTGCCCCGGGGGGCCCCTCCGGCCTCCCCGGCCCAGGGAGGGGCCGCCCCGGTGGGGCTTACCGGAAGCGAATTCCTGAGGCTTCCACCCTCCCGGCGCCACTCCGGCATCAGCACTGCCTGAGGGTCTGCGGGCCTGCGGCCCTACGGGGCTCCGGAGGACCGGAGGGCTCCGGGGCCGAACGGCACACCCACGGGATGGCTTACGTCGGCCCGGCTTGTCTTGGCTTAGGACGGGACGCATGGAGTGTCAACACCGTCAACACTCGGACATGAGGAGTGGCCGCCAGGGCCGGGAGGCCTCCACACGCCTCTACACGCTTCCGCACCTCCGGAAAGCCAGTTCCAGATTCGCCCCGCTCCCCGCCCCGGCCGTGAGCCAACAGCCAACGAATCCGCGGCCCTGCGTGGAGGGAGGGCCCTTCCGCTGGGACATGGGATCAGGACTTTTCTCTTGACACTGCTCCATTTACCAAAATGGCGCTCCCTCCTTTATTTCGGCACGCGACGAGTACGTGTCCCAGTGGGTTCCCCGGAGCGCGCCGCACCACGCTGCACGAGGCGCTGCAGCGCCGCAGACTTGACGGCAAGCTGCCCCTGCACTGCGTGGACAACAAGGCCATTCAAGGCCGACGCGCCAAGTGACCGAAGCCCAATTTATTTCTCACTAAGGGGATTAAACTAGGATAGGGGCTCCCCCCGTCCCTTCCCCCTTCCCATTCCCCCTCCCTGCTGTACGACGCCGTGCCGCCGCGCCCTGTTCGCACCCTTTGATGTCGCCCCCAGACCCCGGCGACGTTGTGACGAGTGCCAGAGGCCGGCCTGGGACTGCCTGGGACTGCCCGGGACGGCCTGGGACGGAGCCGAGCGAGGTCCGGTCGGGCGAGGTCCGGCCGGGCCCGGGACGTTACTCCTTTTGAAGAAACGCAGCTGCGCAGCTGCTGGCTCGTTCCGAAAACAGGGCTGCTCGCGTCGCTCCGCCTCGGTCCGCCTCCCTCGCACTCATGGGGCGCCCACTGGGCACTGGGGCCACGGCCGGCCACGGCGACGGGGCTGACCGACCGTTCGGAACGAGTCCAGCCTAACTCACAGCGTTTCCAATGAACCAAGCACAGGCCAGTCGCCACCAGTGCCTCGCTTGATTAGAAGGCAGCGTAGGGGCACTGCAAAAGAAGCGGCGTCGCTGTGCTCTGCTGTTCTTGAGGACGCCGCAAGTCGTTATGGCGATCCTAACTCAGAATGTCGCACATTGATGGGCCATAGAGTGGCTCGAGTCACTCCTTTATTGTAATTGCCAGGGGTACTTGTCTTTGACGACCACACTGCCAAGCGGCCAAGCGACGCGGATTATGCGCCATTTTTGTACATTGTGAACAAGATACGCTAGTGGACATGCCAATGCCGGCGGTGCTCAGGCTCAGACGTCGCTGAAGTGCTGCTGCTTGCGCTTCGCGTCCGCCACGGCGTCGGGGTGCGCGTGGTCGCCGTCCACGTCGCCGTGAAGGGCGTGAGGGCCGTGCGCCTGCACAGGAGGCCACTTGCACGTCCGCGGCGATGGGTCCCCCGGCTCGTCCTGGACACCAGCAAGAGTTCCAAACTACAGTTTACCAAACCAAGGGGAAGGGGGGACAGCAGGGGACGGGGGCGCGCCGCCCCACATCAGGTTTTTGCTTCTTTTGTCCACGGTCGTGGAAAACGGTGGGGGTCGCGAGGAAGTCCGCGGCCTTTGCTTTCAACCTTTTTATTTTCCCCTCTCGTTAGTGTGTTTTCGAACCGGTTCCGGTTGCTGGGGCTCCTTGAGGCTGGCCGCGAGGCGAACGAAGCAGGGCGGCAGCGGCTGGCACGGCCTCAGCGACGCCGCGCTCGCCGCCACCACCTCGGCCGTCACCTCCACCACGCCGTCCTCGCCGCCGTCCTCGCCGCCGTCCTCGCCGTCGGCCTTGAGAAGCGGCAGCAGCACGGTGCAGGGCCGCACCTGCCACACGCAAAGCACGCCGTCGTTCTCCTCGCCTGTCGGACGACTGCTGGACGTGCTGCCGACCTTGTGGGAGGCGTCCAGGTTGACGGTGCTGCCGCCCGGCGTGCACCCCGGCGTTCCACCCGGCGTGCCGCTCGGCATGTACCCGGAGCGGAACCACGAGTTGACGAGCGGCTCGCTGACGCAGCCCACGCCGAACACGGACTTGTACTCCATGTTGCCGCGCGCCGCCACCACGTCCATGTCGTCCGCGTGTTCGTTCGCGTGGTCGTCCACGGCCCTGAGACTCTCCCTGGGGCTGGGCGGTTCGTCACTGTCCTCCGACCACCTGTCGGTGCGCACCCCCAGCCGGGACGCCGCGCGCGCCCTCTCGAAGACGGTCAGCATTGAGGGGACCTCGTCGCGGTGGCGCCCCGCCTGCAAGCCAAGGAGGCAGTCAGGCCGGACCGCAGTCGCCACGCGAACACCGGCGTCGTCGCTGCTCACCGTGTGCATGTGCTCGTACAGCCACGAGGTCGGCGTCGAGGCCACGCCGGAGGGGCCCGGCGGGTCGGCGCAGACGCTCATGTCCATCTGGCTGGTCTGGACGTCGTGCTGCTCCAGGGCCTCCAGGGTCAGCTGGTGGTCTTGCACGCGCAGCACCAGCGGCGTGCCCTGCATGGCGTGCTCGTGCACCTCCGGCGGGCCGCCCAGCACGCCGGTCAGGTAGTTGGCCTGCCGCCGCGTCAGGCTGTTGACGCTGATGCTCAGGGCCGGGTCCTCGGAGCCACGGCTGTCCATCCACACCTGCCCGTTGACATCGCGTTGGTGGGGATCTTTCAAGAGACGAGTTTCGTTTCACGGAGTTCACCTTGAACACCCTGCTGCACATGAAGTCCGTCTCCTTGAACTGCACGCTCCTGAGTTGGCGGCAGGCCTGCGCCACCTTGACCAGCGGCTGGTACGCCACCTGCCGGAAGGTGCGGCTGCCGCGGCACCGCCACAGCTCCAGCTCCTCCAGCTCGCGGCAGTAGCGCGAGGCCTGCGAGTCAAGCGCAGGGCCGGGGCCGGCCGAGGCTGTAGCGGCTGGAGGAGCAGTTGGGGGAGTTGGCGCAGAGAGGGGCGCGAACCATCCACGGCCCGGGCGCGTTGTTTTGGTTCCATCCGCACTTCGGAGCTAATTGTGAGACTGGGGGCCAGACAGCCAGGCTGCCGGGCCCCAGGGAAGCAGCGCGAGTAAGGCGGCCAGGTTATTATCTCAGGCTCTCCAGCGCGGGAGGCAGACCGACGACAGTGGCGACGGCGCGGGGCGTGAGAGAGAGGAGAGCATGTTCCAGGCGCCAACCGTCGAGCTGTGGGAGCGATGGAGTCAGCACCGACAGCACTGTTCGGATGAGCCTGAGGCTTAGGGACGGTCCCCGAAGCAGTGCAGCTCCACGGCCAGCTGATCGCCGCTGCAGTTGCTGACGGGCAGCCTGACGGACAGACCAGCTGACGCGCTGACGCGCTGACGCGGCACGCGGCACGACGCGCGCCTCTTTCTGCTGACACGGCGCTGGCGAGTCTGCGTTCCGCGCAGCCAGCCCACACGCCGATACTTTCTCAAAATCCCGACAGTTTTCTTTTCTGACGCGATCCGGCCTGACCTCGAGGAGGATGGTGTCGGCGTCGTGGCGGCCGTGCAGGCGCAGCGTCCGCAGGGTGGGCGCGTTGCGCAGCAGGCGGCAGGCGTGCTCGGTGGCCACGTCCGGCCCCAGCGTGCCCAGGTCGCTCCACAGCGCGCCGTCCAGCGACATCTCGTACAGCCGCGAGGACACGCGCGCCACCTGCGGCCCGACAAGCTCGCCGACAAGAACGCCGACATCGCCCGACGCCGTCGCAAAACAGCAGACTGATTCCGAGAGTCGTTTTCGTCGCTCTGTCTCTCTCGCACCCGTTGCGCGTAGGTGCGACAGAGACAGCGCGACGAAACGACTCTCGGAATCATCCACAGGCGGCGCCCGCAGCGCTAGTTCCTGTAGATGACGCTGCAACGCCACAGCGCCGCAGTCGCGTGCACTGTGTGGCACACTGTGTGGCACACTGTGTGGCACACTGTGTGCACCGGCGTGCCGCGACGCCCTGTGGATCACGACGCCCCCTCCCTGGAGTCATGCGGCGGAACGTGAGTTGACTAGCCTCCAGGGACTCGGGCTGCTCGGCGAGGAACCAGAGCCTCCCCTCCCCCCGCACCACCCCGCCGGCCAGCCCCCCCTCCCCCTTCCCCGCGACCCCTGACCTCCAAAGGGTTGAAAGCCCTTTGGCGTTCCTCGCCGCGACACCCCAGTTCGTCTGGCCGCCGCCGCACCGCCACCGTTGCGCGTTGCGCGCCCTCGACTGCCGAAAGGTCTACGAAGGGCCCACAGGAGGGTGTTGCCGGTTCCAGCTTCCAGGCCAGAACGTCTCCCCTCGTGAAAGATGGACTGCACCTCCGCGAAGTCGCCCACACTGCTGTAACAGTGTTGCTTCGACCGCTTCGAGGACATAATGGCACATAATTTGGGGAGGCTGAAAGTCTCCATCCAAGCAACAGTTGGCCGCTCCTACATTAAGACCCAAACTAGTCCTGACAGTATCTCAGGGAGACAAGTCACGTAATAAATCTTTTAAAAAATTAAATAAATTTGCCACGGCTGGTACTTGAACCCGGGACCTTGAGGACCGTCGCGGCTGCCGCACCACAGTTGCGCCCCAGACGTGTGTTCCTTCCAGTGTAGTGCTGCGGAGACGCGTGTCGCACCACTGCTAACAACGCCTCGACGCCTCGACGCCCCGCATTAGTAACTTTGGCACAACGTCACGCGTGCGCGCCGCGCGGCGCCGCGCCAACCAACCACAGTTAATCGAAACTCCCGGCTTGATGTGCATGATTCTGGGCGTGATTCAGGTCCAATCGGCGGAACAGTCATACTTGTACTGAGGTCGGCGCCATGCCCCCCCCCCTTTTTCCCCCTTCAAGCGTCACCGTGGGGAGCGAAAGGGGCTGCGAGTGCTGTCATTAATTACGGCCAAGTAAATGCTTTTCGGCTGCCTGCCTGCCTGCCCGCCAGACTGCCTGACCCGCCTCTGTCAGGCCGCCCTGCTCTGCCCTGCCTGGCGCCTCGCATCGCAAAATGAATCATTCCCAGACAATGTTGCCACACAAGTAGCAGAAAATCGAAAGCGTTGGCAACCTCAGGCCGCCTACTCGGCGACTTCTCGAGAGCAGAGCAATGAGGTTAGCCATGGCAAACCATTTCGACTCCGGGGGATGGTGGGAAATTTTACCTTCTTGTGGTGGCAACACTGTTCGGGGGCGCACTCGTCTTGGACGCCCACCTCGTGTTCCTCGACCCCGTGCCCTTCTACGCCCTCCTTGTCTCTCTGTGTGTCTCTATCTCGCTCTCTCCCGGGCCGCCGGGCTGCGCCAGGCCACGCGGTTGCCCGCCACACTGCCCCTTAATGAATTGACTTAGCGCTCGGGCCGCTCGGGCCGCACTACCTGCAGCAGGTCGGACTGGGGCAGCTCCTGGAGGACCCTCAGCAGCAGCTTGTCGGGCAGGTCCTCCAGGGTCCGCGTCGTCCGGGAGGTCCGCGCGGCCGGCCGGCCGGCCCGGGGGTTGTCTCGGGGCGTCCGCGGCCGCAGCCGCCTGCCAGTGGTGGTGCCACTCATGGGGGCGGAGCGGGCGGGCCGGAGCGCAAGGTGCACAAGGTGCCACAAAGCAAAGCCAAGCCGATCGGGGCGGGCGGGCTGCGCTGCGGGCAGGACCTGTCCAGCAGGACGCAGCTCAAGACACGGTTCGAGCTCCACAGTCCTCGGACCGAGCTCCAATCGCACCTTGAATCGTACACGTTGGGGTGCCAACGGCCCCCTCGCTGCACGGGCCAGCCACTGGCAGCGGCGCGTTGGAGGGACGCGCCTTGCTCACCTCACTGGCGCCGCAGGACGCGCAGGACGAAGGATGCTCTTCCACTCCGCACCGCCCTCGCTGCACGGCACGGCCGCGTCGCCGCGCCGCCGGGAAGGGAAAACCGCGCCCAATTGTTTTCCGCGCGACAACAATCCAAGACCGATTCCGAACTCTGTCTCTCTCGCAGCCGCGCGGGCCGCTCCATGAGTGGGAGCGAGGCAGCCAGATGGCCGCGCGCAGCAGGCGAGCCAACCGCCGCACACTCTTTTGTTATTTCAGGAAAATATTCCCGCCGCGACGTCGAAACTTTGCCGCTCCTGTTGTGTTTTGGCAGCCGCGCGCTCGGCGGCGCCCGGCAAGGCTAAGTGCCTCGCGCCCCGCGCCTCGCCCCGCGCCGAGCTCACACCCCCGGGAAAAGATGTTCGTCGTGAGCATTGCGGAATTCCTGTGGTGCTATGTGTGGCGGTGTGCAGACGAGGCGGTGCGCAATTTTCCATCCCACGGCTTTCCCCCCTCCCCTCCCTCCTGCCTGGTGCCTTTCATTGACCGGACGCATCAATCTTCCGATTCGTCTTGCCGGCATAATAAAAAGGAGGGACCGCCGCGGGGCAGAACGGCAGAACGGCAGAATCTGTAGTGATCCGGGGATTACAGCGTCGGCCTCGCAAAGAAAGGGGGATTACGGCGTTGCTGTGTCGGCCGGGGAGGCCGGGGTAGCGAGAGCGGGCAGGGTGGCCCCTCCACGGCGGCCCCTCGAAGAGCCTCGGAGCCCACCTGGCCCGACCCGGCCCGCCAAAGAGGCTGTCTCCAACGGGCGGGAATATTCATAGCTGTGGTGCTGATTTTAGATTCTGCTCGTCTTGGAATTGATGGATTTAATAATGGGCGGTAACTTGATTGTGCGCGGTCGGCTACTTGATTGATGGCCCTTGGTGGATGAGTGGGGGAGAGAGAGAGTGCAGTGGCAAGGACAAACAAGAGAACGACGCAAGTGGGAGAATCAGGTCACAGTTTTATTCCTACCACCCCGCGCGAGCTTTTCCAAGTGAAGCCAAGTCGACGAGTCGATTGGTCCGGGACGGTCAGTCTGGCGGTCTGGCGAGCGCCTCTTCAGTCGTCGTCCGAGGGGGTCTCCGCGGAGGCCTCCGGGAGGGGCGAGGTGCGCAGGGCGGCGGGAAGCAGCGGCGCGCGAGCACGCCGTCATGGCCGTCTAGTCCCAGCAGGAGCAGGGTCCGCGGCAGCCGCAGCCCTTGGTGCCCAGGGAGCCGAGCACGGGGATGCCGACGACGGAGGGGGCGCAGCTCTGCTGGACGGCGGGGGCGCGGTCGTGGATCACGGTGTGGTGGTTGATGCCACCGTAGCCCCAGCCGCCGTAGCCGCCGTAGCCGCCGCAGCAGCCGCAGCCGCAGCCACCGCAGCCGCAGCCGCAACCGCCGCAGCCGCAGCCGCAGCCGCACTTGCAGGCCTGCAACGCACAGAGGGACGGTGGTTAGTCAGGTCACACGAGCGGCTTTTTCCGACATGTTTTGCGCAGAGAGCAGACTTGCACCGACTGTGCAAATCCAACTTTTTACAAAATCGCTACTTGAGCAATCCCGGAGGTCCGTTCGGACTCACTGACACAAATCACGCACTGGCACTTTGAGGCACTTCGATGCAGAGCACGCACTTTCCCTCCGGACACTCCCAACTTCTCCAAACACTCAAATCACTTCGCACCGCGAGATCGCTCGCTCCCCACTTGCACGACGCACTGCACTACTCGAGTCACTAGCCGCGGCGCCTTGTCGCACTTCACTGCTGCTGTCCACCACACTGGCACACTGACACACTGGCACACGTTCCACCGCCGGCAGCGCGCTCCTCCCCGTCAAGTTACTCACCGAGGTGAACTCCAGGATCTGGAAGATGACGATGAGCGCCAACAGGGCGACGACGGCGATCCTCATGTTGGCGGTGTGGGTGACGGTGCTGCGGGCCGACACGGAGAGAAGAATGCTTGTGGTGGCCGGGCTGGCGTCGCGGCGCCGTTTTATACTTCGGCCCACTTCCAGCGCCGCCCCGCCCCGCCCCGCGACCGTGTTTACAAACCGCGAGGCCGCCGACGGCCAGCAGCGCCCGCAGCGCCTGTAGCCAGGGGAGCAGCAGCCCGCCGCGTGGCGCACCGGCCGGGCCGTGGCGTAGCACAGTGGGCCAGAAGCCGGTGGAGGCGGCCAAAACTCTAGACGCGTTTTGAGCTCCAGAGTCGCTAAATGGGACTCGAACCGAACGTGTGACCCCACCAATGGATTCCTCGTTCGGAGAGCAATCCATTGGTGGGGTCACACGTTCGGTTCGAGTCCCATTTAGCGATTCTGGAGCTCAAAACGCGTCTAGAGTTTTGGCCGCCTCCACCGGCTTCTGCCCACTGTGCGTAGGTAACACGGTGCAACCGTGAAACCCAGCCACACGCTTTCAATCAATTTATAAAAAAATATTTTGATGTGGTGAGGCTGTTTGTCAGCACTCTGGACGTGCTTCATTACATTTTTCACTATTTTTAAACCTATTTTTCCACGGTGTCCACACCCTTGATGGCGCCGATGATGGAGCCTTGCTTCCTTTGACCCGTCTTTGTCCATCTGCCTGCCGCGCCGCCTGCCGCCGTGAGAGGGCGACGAGACAGACTCGAATTACCGCCCCCCCTCCATTTTCCCGCTCCTTCTGCCGATGTCGCTTCCACTCATTCATTCCTGTGTAAAATCGACTTTGGAGAGGTGAACGCGGCGGCGCGGCGCCGTGCCCCGCCTAACCTAATTTACGATTTTATTTGATCGTGAAATTGAGCGTTAATTCTCTCTGCTGTATGCGACGCCGTCGTGCCCGGTCGTGCCTGCTGCCTGGCCCTGTCGGGGGAGAGCAGAGCACACAGAAGAGTTCCCTCCTCTGAACCTGCAAATTGCCCCCTCCCCTACGACACCCCGTTCCCCTCCCCCCGTCAGGGGCACCACCGTATAAATCACACCCCCACAGACGGGGTGCGTTCGAGACATCAGAGCGTCGCCGCGCTGGAGCGCGAGGCGGCGGTGCTGCGGCCTAGGCGGAGTGCCGGCGCCTCGTTCGCACGCCGCCTAGCCCTGCCCGGCCCGGCCCGGCCCGGCCCGCGGCATCGGTCTGAGAACAGTTTCCTCTGAAGGGCGAGGCGGTCGGGCAGGAAAATAAATAAGAACGTTTCGGCGAGGAGGCGGGGCATCGCGCGCCGCGGCGTGTGAGCATTCATCAGATCCTTTACAGCATCCGTCGCCTCGTCGCCGTCTCCGTCTCGGCCCCCTCCCCTTTCCCTCTACCCCTCCGGGTCCCTGCGGCCTTTTCTTCAGGAAGAATGTACGCAAGATCGCGTTCCTCTGTGTTCGTGTGTGCCCGGCCGTGCTGGGCCTGGGCCCCACAGGCCCTGGGGGTCTCTAGGGAGAGTCCGCCGTCTGGCAGGAGCCCCTGCAGGACCCGGCATAGGCACCGCGCCGCGCAGCCATGCCGTGCGCCGCGCGGCGCTGCCTACCTCGCAGGCTGACTGTCGAGGCAACCCAGCTCAGCTGCCTCTGTCTGCACCTCTGTCTCCCCCTGACTGCCTACCTCTGTCCACCTCTCTCTGTCTCTGTCAGCATCTCTGTCTCCTTCTGTCGAGCCTGCGTCTGTCTGCCTCTGTCTGCCTCAGCCCCGCTTAGCGTCCGGAAAAACGGACGGGCGACTTCGGGAGTGCTTTCCTTCGTAAGCCAATTTGGTAGCTACGCCGCTGGGCCGCCGGGTCGCTGGCGACGTTCCGAGCCGCGCAGCCGCGCCGCGGATTAGCGACACTCATCGTTAGTCGCGACACGGGTGGCGTGGCGTGGCAGGCCGGGGCGGGGGAAGCCGCAGAGAATGACGAGAGCCTCTCGAAAAGCACGCCGTTTGTCCTCAAAATCCTGTGGCCGACCAAAAGGCCAAAAGAGGAGATTTTTTTCCCCTCTGCGGTGTGTCGGGGAGGGGAGTGAGCCACTACTGACAACGCAGTATTTTTTCAGCATGCCATCGTTGGCAGTGTACGTGTTGTTGCCTGGCGCACAGACCGGGCCAGCCAGCCCCAGCCGGGCCGTGGACCAGACGGCTTGGCGCCAACCGGGCAGGCAGGCAACCCCTTTGGGGCACGGCGTCTCCCGCGAGTTCCCCAGCCGGATTCCTCGCAGTGTGCTTTCGTCGCTCTGTCTCTCTCGCGACCAACGTGACGCGCAGTGCCGCTGCAGCGCTGCAGGCCGTGCACTTTTCGCCGGCGGAGACAGAGAGAGACGGAGAGAGAGAAAGAGACGGGCGCTGTTTCCAAATAAAGAGCCGCCGCCGATTCATCGGGCGTGCTTCGAAGGTGTGAGTGCGAGGGAGTGAGCGAGACTTGGACGGTGAGTGTGAGTGAGACGGCGAGACGGCCCAAGGGACGCCACACTTGCGTCGTGCAGCACCCTGCTAGGCGCGGTGCGCGCCGTGCGCACCCAAGTGGGGCAGTCTGACGGCCGTGCGTGGCCTTGAATCGCGAAAGACGCGGGTAAGTTGAAGCTACTCCCCCTCCTCCCCCCTCCCTCTCTTTCTGTCCGCCACGCCCCCCGCGGACTCTATGGAGACGGGACGGCCGGCAACTCCCGTCGCGTCGCCTAGTGGAGGTGTCAAGTTTGTGTACTCTACACTGGGCCCCTGCCCTGGCGGCATGTCTGTGTGATTCCGCTTCCCACCAATGCATGTGAGACAGAGAAAGAAAAGAGGGAGAAAAACGAGAGCGAAGGGAAAATGAAAAAAATAGCCTTTTTGGCTGCTGGTAGCAAATGTCAAAGTTGGACGTCTTGGAGGGCAAAAAAAAAAAAAAAAATTGAGTCAAGATAAATTTAAAATCAAATTTTAATAAAGTTACTATTCTTTAAATAACTTGGGCAATCCTGTAAATTTGCAACAGACACTGACCAGCATTGTCTGTTGGGGTTTATGGACCTTTTCTTCCAGATTGGCCATGCCAACCACAAACTCTTCAACAGCCACACAAAAAATAAATACAGATCAATATAAAACATTGATGAATTTACAATGGTAGAGCACACAGCACATCACGATAGCCATACTTTCTGAATGGAGATGCCATGCACATGTAATAACCAACTTGGTAACAATGTGTATTTTAGATAATTAGGCAGAAAAGTTATAGCAGAGAAGGCAGTGATCTGCAGTTCACTTTACATCACAATTGGTACAATATCACGAATCACTTAGGAGAGCTTTCATAGTTGGGTGGAGAGTGTGACACATAGGAAGAATCCTACAAGTAACTCAAACAGCAGAGGGAGAAGGGAAGGGGATTTACACAATTATAACTGTTCCATAATAGTTGAGACTAAGCCACAGATACAAAAAATAATATAGTGATCAATCATAGCCTTTGGTTCAGAGATACTTAAAATGGCAAATTCTTTTTTTTTTCTTTTTTTTTCAATTTGACATGATTATTCCTTTACAAAGCATTCACAAAAATATAAGGAACGGCCAAAAATGGACACCAAATGCAAATGCATATTACTAGTTTTCATCAAAATTTTGAATTTTGAGGGAGATGTCTTTAACAAAATTGATGACAATTTGGTCCCTCCATATATTTCAATGGACTAGAATAGCTAAAGTATTGTTGTATTAAGGGGTACTTAAAGGTGAGACCTTAAAGATCAAACAAACAAAAAAGAAAAAACATAGCTCAGTAAACAACTAAACCAGGCTTAGATACCAATACATATAGGTAGCTTTTCTTGAATTAAAACAAAACTTTGCTCCATTGACAAAGGAACATCAATTACTACAATCAACATCCCTGATTGGGATGGTACATGATGATGATTTTAGGGTGAGAGCATTTGATGTATACTATCAATGTTTATATTGTGGTGGTACATTGGTAGATCAGTCAGAGATCAGACATCAGCAATATTCTCGAAGTGGCAACATACAAAATTTCATTATCATTTACGTATTTCCATTTTCTCATTTGTTTTGCTCTGCAAGTTCTTGTTCAACAATCCTACGATACTCATCAAAGCCACCTTCAATGCTGTGAACACTGCCATTTCCACAAATCCAAAGTTCTTTGCAGACCATTCGGATGAGTCTTTCATCGTGAGAAACAAGAATAACTCCTCCCTAGATATTTAAAAAAAGAGAGAGAGATGGGGAGAGAAAAAGAAATAATTAATACACAAGATACCACGGTATGTTAAAAGTATCACTTCAACAGAAATTTACATACCGAATACTTGTTGATGGCAAGACCCAATGCGTGAATGGATTCAATGTCAAGATGGTTGGTAGGTTCGTCAAGAACAAGGAAGTTTGGATTTCCCATGCACATGACTGCAAATGCCACTCGTGACTTTTGACCTCCTGATAAACTTGCAATACTTTGCAGGGCAAGATCGCCTGAGACACCAAAGCTTCCCAACTGTCGTCTGTACTCCTCGACAGGCTTTCCTGCAGGTTACCAAAAAATTTGACAAATTAGAAGAGCAACATGAGAATTAACTGATTCAAAATAACACTGTGGTAACAAACCTGGGAAAGCTTGCTGAAGCAATTCTACAGAACATAAGTTCATTTCCAGTTGATCCACATGGTGCTGACTGAAGTAACCAAATTTGAGGTTACGATGAGTGATGCGGTCACCTCGGCTTGGGCTAAGGATACCCATGATTATTTTCAATAGAGTAGTTTTTCCAGCACCATTGTCACCAACCTAAAAAGAAAACGATAAAAACAGAAGTGTGCTATAAAACAATCATATATCTTCACCTCCAACATTCATGAAAAACAATTTTTAAAAAATAACAACAACATAAATGCATAGAAGTACATAGTTCTACTTACAATACATATTCGAGATTCCAAAGTGGCATTCAGGTTCACATTACTAAAAATGGTCCGTTTGGAGTCATATGAAAAGCTGACTTCAGATAATTGAAGAATTGGTGGAGAGAGGGGGTCAACAACTGGGAACCTCAGTATAACATCAGCTTCCTTCTCTACAGGCTTCAATTCAGGCCTGAAAAATAACATTGAGTTGCCGTGAAAAAAAATTGGCGGACATTATGCAATCTTAGACAAATGTAGAGCACACTTACAGTTTTTCAAGCATCTTAATTTTGCTCTGAACGCTTGAAGCTCTGTTGGCATTAAATCGGAATCGGTCAATAAATGCCTGAACATGCTCACGATGCTGTTGTTGTGCTTCCCATTCCCTCTGCTGGTTTTTCAGCTTCTCATTCTTAGTTTTCTCAAACTGTTCGTAATTTCCTCTGTAAAAGAAAAAAAAATTTAAATGAAAAATCTAACATGTAAAACTAAAAAATTATTCAATTAAGTGGATAGACTTTACCTGTATGCCTCTAATCTTTGAGCATAGAGATGAATGACATCAGTAGGGACAGTGTCAAGGAAGTTGCGGTCGTGAGACACAACAAGCAAAGTTGTAGGCCAATTTTGAAGATAATTCTCTAACCATATGATAGCTTTGATGTCCAACATGTTGGTAGGTTCATCCAACAGAAGCAAATCAGGTCTACAGAAAAACAGTTAGGGTAAATAAAAAGGAAACAATCTACAAGTGGGTATTTCTTCAAGATTTAGGAAGTGGATAACGAAAGTAGGAAGAAAATTAAAAACGTACTTGGAAAACAAAGCTCTGGCAAGAGCTAAGCGCATTCGCCAACCTCCTGAAAATTCTTTTGTTTTGCGACTTTGCATTTCTACCGTGAAACCAAGACCATTGAGGATACGAGATGCTCTTGCTGGTGCTTTATCAGCTTCTATGGTCTGCAGAGCTACATAGACCTCACTTAATTCCTCTGCCATTTTACTATCAGCTGTCCTGTTCCATAGGAAAACAAGAATTGTAAAGCATAGCAAGTAAAAATGCAATAAAATTAAAAACTGAAAATTTCTATGAAAAACTATACGAACCCTGCATTGACAGCAGCGTTTATCTCTCTCTCACGTTTCAGTAAATCTTCACGTTTAGTATCACATTCCAGAACACTTTGAAGGGCTGGAGTTTCATCACCTACCACTTCTTGTTCCACATGTAATATTGAGACATGAGAAGGAATGCGAAGTTGACCTCTGGTAACAATTACAAAAAATAATATTATTTTGAAATTAAAGAATCTAAGGAGAGGAAGCCAAGCTTGCTGCGTTATAATAGTCCCTCCAATTACCCTGAGATCATACGAAGCAGTGTGGTTTTTCCATGTCCGTTTCTTCCCACCAGCCCATATCTTCTTCCAAATGAAAGCAGGAGGTCTGCACCCTGGAGAAGAACCCTGTAAAAGTCAGCAAATCAAATCAAATCAAATATTTAAAATCGTGGAGGCAACTCGGGAGTACACAGGCACAAGAAGAAATTTACCTTTCGCCAAATGCAACATCAAAATTCTCAATTCTGATGTCTTGAGTGCGGTTGGATCCTTTGGCTTCCATTTTGGCATCTTTTCTACTAGTGACTTGAGATGCAGAAGCAGTCTCTAGCTTGAGAGGTCCTGCTGCTGGTTTGGCTTGCATATCAGCAACTCGTTTCTCTTGTCTTTGCTTCAGCTTTGCCTCAGCCTTTTCTAATTTTTTGGCATCAACTTTCTAAAAAAAGAAAAAAAGAGTCCAGTTTAAAAAATTGTAATTTATTAAGATACTGAAATTCCATTGCATAAAAACGAAGAGACACTTACCAAATTATCATCTCGTTGTGTGACCCATATACTTTTTATCTCTCCCATGTCAGTTTCAGAATTATCAGACAGTGACTTAAGATGAACTGGTGCTTCCAAAACTCTGTTTTCCTTTTTGGCAACATTTGAATCATTTGAACCTGGTTTCATTATACCCCAGAGCTTTTCGCATATAACTTTTATATCGTCCTCTGATTTGTCATTTGCTACCTCTTGCAAAACTTCTCCCACGGCATCAAATATTTCTCCACTGTCTTCAAAGTCATCGGCACTGCTAGTGAGTACACCTACATAACAAACGGGTGCAGAAAGGTATATTACAAGGTTTTATAATTGTTAATAACGATTCAACAGCTGAAAACATGTTCGGCAGTATTTGCAAGGCATGTCAAGGACTTCCCCTACTACAGCATGGAGTGTTTTTTTTAAAGATACACTAATTAAAAATGTACGAGAATCACAGAATGATTGGGCAGGAACAAATAAGAACGCAAGAAAGTGAAATTCCAGCTACATACTCTAGCGAGATGTTCCTAACCTACAAAATGTGGGTGCTTTGACAGGACCACAGTTCCACAAGTAAGGCATAAATACTTAAAGTTATGACACCTGTCAAATTTTAATGGATTCAATTTAATATACCTTCAACATATTGGTATAATTCGTCGTCAATCTTGGGGAATTCTTGTTTGAGATACTCCAAGTAGGCTGCCATGATGGTTTCAAGATTCCATTCGTCGCGAAGGATCGGAAACGTCATAGAAAACGAGCAAGGCGTGCGGCTGCCGGCTGTTTGTGTATGTTTGAGAAGTTAGGTTATTTTTGTGTTAGAGTTTTAGCAGAAACGTTCTACTAACGGCTTCAACTACAGATCTAAGATGCCAACTTGGAATCAAATTCAGTCTCAGCTTCGACATCCTAACAACCCCGTTGTATTTTTCGATGTCAACGTAGGCACAATAGTAAGTGTCAATCCAGCGATTGTATTCTCACATTAGTGTACATGTTACATTTAGTCAAATCGTTTTGGTGTCCTAAGGTCAAGACCTCGGGTCTCCTCATTTCTCACTTTCGCCTTTTCCATAGCGCATGTCCCCACTCAATCAAAATTAACAACTTCTTTTTTCTTTGTGTTGTAGTTTAACATTTCCCGCTCATTCCTGTCCATTTTATTTTTCACTGAAATCATCCTTTATTGCTAGATTTAAGTTAAGACCAGCATATTCTATAAATATTAAATGTTCTGTCTTTTAACGCAGTTACATAATGTGCATAACCACATTTATAGTCATCAATTCGATAGCCTGTTAATGCATTGCGATTCACTCGTATATCCTTTTACCCTGTTTCTCAAACATTTTTTGCAGGAAATTGGCAGAATGGTAATGGAACTATTTGCAGACATAGTACCCAAAACAAGTGAAAACTTTAGACAATTTTGCACGGGTGAATACAGAAGAGATGGAGTTCCTCTTGGCTTTAAAGGTGCCCCTTTCCACCGAGTAATCAAAGATTTCATGATCCAAGGAGGAGATTTTGTCAATGTAAGTAAAACTGGGTTCTCTCCCTATATTAAGTTACGAGTACCTTGTCACAGTCAAGCAACTTATTTTATTTTAATATTTCTTTACACAGGGTGATGGAACTGGTGTCATGAGCATTCATGGAGGAACAGCCTTCCCAGACGAAAACTTTACTCTGAAACATGATGCTCCAGGGCTGCTGTCCATGGCTAATAGTGGCAAAGATACAAATGGTTGTCAGTTTTTCATAACATGTGCAAAATGTAATTTCTTAGATGGAAAACATGTTGTATTTGGTAGAGTTATTGATGGGCTTCTTGTCATGAGAAAAATTGAAAATGTCCCCACTGGTCCTAATAACAAGCCTAAAATTCCAGTTGTTATTTCACAATGTGGACAGATGTAATTTCATGTAAGATCTCAACAATGTACCATCTTTGTTAGTGTTCTTAAAAACATACAAATAATTAACTTTTCATAAAATATATTTATCATAAATTGGTCAAATTCATTTTAGCAACATGCAAGCGGTTCTCAATTCAAGAGAAAGAAGATAACAGTTGTTTGCTTATCAGAATAAATAACTTTTGTGTACAACATTTCATATTATTATTGGACATTAGCCTCCAGAAATTACTACCCATCATTAAATGTTTTAAAACTCCATGTTATTATTAGAGCGAAACATTAGTGAGAAAATAGGCAACTCATCAAAATAATTGGAGAACTTGTTAATATGAGTTGGGGTAGGAATTCAACAATAATTAATTATTTACATTTGCTTGTCAAAGCTTGTGTCTGTTACAAGCCTGAATACTTATCATTGGCTATCACCATTTTTCTTTACTTCTAGCTTGAGGGTGTGGATTGAAGGTTTCCCAAAGCGTTGCTCAGCTTCTGTAAAGAAAGCCCGTTCCATTTGTCTCACAAGCTCGTTGAAAAATACATGAGCCAATTGAGAGTGAAAGGCTGATCGAAAACTGAAGGACACATGAAAATCAATGACACAAGACTGTGGTTCAGTACTAAGACCAGGGCTAAATTTCCAAACAGTGGTTAGATGATCAAACAAGTGACCTTCAGTGCATTCAGCCCTGCAAAAAAAGATTCAATAATTAAATATTTTGGAAAAATTATGAAAAACTTGCAGAACTTGAGAAACTTACTTGACCAGTCGAGGGCGGATAAGAGTCACTGCTGACACGTAACTTTCAGTTATGGGAGGAAATCCTATACTGAGTTCTCCTTTCAAAAATCCAGATTTTCTAACCGTCACATCTGAACGTTTGCAAAAGGGAACAAAATTTTTGTAATTTTCAACATCAGACACTACATTATACATCTGATCCATGGAAAATCTGTGGAAGTGCAAAAGTTATGTCATGAATCGTAAAATTCAATCTCACTACTAGAATTCTCACTTTAGGCCAACAAATTATCTACTAACCCAACTAATTTTCTTCCTCTGTACTCTTTGGTTTTATCAGAAAAACTCGAACGATTAAAGAAAGAATTACAAACAGAGCAAGTGCTAAATCCTTGGTTGTGTATATGAGTCGATTGAGAATTCAGTGTTTGGACATAATTCGCAAGCAACCTGCAATAGCCACAGAAAGATGTTAAAGACAAATTAACAAGAAACTAACAAGATTCATAAAAGAAAATGTCACTACATGACGAAAAACAACACAATGACCACAATTTTATGAAGGATATTAACCCAACTCAACAAGGTCCTTAGGTTGTGAAATATAATAAAATTACTAGCCTTAATGGAATAACACTCCGTTTAGTAATCGTAGCTAGGCGTAAAATTCGAGCACTACTGCAACAGCACTGACGGATTAATGTCATTATGTCTAAAGGGATTCGTTCACGCTCCCAAAATAAATGTTATTTTGAAGTTTAGTGGTGTTAGCCTAACCCTAGCAGACGCTTTCCACGGCATAGCGGATCCCATTCGGCGCCGTGGCCGTGGTTTTATCACGGAGCAGAATGGTATGGAGCAACGGATCAGGCCCAGCGGCATAGGGCTGGCGAACTACCTTTCGCGGCGGCACTTGGTGCTTGCTCCGGCCGCCACCGCGCGGCGCTCGCGTCGTTATGGCTCTGCCCCGGCCGCTGGGCGCCTCTGCCGGCCACTGTGAGGCATGGACCGGGGACGGTTTTTCGGCTGTAAGTCCTAAACCGTTCAAATTAAATGGGTAGAGTAAGCGAGGCGATTGTAGGTCTCAGTCTAAGCTACAATCGGCTCGCTTAGCATACCCCTCTAACTGCAGCGGCCTAGGAGCTAGGACTAAAAAGCCATCTCCCGCCGGCAGCCCCAGGCCCCATGGTCCATACTACAATCACAAAAATATAAAACAATCCAGTTGCTTTCAATAAAACTGCATAATTGCGTCTCGGTATTGCATAGTTTAATTGTTATCAGGACATAAGACCATAACAGTGGCTGCATAGCCTTTTCGATTTAGAAATCAAGAACCTATAGTAATTGACGTAACTTAATTTGTAATGCCTGGCTCAAAAGCTTTGGCAAGCGAGGAAACTGTGGGAACCTAATAAAATTGGCTTCAATTTAATAACTGTGCTTGAAAGCATAAAGTAGCATTATACTCAGATTTTTTGAAAAATTAAAAAATAAAGAATCATTGACGCTTCATGTGCCATCAGGCAATACTTGAAAAGCAAACGTAAAGTCACCTTCTGACTACATCTTTAATGATTTCAGTTTTAAGTCACGACAACTGTACTGATTTGTTTCAAAAGTCTTCATTTTGACTTAAGCTTTTAAACCAGGCATCATAAAGTAAATTCCGTCAAATATCATGACTAATCGATTTCTAAAACAATGTGCATTCCAGCAATTGTAATGACACCATTTCCTAAACATATTTTAGCTGAACAATATTCAACCACAATCATGCAATTTAATTAGAAATTAATGGATTGTATAATGTTTTTCTTTATCTCTAGAGAAAAGCATAGACAGGGGCTGGGGCCTGGGGCTGCCGGCGTCGGCGGGAGATGGTTTTTCAGTCCTAGCTCCTAGGCCGCTGCAGTTAGAGGGGTATACTAAGCGAGCGGATTGTAGCTTAGACTGAGACCTACAATCGCCTCGCTTACTCTACCCATTTAATTTGAACGGTTTAGGATTTACAGCCGAAAAACCGTCCCCGGTCCATGCCTCACAGTGGCCGGCAGAGGCGCCCAGCGGCCGGGGCAGAGCCATAACGACGCGAGCGCCGCGCGGTGGCGGCCGGAGCAAGCACCAACTGCCGCCGCGAAAGGTAGTTCGGTTTTCGTGCATAGCTGATCCTCCATACCATTCTGCTCCGTGGTTTTATAAACATGAGCATTTAGCAAAATGGCGGCCGACATACCTCGGACTCACGAAGGTACAATTTATTTTCCGTATTTGCTTTACTACTCGAAAGCTATTTGCGTTAATTAGTGTTTGTAGTGAGCGAAAAACTCGTACGTGTGTGAGAGTTATCGAGTGATGTATGGGTTGTTGTTCTTACTCGAATATTGGCGAGTCCTAAATCGGCATGCCTCCTCGGTGTTTTGGCTCGTAGATGTTTAAGGATACACATACGTGACGTTTACCTTCGTAAAGATAGCTGCATTCCTCAACTACCGTCAATTTTTTCTCTGAAAACACCATGAAATTTCTGAGACGTGATTTTAGTGCAACCACTCTTTTTCTGCATGTTTTTTTTTTTTTTTCAACATAACCTTGATACGTCGCGAATAACTAACGCTTGTTTCAAATTCAAGTTTTTCATTAGAAAAGTGACCACTGTAAGAGGTGTGAACATCAGCCTATACGTAGAACTCGACCTCGAGTGTGTTAAGAACCCTACGTATACCAAGCAGTACGCTCATTTCCATCTGTTAGCTGTCTGTCACTATTGCCCCCTTATAACCACAACTAGCAGCATCATACATTTTTATTGCTGGTTGAAAATTTTTTTTACCACTATCTTTTCTTTTCCAGCTATTGAAGCCCAAATTTTAGACATTCAATCCCGGAAGAAGCAGATAGTTTCAGAAGATGGGCTCACAGAGAAGGATCGTGTTGGTCTCGGAGAAACTGGCTACTTTGACAGTGATATCTATGATGGCGGTGGTGGCAAATATGAAGGATATGTTACATCTATTGCAGCCAATGATGAAGTTGATGTAAGTTTTCTTATTTTGACATATTAGTGTGTTAAAACACATTTTTCCTCCTCCTTTCTTAAGATTTTTTCAAGGGATTTTTTGATACAAATAAAGGGCCTTTGGTCTCTTTATCATACTAATTTTAATTTAATTGATGCAGGATGATGAAGTTGATCAAGTTTCATTTACCCAAAACAAAAGACCAGGGTACACTGCACCAGCAGCCTTACTCAACGATGTTGCACAGGTATGTTTAGTGAAGCAGTTTTTGTTGAATATGGTTTGTAATTTTCATTCTAATTTAAATTTGTGTCTATCTTTGCAGGCTGATAAAGATTACGACCCATTTGCGGACAGGCGTAGACCAACGATTGCAGAAAAGGAAGATGAATACAGGCAGAAACGGAGAAGGATGATTATATCTCCTGAGAGAGTGGATCCATTTGCTGAAGGTTGGTGCTAATTTTAATCAAAAATTTAACTCTTTAGCATCTAGGATATTATGCTAGTGATCAAATGTTGTTCTCATGTTGTCAGGTTTAAATTTATAATGTTATGCTTCTCTAGATTCCCCCTCCCCCTTTTCCTCTCTCTTTTTAAGACTTAAATCTGACAACATCCTATGCTTGGTTAAATATGGCTGAGAGCTGATAAGTGAAAATAAGCTTCTTTCAAGACCAAGTTACTTTCAAGACTTAGTTTCAGAGGCTGTCCAATTCTCATTTTAAGTCACAATGATTTTTTTTTTTTTTTTTTTTTTTTGCCTATTTCTCTTTTATCTATCTCTTTTTTTTAAAAAACTTATCAGCTCTGAGCCTAGTTTGTATGGTTGTCACATCATTACAGCTGAACAAGCTTTAATTATCCATTATCCGTTCTCTTATTTAATCCAAATACTTCATGTTTATTGACTATAGTTTGAGTATTGTTTCCCTGTATGTTCAGCTGTAATAGACGGGCTTTCAACATTTTAGAGTTTTAATGACCCTGATATCACTCTAAAAGTACAATTGTTTTAACTAAGCATTTTGGACACTTGCATGTCACCCAATTTATTGATCTTATCTTTCTAAAATGTACTTTCAGTTTTCTGGAAGGAATGGTACTGTTGAAACTGCCTCTTTTTCTTTTTTTTTAGTGGCCTTGATTTTCCCTCTGAATTTTGAAAGCCCATGTTTTCCTGTTGCATGAATTATGTATTCTTGCTGATGCTACTTGTTCATTTTCTTCTTCTTAAACACAACTTTTATGCACAGGTTTTGATTGCAACATTCTAGTCTTTGTATTCACACCATTTAACTCAATCTGTATTGAAGTAAAGGTTCCTAAATTTATCCTGTACTTCCATTAAAATTATGAAATTTGAGAGGAGACATAAATTTAAAAAGGGATTCAGCAAGAATACATTACCTGGTTAGTCTTTTCTTGTTAGGGTGTGAATGGATCGGATGAGTGTGTGTATGTGAGTGCGTGTCAGTCAGCTACTATTCCATTGTCAAACAATTGAAGTTGGAGAGGTTGCCACTGGAAGGCTCCAATTGGGAGGCTCTATCATCCTGGGTTCAAATCTTCTTTTTGTAAACCCTACCTACCTCATTTTGAGTCAAAGGAAGAAGAAAAATTTCTTTGATTGAGACTCCCATTGGATCCAGAAAACTGAAACCATCTTCATTTAATGTTAACTGCTGACATCTGGATTCAGACTTTATATTAAGTAAAATGGTTGATGGTGCCTTCCAGCTAAGACATTTACATTTATGACCATGGTCTAGGTTCGCAAATTGATTTCACATACTAATAAAGGTGAATTTCTTCTCTCCCTACCCGAGGATGTCTAGCCCGAACCTGAGCTGCTCAACGGGAAGCCATCATCTCAAGTGTCTGGTGCGGGAAAGAAAGGACACCCTTGAATGCCTCATAGTTATTTTTTTTTTTTTTTGAGAGTACATACACAGATTGCCATATAATATTAATACAATATTAATGGATACCACTAGTAATTGATGAGATTAAGTAAAATGGGAGCTGAGGGCAGTTATTTTTGGTGTCTAGCTTGTGTTGCTAGCTGTTGTTTAACATAAGAAATCCCAGAATATTTTTTGAACCTTATTACAAGGTTAACTACAAAGACCTTTTATTGGTTTTCAATATCCCAATGAAACCCACAAATACTCTATCACCTTTATATATTAGATGAATGAAAGTGTGTGAGTGAGCTAACAGAAAAGCACTAATGAAACCAGATTGTTTATAGGTGCTAGCAGTTAAATGGAGATAGAAGCATCTTCTGGAAACATTTCGCCATCCGGCGTCACGTACGTACCCAAAGTGTTGCGTGCTGTGTTCACCTACTTATTTGGTCTCCTCATTTTCATTGTATTCTCTTACTGCATATTTGAAGTGTTGTGACTTGTAAAATTGAACATTCTCGTTTTACAGCTTCACTAATGTTCCCTTTTAGTTATTACAATTCTATAAGTGGTTGAACACAGCAACATTGGTATTGTCAGGGAAGCAACAATAGGAAGTGTAAACATTTTTTATCTGGTACATTATTTTATGTCGTCATACTTCCATGCAGCAATTACTTTGTCTGAAATTTGAAAACAACTGATATTTATCTTCATATTAATGTACATAGCTCTATTAATATCTTAACAAGTGGTGATTTAATCATTTCAATATTTGAATGGCACCCTGATAAACCAATCAAAGATGGCCTGTGAAGGAAGACAGGTAGTGAAACAGCATCTAATAGTTACGCCGCGTGCGTGACATTCTTTTTTGTGATTGCAGGTGGGAAGACTCCAGATGTTGGCTCCAGAACCTACACTGAGATCATGAAAGAGCAGCTTCTTCGAGGTGAAGAAACTGAGGTAAGAACCTACATGAAACTAATTTTGCTACTTTCTATGCTGCTCTCGTTTTATTAATAAAATGTTTTGTTCTGTTCAATTTGTTTCAGCTGAGGAAGAAAATTTTAGAAAAGCAAAAAGAAGGTACCTTGAAGGTAGTCAGCAGCAATGGAGATTCTGCTAAAGCTCCTCCCAAAAGGCGAGGCCGCTGGGATCAAACTGAAGATGCAGGAACTCCTTCAGAGAAGAAGAAAAAAGCCGACACCTCAGCTTGGGATAAGGAAGATGTGAGTTTTTTTTTATGCAGATGTTGTGATACCAACTTTCTGGTTTCACTTTATTTTTATTTTTTACATTGCCATCCAAGAGTGGTAGATGTATTTTACTTGTCACCTTGTTTCATAGTTTGTTCTTTCCTATTTAGTCTACACCAGCCATTTCTCGCTGGGATGAAACTCCAGGACATCCTAAAGGCTCTGAGACCCCAGGAGGAATGGCAACACCTGGAGTTAGCACGCGCATGTGGGAGCCGACTCCAGGCCATGCAACCCCAGGAGCAGTAACTCCAGGCAGGGAGACCCCAGGACACGATAAGGCAATGTCCAGCCGGAGAAACCGGTGGGATGAAACCCCTAAGACAGAGCGAGGTATGAGTGGCATTTCTTTGTGCAGGTGTTGGTTTCTTATCAAAGCTGCCATTGATTGTACTATTATTCATTATTTTTGCCTTGCAGAGACTCCGGGGCACAGCAGTGGCTGGGCTGAGACTCCTCGCACAGACAGAGCTGGAGCTGATCTCATCCAGGACACACCTGGCACAGCTAGCAAGAGGAGAAGTCGTTGGGATGAGACACCTTCTAATCAGATGACGCCTTCAGCAATGACTCCCTCTGCCATGACTCCTCACACACCAGGCACCCCATCAACACCTATGGGAACTCCTGGTGCAACACCGTCAATGATGACTCCCAGTGGTGTCACACCCACTGGCCAAAAAGCCATGGCTATGGCCACTCCCACACCAGGTATCAATACACATCACTTTAACTTAAAACAATTTTTTTGTGTGCTCTCCTTAGTGTAAGACCATATTCTCACAGGCCTCTTTCAATTAAGTGCTTTTGTTATTTGGTTTTCAGGACACCTCGTTACTATGACACCAGAGCAGATGCAAAACTACAGATGGGAACGCGAAATCGATGAACGAAATCGTCCATTGTCTGATGAAGAATTAGAATCAATGTTCCCTGTTGGGTATAAAATACTTCAACCACCAGCTGGTATGTCCAAGCTCAATTGACATTTTGTATTATTGTTTCATTTATTGTAAAAAATGTTAACTAAACTAACTTTTTCAGGATACATTCCAATTAGAACTCCAGCCCGTCGTCTGACAGCTACACCAACGCCCATCGCCGGCACTCCTCAAGGCTTCTTCATCCAAACTGAAGATAAGAGTGCCAAATATATGGACAATCAGCCGAAAGGCAACCTGCCCTTTATGAAGCCTGAAGATGCTCAGTACTTTGACAAACTCTTGGTCAGTCATGCAGTAAACTGGGCACATAAGTTCTTATTTTGAAATGTTTCTATGAGCTAAAACATTTGCAATCAGCCGTATGTATTCTAACTTTCTTAATTTACTAATTAATTCTTTTCATTCGTTCCTACAGGTTGATGTTGATGAGGAGACGCTCAGCCCTGATGAACAGAAAGAAAGAAAAATTATGAAGCTGCTGCTGAAGATTAAAAATGGTACCCCTCCTATGAGGAAAGCTGCTCTTCGTCAGATTACTGACAAAGCTAGGGAGTTTGGGGCTGGCCCCTTGTTCAATCAAATCCTCCCGCTTTTAATGTCGCCCACTTTGGAAGATCAAGAGCGTCACTTGCTGGTGAAAGTCATTGACCGTATTTTGTACAAATTAGACGACTTGGTGCGTCCTTATGTGCATAAGGTAAGTTACTAAATTTTGAAATTCTTTCATCTGGCAATTTATTTTTACATTAGTACATGGTAGACTACTAATGTTTTTATTGCAGATTCTTGTTGTTATTGAACCTCTTCTGATTGATGAGGATTACTATGCTCGTGTGGAAGGCAGAGAAATTATTTCCAATCTTGCCAAAGCAGCTGGCTTGGCTACTATGATTTCAACCATGCGACCTGACATTGATAACATCGATGAATATGTGCGCAACACTACTGCTCGAGCATTTGCTGTTGTTGCCTCTGCTTTGGGTATTCCGTCTCTCCTTCCTTTCCTGAAGGCTGTTTGTAGGAGTAAGAAGTCTTGGCAAGCAAGGCATACTGGTGGGTTTTCTTGAATCAAATATTTACTCCTTGAATTACCATTGGAATGTATGTACTTCTGAATAATAATGATGTTTCCAATTTGACTGCAGGTATCAAAATTGTCCAGCAAATTGCTATCTTGATGGGCTGTGCCATCCTACCTCATCTTAAAAGTTTAGTTGAAATTATTGAACATGGTCTTGTTGATGAGCAGCAGAAGGTGCGAACTATTACTGCTCTTGCTATTGCTGCTTTAGCTGAAGCCGCAACTCCATATGGTATTGAAAGTTTTGATTCGGTTCTGAAACCTCTTTGGAAGGGTATCCGTACTCACAGAGGAAAGGTGTGTTCAATCTTCCTACACCTGTGTGGATTAAAGTTTATGTTGTTATCTAACCTATGATTATTTTTGGTTCTTTTTAGGGTCTTGCTGCTTTCTTAAAGGCTATTGGGTACCTGATTCCACTCATGGATGCTGAGTATGCTAATTACTACACTAGGGAAGTGATGCTTATTCTAATTCGTGAGTTCCAATCTCCAGATGAAGAAATGAAGAAAATTGTATTAAAGGTAAGATATCTCATTGTCTATTCTTGTTACGTTTTGTTCTTAATAATGTACTTACCCTTCCCAAAAAAATTCTTTATATTTTAGGTTGTCAAGCAATGTTGTGGCACTGATGGTGTGGAGCCTCAATACATCAAAGATGAAATTTTGCCTCACTTCTTCAAGCATTTCTGGAACCACCGAATGGCATTGGATAGGAGAAATTACAGACAGGTATTATTATTATTATATTATTTGCATTTATCTTAAAGGTGTTTGGTTTTGATTCTTCCAATGATATTTGAATGAAATTGGTCTATGTACCAGTATGTCTCAATCTTTTATTTTATATCCTTCTAGCTTGTTGATACTACTGTTGAAATTGCCAACAAAGTTGGAGCATCTGAAATCATCAACAGAGTTGTGGATGATCTTAAAGATGAAAATGAACAGTACCGTAAAATGGTTATGGAAACTATTGAGAAAGTCATGGGCAACCTGGGTGCTGCAGACATTGACTCTCGTCTTGAAGAGCAGCTCATTGACGGTATCCTTTATGCCTTTCAAGAACAGACCACAGAAGTAAGTTCAATTGAATGGGCTAAATTAGTGTCTTAATAACTATAAAACTTCCTTTCAAACTTGGTCTTTCGTTCCGTCTATGTCTGTCGTGTCTTTATTAATATAGAATTGCCTTTCAGGATGTGGTTATGTTGAATGGTTTTGGCACTATTGTCAACCAACTGGGCAAACGAGTGAAACCCTACCTGCCTCAGATTTGTGGTACAATTTTGTGGCGATTGAACAATAAATCTGCCAAAGTGCGACAACAAGCTGCTGATCTCATTTCAAGGATAGCTGTTGTAATGAAAACCTGCCAAGAGGTAAGCAATTGTCAGGTGTAAATGAAATTTCGGACATGGTTGTTTTTTTCTTATACATTCAATGTGTTACAGGAAAAACTTATGGGTCACTTGGGTGTTGTGTTGTATGAATACCTTGGTGAAGAATACCCTGAAGTACTTGGAAGCATTCTTGGTGCTTTGAAAGCTATTGTCAATGTTATTGGTATGACAAAAATGACTCCTCCAATCAAAGATTTGTTGCCCAGGCTAACTCCCATTCTGAAGAACAGGCATGAAAAGGTAAGTCTTGCAAAAGTACCACCTCTGTCAAGTTATGTTTCATTTTTACTACACTAAGCACTTTTTATTATCTTCCCACTTCAGGTGCAAGAAAACTGTATTGACCTGGTAGGACGTATTGCTGATCGTGGACCTGAATATGTATCAGCTCGAGAATGGATGCGTATTTGTTTTGAACTCCTCGAGCTCCTAAAGGCTCACAAAAAAGCCATTAGAAGAGCTACTGTAAATACATTTGGCTACATTGCCAAAGCCATTGGGTAAGTCACCTGCACCTTTACAACAGAGTGTAACTTGAATCAAAATGCTTTTAAATAAGTTTCTTTAATTTCCTTCTCTCTTTTCCTCCTTTTACAGTCCTCACGATGTGTTGGCCACTTTATTGAACAACCTGAAGGTTCAAGAAAGACAGAACAGAGTCTGTACAACTGTGGCTATAGCCATTGTTGCAGAAACTTGTTCACCATTTACTGTTCTTCCCGCCTTGATGAATGAATACAGGGTACCAGAACTTAATGTTCAAAATGGTGTTTTAAAGTCTCTTTCATTCCTGTTTGAATACATTGGTGAAATGGGAAAAGATTACATCTATGCTGTGACACCTTTACTTGAAGATGCTTTAATGGACAGGTAATTTTCCCTTTTGTTTTGATTTGTCCATAAATCTCACCCTGTATTTCAACCTGCTTTGGTATTTTGATTTCCAGGGATCTAGTCCACAGACAAACAGCTTGTGCTGCAATTAAACACATGGCCTTGGGAGTGTATGGCTTTGGTTGTGAAGATGCACTTATTCATTTACTCAACCATGTCTGGCCTAATATTTTTGAAACTTCACCTCATCTTGTGCAAGCATTCATGGACTCCATTGAAGGAATGCGCGTAGCTCTTGGTCCCATCAAGATACTTCAATACACATTACAGGTAAAGTTTAACTATATCATGAAGTAGATTTATAAATTCTTAGAAATATGTGTACTCATAATGGTGGATGCTTGTTTCAGGGCTTGTTCCACCCAGCACGGAAAGTACGTGATGTATACTGGAAGATCTACAATTCTTTATACATTGGAGGACAAGATGCTCTTGTGGGGGGATATCCTAGGGTTGAAAATGACCCTAAAAACATTTATGCACGGTATGAGTTGGATTATGTACTGTAAAACCTCTTAGTCATACCATTGAAAGAATACATTTTCTTTACTCGGCATATTTATATGCTGGGACCAAGTGTGCCCTGCTTTCATCTTCAAATCCTTTGTCAAATGCGCCAGTCATTCAGTAATTTTATTTTTTTTAAGTTCATTTTATTTGTGACACACTGTCATGCAATGCTGTGTAGTGTGATTGTTTCATAGCATGCTAAAATTTCTTTCATGGGTGTAGTATAGAAGAAATGATGTCAAGATATGCTTTGCATTTATTATGTACATAATCCATTTGCAGAAGTATTACAACAATAAATAATTTAAAAGCACAAATCTGTAGTTTATTATCTTCAGAGGATCTTCCCAATGAACATGACATAATACAAAACTGTCCCAGTGATCACCAGAGCCCAACACATTTATCTTTTGAAACAGCACTCTAATGGACCAACCCTATGTATATTTAAGTATCTGAAAAGAATGGACACATTGGAGTGATTTAACTGAGGCAGAAATGCAACCTCCTAGGATCACACTGAAGGCAACATTTTTGACGGAGAGAAAAACAAGGCAGTTTTCAAAAAATTACATGTGTACTTTATGTACTTTATTAACCCTTCATTGTACATTTGGACATTGTCCATATTTCATGGTAACAAATTAACAAAAGCTCTAATGATATCTGTGGCTTGATTGATGTCTATTGCTCGAGTCTCGATAAGTCGGAGTTCTTGACCGGCGACGCGGCTCTCTGCTCCTTGAGCGAGATATTCTTCTGTTCCTATCTCTAGATGAGGGTCTTTCTCTCACTCTGGAACTCTTGTCATGCTTATTTCTTGAATTTAATGGCGATCCGGCAGGGGATCGGGACCGTTTCCTTGGCTCAACATTTCTGTGTCTTTTGGGATCATCTGGGTCTTCCTTGATTCTTGGAGCATACTTTCTTTTATCCTGTGATGGGCTTCTGGACCTGCTTCTACTTCTACTGTTCGATCTAGATATTCTTTTCCGAGAACTTGAGCCATTCTGGTGGTGGACATTTGTTGCTGATTTTGAGTGGTTTTGAGGTGGTCCTTCAAAGTCCATTTTACGCCCTAAGACGAAGTACAGTTCATTTTCCATGTCTTTCTTTTCTTGCTTGATTTTAACTTTATTTTCAAAGTGGTTTTCGGTGCTGTTTTGGACATTTCTTTTCCTTTTTTTCCGACTTGGGGAAGAGTCACTTTCACTTTCACTACCACCAGAATCACTCCCGTTCTTCTTTCTGGAACTTTCCTTTTTCTTCTTATCTTTCTTATTCTTCTTCTTCTTTTTCTTTTCCATTTTTTCCAGTTTCCTGCAAACGAATACCATTTGATAGGTGATGAAAAGTAGCCAATGAGTATTAACTTACTGACAGGACAAGCGCAAATAAACAAGGAGTTCTTACCTTAGAAGTTTTAATTTTTTCTTTGTAGATAGTCCTTCCAGAAACTTGAGTTCAGTTTCATTCATGTGTTCTTCATCCTCATCACTAGATGGAATGAGTTGCTGATTGGTAACATGCGAGGGTCCACCAGGCAATTCAAGTAGCCCAACAGCACCTTTTTTCATGGCAAGACCATCCTCTCTCATTTGTCTAATGAGATCTGACGGATTTAAATTGGACCCAGTCTCTCCACCTCCTGCAGCTTGATTATACATTGGACACTCCTTATCTGCAAAGAAGAGCCACAATTTTAGCAAAGGCTACTAAAGAACAAAGAAACTAAGGAAATTAGTTAGGAAAATTGTGTGGGAAACATACCAGTATTAATGTGCCCCCATTTATGACATTTGATGCATCTTACATTTCGAACTTGAATACCAAACGGCTGGTCTCTGATTTCTTGGTCACCCTTGCAATAGCTGAAATATCAAAAATTCATTAGCCAATGCCAGAACAATTTCCCCTTGTTTCAAATTACAAGTAACGTGAAGGTGTAACTGATACCTCTCACGAGGAGCATTGTATTTCCGTTGCCACTCAAACTTGAATTCTGGTTCATCATCTTCACGTTCTCTGTCTTTCTTGGTGCCAGGTGGAGGTTCATAAAGAAAATTAACACTGAGCTTTTCTTTGCTTTCTTTGCTCATAATAGCTCTGGAACAAATCAAACACGCTATAAATGGCACAAAATAATTTTAAAAAAATTAAGTTGACCAGAACAGAAACCGTTTTTGGTCATCAGAACTCTTCTTCACAAAACTCTTACTTGTTAGTATACAAGTCCTGCTCCTTTTCATATTGAACTCTGAGTTCCTCCTGCTTTTTCTTGTATGACTCTGTTTGCTGTTCAGCCATCCATACCTGAAAAAAAAAAAAAATAACAAAAATGACAGTTGTCATACATTAATTAGGAACGAAAATTGCAATCCAAGAGAAATTCAGATGATGGACAAGAAAATTAGACGGAGTGACTTGTCATATGTGACGCAATAGAGTGAAAACACTGGACTATGGGCATAAATCTAACTAAAATAAACAGAAAAACCATAATAAACATACTCGTTTGAGGTTATCTCGAGAGGCAGGATGGAAGAACTTCTTGCACATATAATTATTAAACCCTTTCCCCATTTTGAATGATGTAGGATTCTAGTGGACGGGAAAGAATGCGCTGTTTCTTGCTAATATACAAGATTCACCAAACTAGCAATGTACACACAAAACTATTTTCTTTCGCACTACGTGCTTTCTGCGACTAAACGAAGAGAGAGCGAATGAATGCTGATAGGCCATAGCCGCATTCCGCTAAGGAGTTGTGCTCAACGCGCAATCGTGCGGATTGTGCAGATCGTGCTAAAGATGAGAAATTCTACTGCTTGGACCAATCAAAGCGCGTCTTGAGATTCTTCGCGTGGAGTCACATGACCTCAAGGAGCGCTTTGATTGGTCCATGCAGTAGAATTTCTCATCTTTAGCACGATCTGCACAATCCGCACGATAGGCGAGCCAACCCAACGCGTCCCCACCATCACGTCACCCTGCCCCGCCTCACACCCTCGCCAGCCTGCCGCCGCTGAGCATGGTGAGCGTGCAGCAGTAGCACGCTCCAGCTGGCAGGTAGCGGCGGCAGTCAGACCCTTCCCCCCGCCCTGCCCTCCACCGCCCGCGCCCTCCAAAGCGAGCCCACCACCTCGTGCGGGTTGGGGGGGCTGGTGCGGGTGTAGTAGGATAGAGCGCTATAGCACCGCCTATTGCGCGTTGAGCACAACTCCTTAGCGGAATGCGGCTCATTGGCCTGGGCAGTCTTTGCTCCAGCCAATGAAAAGAGCGCAAACTACGACCTTGAGAGCGGGAAAAGGAGGGGGAAGTGGAAGGGGGAGGAGGAGGAAGGGTATGGGGACGGGTAGTGGAGGCGTAAAGGGGAAGCCCCGACAGAGGCTAGCGGAGAAAATGTATAGTAACTGCAGTAACTCCGCCATGATCTGACATGAAAGCGCTCCTTGAGGTCATGTGACGCGCTTTGATTGGTTAGGTTAGGTTAGGTTAGGTAGTAGTTCATGTCCTACTTTCATTTCATGAAATCTCTGTGTCGTCCTCTACCATGGCAGAATGCAATAAATTTGGACAATATGTGACATAACATTAAAATGTTTGATCAATTTTAAATCTGGTATTGTCAGAAAGATGAATTGCTCATTATTAACTTTCATTGACTGTTTATACCATGCCTTGGAACAAATTATCCTGAAAAGGCAACCATCCTGATGCCGTCAGAAAGTGACTTCCAAATTGATTGTTCTCAAGATTTCAACGACGCACTTTAAAAAACCTTGTGATTCGTCGAATGGTGGTGATGAGAGCTTTCAGAATTGCACAAAGAGTTGTGTGTATGAGTTGTACTTTTGATGATGAACCGTGTCAGGTAGAAAAGAGCAGTGATAGCAATACTCGTTCTATGGACATGACCGAACAGCGATAGTAGATTAAAGAACGAGTGAAAACTGAGTGAACAGGGAAGACGAAGGCATGAAATTTACTCTCTTTGGGGCAAAGAACCTTTAGACTATTTTTATCGGCATTAATTTTTAATGTCAGCCAGTGGGCCGGGCAATGATACCTTTGCTCTCCGATTTTCTGGCTGTGTTTTTGTTACAATCCTTTTGAACAAAATGAGTTTTAATTGTTTGGAAATGAAATAAATAAAACATCGAAACCATGCTTTCTGTCATTTATTTGATCCTGATTCTCACTTATTTCAAACGCCAAAACTATAGTCCCAGTCAACTAAAATTGCAACTCAAACACAGATGCAGGGCTTGCTTACCCATTCGAGACGCGCGCGCGCTCGTCGCGTGTGATCACTTCCGTTCCATTCTTCGCCAGGCATTTTGTACCCTCCCCCCCCTCCTCCCACCACCCTCTTTTACACACCTCGGCTGTCATGGCACGGCTGTGCAGCGTTTGTTCTGTTTACGAGAAATTTGAGTAAAGTTTTAAATAGTGAAGTATTCAAAATGTCATCACTTTATGTGTGTAGAAATGGTTTAGACGGAACCACCAGCATGAAATCACACCGTTAGTATTCTTGACCATTTTTACATGTTTTACGAATAGCACCAGACGAGTGGCTGACGCCAGGACTCTGGCTAGAAATTACTGCTTTCATTTGAACTGATTTGTTTACTACGCGAATCTATCGGCAACCATTTAAAATATCGTTAAGAGGGCTTCCTTTGCCTCTGTATTTTACATTCATGAAACGACTTCTTCAAGAATTAAGGTAACGGGGCTTGCGCACCTTAACCTCGAAGCCATCTTTCTATTTATTTCTGGCCAGTGAAGAACTGGTTTGTTTATTTACTCACGAAAACCTCAGCCGGCTTGGTTTAAGATCCCTTTAGCCAGTCACCAACCTTATTCGATGTTCCTGATGACGTTTTCTTACTCTTCTTTATTTTAAGACTAGTTTAAATGAAACCATTCGAATGAAGAAGTCCTTATATTGCTTGAATCTAAACCTAACTTTACCATCTTGTATTAAGTTCTTTCCTATCTGTTTCTAGCAACTCCACCAGTTGTTGACAAAGCCAAAGAATGGCAAATGGAACTACTCATGGAGAAGTTGCGCTCCAAAGCTGGACAGTACAAAACGTTTGGAGAGAGTGCCAAACTCTTACGAATGACATTGTTGGTATGTAGTGCCTTTTCTCCCTTTCTGATTTCATCTCTTCTTTCTCCTCTAGTTTGGTCCTTTCAAACATAGGTTGTGGTCCAACTAATTTTTTCTTATTATTATTTATCATTATGATTACAGGAAAAGAGATATCCTGTCGACGGTGTTGAGCGCATCCAGTTGCAAAAATGCTTAGACACTCTTCAGAATTCAATTCGTGTTACAACTCTGAGTGGGATGGTAGAAAGATTAGAAAGTATATCACGGCAGTTAGGGTAAGCTTTTTTTTAAATTTAATATGTAAACATTTGACAGGTGACAGTCATTCCATGTATTCCGTCACTTCTTGTGCTTTCAGGTTAAAGTTCATGACAACTGGTGGTGCAGGATTAGAATGGTTTATTTCATCTGACATGTTTTATGTAGAAGTTGTCTTGGAACCTTCAGGAAATGTGAAGGATGTGAAAATTCATCATGATGGGAAGACAGAAAGACAAGTAAGTCAAATCAGTAAATGATGTATCTGTGACTTCTTCCCAGAGTGTTGATGATCTAATCCTGGTGTTTGGTTTTCTAGAGTTGTGAAGAGTTAGTAAGTTGTCTGCAGCAACAAGATTTTGCAGACTTTGCTGCTCAATTGGAAGGCCTAGCAAGCATTTATCAACTAAACGCAGAAAAGCCTGTTAAAAGCAATGCACTGAACGCACTTCAGTCACTTGAGGCTGATCTTACAACTTTGTTTAATTTACAAACAATGGATGCTCAATCTATGCTTTGCAAGTCCCCTGTGGGAATACTTCAAAAGAGACGAGGAGGTAAGTTTTCTATTATTTGTTTGTTCTCCATTGATTGCAATGATGATTGATCGATTTTGTTTCTAATGACTTTAACTATATGCATTATTGTGTCTTTTCATTTTCCAGGACATGCTATGCGCCTAACTTATTGGGTGTCACCATATGACTTGTTGGATCAAAAAACCTTGTCAGAAGTTACTATGACTGTTGAACAAGTCAACAAACACAAATTAGGGTATAGTGTAACAGTCTGTATGGAGGCATCCACTGCTCATAAACTTCAAATTTCCCCTCTAGTCACCTCTCAGAGGGGAAGCAATGGCAACAAGTGAGATTCTACTTTTGTTGCCGAATTCTGTCCGCAATACCAAACATGCGCTGAAACTAAGATACCTGCTTGATTTACCTTTCAGTGTTCCCAGCTACACGTCTCTGCAGGCCATGAACAGTGCCACTCTCCCTGCGTGTTTTGCCTTGAAACTTCACGAGCCACTTCCACTCTGTGTTTCATTGGCTCGTCGAATTCACCTCATTACTGATATGGAATGTGGAGACTTGTCAACCCCCCATCCACTTCTATCCCTTATCACCCAGCATTCTTCACGCGGTCAGTTGGACTGTGCTAACAACAATGGGCTTTTTGTGGTAAGTTACAACTGCATTTTTGTGTTTTGGTTGAGCTAATCTTTTGATGATTTTCAGTTTGTGTTGTTATCATGTCTTCTATTTGCAGAACCTTCCTGACCAAACTCATTGCTACCGAATGACAGAGACCAAAGGGCTTGAAGCTGTGATGGTCAGCAGCATACCTTTCACACACCCCAAACAAGTCCCTCACATTTTGGGCTTATTGCGTCAGCAGGCAATTTTTAACTCATTGATTTCAAGTTGTATCCGCAGTGGTGGGCGCCATGGTCCGTATATGTGTGCCTTATCTTTTGATTTTATTTGTATCACTACTCTGGTATGTAATTCCTGTCCTGTTTGACTTGTTTCAGACTTAGATGTCATTTTGCTCGAGGTGACTGCATTAACATGGCAGCATCTCTCCATCTCCTTAGAGCATCCTTATGAGGAAAGCATGACTACTGTTGAGATAGATCTCACAGATCCTGCCAATTTCCAATGTAACTTGTTTGGTGCTGGTACGTCAGGCCAATCAGCAGTTACACCGGAATTTGCTGCCAAAGTTTTTCAAAGGTTTGTCATATTCTCTCTCACAGTTTCCCTCTTGTGGAAGGTGATAAAATATCTAATTCCTGTGTTTGATCCCCACTAGGTGCATGTCCATACCTGTAACCATGCGAAGTCTTATCAAAAAGTGGCAGCATCAAGCTTCTATATCTAATGGACACACTAATGGAAATGGAAATTTTAATTTACCCCTCGGAAGTGGGGGTAGTGGCGGAGGTGGGGGAGGTCACCATGATGATTCAAGCCGCCATGGAATGTCAGATTACAACATGAGAGACCCTCATATTAAAATGGAGCCTCATGACGGTTCTAATGACATGGGGGACTCAGCCAGCAACTTTCCCTCTTTTAACAGCCCTTTTTCTGGGGATATGTCAAATGCGTCTCCAATGAGTTCGTATGGAGCAAGTTCTTCCATGATGGGCCACTCAAAAGAGCCAGTGGTAATTAATTTGATGAGTGATGGCATGCCGAAGAAGAAGGCACGTAAGCGAAAAGTCATGGATAACCTATGGCCCAAGCATAAAGGAGATGAGTGTGAGATACTTGTTGAGAGTTCAAGCAATGACTCCACACCTCATGGTACGCCCACCTCAAGAGATGCACCTGCGGATTTTCGGATTCCAACCCCCAACTCCATTGAGCTGTCCCATTTAATGGAGGACGGGAAGCTGGATCCGGCATTAACCGATAAAGGTCAGTCAGAGCTTGAGGGTATGTCAGTTGAAGATGTAATGGAAATTCAAGAAATGGATAGTGTGGAAGAGATGTTGAAAGCTGTGTCTGCGAGGAAGATAAAGAAACCGAGAGAAGAAAGAAAATCCCCATCGTCAATAATGCTTGACATTGATGGCAAAAGCATGGTTCCACCATCTGTAAGCATAACACCCATCAATACATCCTCGTCCTCTTCCTCCAGCTTATCCTCTAGCTTAAACTCAGTTTTGTCTGGAATGGGGCTAGAACGTCGCCCTGGAATAGAAATAATTCCTATTGGTTCAACTCCTCCAGCTTCTCTTCCTAGTACTATCACCATCACACCCATTCCTCCATCTAAAGGGATGAGTGATGATAGATCCCGTGACAGGAAAAGTCGAGAAAAAGCTAGATCTGAAGAAGAGGAGAAACGCTTGGAAAAGAAAAGGAAACGAAGAAGAGAAGATAGCCCAATGGGCCCTCCAGACAAGCTACCTCCAAAACCAGACCCTCTGTCCAAGCCGGTTTCTGTGAGCATCAAGCCCACAGACAGCCCTCCTATGTCAATGCCTCGGCCCTCGTCTCCCGCGGGAACTCTTCGCAAATTCAGCACATCTCCGACTCACACAAGCCCCCTTGTTCTGATGAGCAAATCTGCTTCAAGTCCTGGAGGAATGAGCAAATCTTCAAAACCTTCACCGACTCATCAGAGTCCCAAGCACTCGCCTGCCTATTCGACCAGTTCCCCTAAGCACAATCCAATCACTTCTAGTGCAAGTCCTAAACATCATGGAACTTCATCTCCCAAACATACTTCTGGAAGTTCAGGGAAACCAAGCATGTCTACTCTCAAGTCAGCTGCAAATTCACCATCGTCAGTGAAATCTGGGAGTTCTGATCCAATGAAAGTGAAACCGCCATCTTCAAGCAAGGATGGAAGTGGCAACAGAGACAAAGACCGGAGTAGGATGTCAACGTCTTTACCAGGCTTGGTCAGTAGCAGCAGTAGTAGTAGTAGTGGAGGGGGGAGCAGTAGTACAACGAGCAGCAGTGGTGGGGGTGGGGGAAGTGGCAGTAGCTCTAGTGTCTTAAGTTCAGGGCACCAAAGTCCAAAGTTAAAGTCGTCAAGTATTAAGGTGAAACAGCCTGACTTCTCTATTGGTAGCGACACTACAGTAACGCCAATTCCCCCACCCCCACCCCCAGCTGTTAGTGGCTCATCTACTTCTCCCTCCTCATCCCAAGACTGCAAACTATCTTTGGCATCCCAATTGCCCCAGATTAGAAACCGGAAGAACTCTCTTTCTGCTGTCATTGATAAACTTAAATCACAGCACACAACTGGTGATGACATAGCAGTGACTATTAGCAATAGTGGTTTAAGTGCCAACCCTGGTGGTCCATCTGCGATGGTGAGCAGTGACTCCAGTGGTGGAAATGGGAGCCGAGAACGTATTCCCACTCCAACCAAAGGCCCAGATATGAAAGGCACTAGTATCACTGGTAAACCAGGGGATTCCGGCAAAAATCCTGGTGAATACATGGTCAAGCCTGGTTCTGAAGGAATTAAGCTAACAATTAACAAAACTAGAGCAAAAGAGACTTCTTCCAAATCATCTCCTTCATCTTCCGGTATGATGAAATCATGTTCTTCGCAGTCAGGATCAGGTTCTCCCAAACTAGGCCACACAGGTCTCAAACCCGGGGTGAATAGTGGTCCTGCTTCCAAAAAGCCCCAATCTTCATCTTCACCGGGTCTCCCTAAGATATCATCAAGTAGTGGTAATAGTAGTGGGAGTTCTTCATCCAGCACCGGTATTAAATCTTCCTCTAACCCTTCCTCTTCAAAGAATCCATCGTCATCTGTCACATTATTGTCATCGTCGTCGTCATCATCATCATCCTCAGCATTTCCCAAAAGCAGCAGTTCAAGTGGTTCGTCAAAGTCCATCTCCAAATCAAGTGGTTCTCCAAAGTTAGGCTCCTCAAGTAGCAGCTCGGACCCGAACCGAAGCAGAGACAGCAGTAAACCGCGACCACCGAAAACCAGTAGCAGTGGTAGCAGCGGTAGCAGCAGTGGCAGCAGTAGCAGTGATAAGTCTCTGTTTGCTGGCAAAGAGGCACGCAAGTCTAGCCCTGCACCTCCGCGGGACGAAGAGAGTGATCGCACATTCAAAGCTATTACAAGTAAAATGGATGCAACCTTTGGCCTGGAAGGATTTGTCAAACAACTTGATACAAAATTTCAAATCCCAAAGTTATCTGCTCGGTCTAGTAATTCGGATTCTGATCAAGGCAAGAAGACAACGCCAGAGAAATCGGAATCCGGATCTTCTAATCGGAATACAGATTCTAATAAAGCACTAGACCTTGTGAAACCAGAGCCGAAGTATAGCACAAACTCACCCATTCCATCTACATCCCCATCATTACCTCCCTCTAGTTCTGGCATCACCGTCACCCCCATCACCAAATCTGATGACAAGCTAAGCAGTAGTCAAATTGAATCAAAGATGCCCAAAAACTCTTCCGCTACAATTACTCCCAGTCACTCATCCCCAAGCCCTCGACTGACTCCTTCTCCGTTACCGAAATTGGAAAGCAAGACCCCCTCGGATGGATCACCTATTCCAGGCCTAACCATAACTCCGATTGGTAGCATTACAAGCATGAGTGGTGGAGGGACAGGTGGTGGTAGCTCTAGCAATGATTCTATGGACCTTTCCATTGATTTGAGCCGGCCTTCATCCGATACCAAGTCTAAATGTGAATCTCAGCGTGGCGGTCTGGGACTCTCTATTGTCCCATCTTCATCCAAAGACGATTTAAGTATTAGGTCTGTTAGTCCTAGTGATTCCTCTATGCCCAAGACAGATAAACCAAGAGACTTTTCCATGGTTGGCGAAGAAAGTAAAAAATTGGCTTTGGAAACAGCATTTGCAAGAATGGAAGAGTCACGTGCAACACCTCCTAGCAGTCAATCCTCACAAGATGCTACAGAGATGCTGTTGGACTTCTCTTCAACTAGCAAAGCTCCTTCTGAGCCATCTGTCAGAAAAATGACCGTAGCAGAACGAGTAATAGCTGCTTTACCTTCTAGGCGCAATACCACTCCACCACCTCCCATGTTTCCTGCTTCTCCATCTGTTACCATGCATATTGTCAAGTCACCCTCATCGCTCATTATACCTTCCCCTCAGTCAGGGTCCCCATGTATTACTGATGATGACTTAATGGATGAAGCGTTAGTAATGGCAAGTAATAAGTTTTAACAATTTTATTGGTTTTAAAATAATTTATACACAAATATATATATTCTGTACTACATTTTGATTGTTACTGTAAAGATTAAGAATTGCTGCATCTCCATATCTAAAATGCCAGAATGTTCCACTTGTTATTTTGTGTGTGTGGGTGTGTCTGTCTGTGTGTCTCTCTGTATGAGTGTTTGTGTTGAATTTAGACAATTGTTTATTGCTAAGTCTCTCTGTTATTGCTTTCAGATGTACTGTTGGTTGTTAACTTCTCTACAAGGACAAAAAAAATTTCCCTTTAATCAACTTTCTTTAAATCAACCCAATTCTTCTCATTTTTTCCAAGTCATTTTGGATCAGTGAATTTCACGTTTGTTTTCTGTATTGCTTGTTATTATTTCATGCATGGTGAGATTCCATGTACATTGCTTCTATGTGTTGTCTTCCTTCTTTACTTCAGATTAAAGATGGCAATCGATTTGGTAAGCCCTTGAGTGCCATGATAGATAATCCAGTTCTGCCAGCTCTTGTCTTCTTAAACATGCTGTGATTTTGAAGAACTCTGTCAAAATTTGCTTTGTTTATCTTATTGACTGATGCGTTGAAGAGAATCTGAAATTTCAATCAGTTCTTCACAAGTGTGTGTACCGTATATTGTGTGTTTTATTGCAACAAGCTGAATTTCCTCCAGACCAAATGTGTTTTTTCCTCTCAAGAAAGCTCTCTGTTAGGTGATAAAAACAAACATCTCTTGTTGTCTGTGAGTATTTGATGGCTCACTCCCTCAGTTTCAAATACCTTGCTCTTGTCAGAATCGTTTTTTTTTTTTTTTTTTTTTTTTTTTTTTTTCATTTCTTTCTTTAAATTGTTGTTATACTCTACTTTTTATTATCCCAGAAGGAAATGATATGTCTTTTGCAATTTTGTCTGTCAAATCTTGATTTTGGCTCCTTGTTTTATTCTTACTAGTTCTGATAGAACTGTGAACAAGAAAGGGACTTAAATGAAAGCATTTTGCTTGTAATATCTAAGAATAGAGCTATATTTTCTCTCTAGTTCTATGATTTCTATACATTAATGTTGCTGTATATACTACATATATATATATATTGAAATTGTTGGTTTGAGGATATCATACAGTCCTGAGAAATTCCTTTAAACTTGTACATATTTTCACTTGTTACATATTGCTGCAATACTAGCAGTAAATAATTAACCAAGCGAACCTCTGTGCTCTAAGAGATATATGATTTGTATATTTTGTGAATTGTTTTGTTCTTTATGCTCCATGCCAGATTCTCCCACAGTGTATATTTAAAATTTATGCAAATATGCAGGTTTAAAATAAAGATAAAATGTGATACCATGGCTTTTGTTGTCATTTCTCTCACCCTGTTGTGTTCACAAAAAGTTAGGAGGAAGCCGAAAGGACTCTGAGATAGTCATCCACATTATTCCGATAACTCTTTTCCTCTCCTGTGTCATTTTTTTATTACAATAGCATTCGACTTTGGAGTGGTCAAGAGAAATGAACCAGAGCACAGAGTACTTAAACTAGGGCTACCCGCACGACGCCGGGGTGGCCGGGGTGCACGGCTGGGCTACAGGGGGCGAGGGGAGGGGGAGGGGGACGACGTGGGCGCGCTCCCTGTGGGCGACGGCGACCCTCGCCCCCACGGGGGTCACGGTGTGGCTGCCGCCGCAGAACCTGGTGACGAGACGCACCGCGTCGGGCCGCTCGGCCCAAGCCGGGCCCTCCCCGGCCCCGGAGGCACTGCCAAACAAGCAGCGCAAGCAGACACCGTACACGCGTGCGTCCCCTCATGCACACCCAAGGCACCCCAACTTTACATTTCGTCGAATCTAGTCCATTTGCTTAAGCTTAAGTTGCCAATCAAGATACTTTTCTAAAATGAGAAGTGCATACCCTCGCGGGGGCGGGCTGGCCTGGCACGGCATGCCCGCCATGTAGGGCCGCGTGGGCCGTCGCTCCGGGAAGCTCTCGCAGGTGGGCACGGCGGGGCACCAGTCGTCGCACCGCATGGCCCGCGGCCCGTCGCACGAGATGCACGTCAGGTTCCTGCAGAAGAAGAGAGCGCGGTCTAGCCCTTAATGGTAATGGTAATGGGCGGTAGGCCAGCTCGTGGAAGCGCCACTCGGCCGCTCGGCGGGCGGCCTACCCCGTGTTTGTTGGGCGCGCGTCGAACCGAACGGCCGAACCGTCGCCGCTCTTCACTTCGTACTCCGTACCTGATCAGCCTGACCTTGGTGGCGGCCGCGAAGTGCTCCGCCTGCAAGGCCTGCGCCTGCTGCTGCTGCAGCAGCAGGAGCGACGCGGCGCCGAGGCTGTGCTTGCTGAGGTTGAGCTGCTCCGAGGGGCGTTCCGACACCAGCTTCTCGACGCGCTCGGCCAGCTCCGCGGCCATGGCGGGCAGCTCGTCACGGTCCAGCTTGGAGTCCAGCCGGGTCTCCTGGAGGGCGAGGTTGTGCGACTTGAGGGACTTGAGCGTGCTGTGTCGCTGCTACACTGAGCGGCGCATTTACCGTCTCGGTCAGCTTGGTCTTGGCCTGGCCGAGGTCGTTGTGGATGTTGGTGCAGGCGGCGGTGAACTCGGTGTGCGACACCTTGGCGGACACCAGGCCGCGGTCCGCCTTCTCGGCCAGGGCCGCCTCCAGCTGCCACCGGTCGGCCTTGAGCTGCTCCAGCGTGTGCACGCGCTCCTGCAGCCCCTGCGCACCGAGCACCCAGCCCACCCAGCCCAGCTAGAGGTCCAGGCCCCAACCGGCGCCACTAGGTTTGATTCCGCGCACTGCTTTCGTCACCGTCTTTCTCGCACCGTCGCGGGACGCTTCATGAGAGCGAGAGAGACAGAGCGTGCCCGGAATCAGTGGAGTCTGCAGCGGCTACCCTCGCACTAACCTTGATGGCGCTGGACTTGTGGTCCCGATCTCTGAACAGGGTGCCCAGGTGCGTGGCCGCGCTGTCCAAGTCGACCTGGGCAGGGAGACCATCTCAAGCTCGCTCTCTCTGACGGCCGGCCCGGCTTCACCAGCCACCCCTGGTCGAGGCTCTGACCTGCATGGCCTGCAGCCTGCCGTCCGCGAGGGCCAGCCCCTGGTCTATGCCTCGGCTCAGGCCGCTGGCCAGGGCGTCCAGGCCGTCCAGCCTGGCGGCCAGCTGGCGCTGCTCGGACTGCAGGACGCCCAGCGAGCGCCCCTGCTGCGCCAGGTCGTTGAGGATGCCGCGCACGTCCACGACCGCCAGCGCGCTGCCCGCGCCTGCACCGCCAGCACCGCCTGCACTGGCGGCAACAGGAGCGGACCGAGTACAGGAAGTACAGGGAGACTCCGGTCTGCGGCGCCGGCCCCTCGCGCCACGCGCCACGTCCTTGTGATATCCTTACCATGGCCTGCGGTTGCTGCGGTCGGCGGCAGCACGGCCATCTTGTTCCTGAGCTCCAGCAGCAGGCGGTCGTCGGCCAGCAGCAGCGCGGACAGGGAGTCAGCATTCACGGCTGCGAGGCACAAACCACCGAACTGCGGCCAGCGGTTCTCACCCTTGGGATGCGACCCTCCGTGCGGTATATGAATATTTTTTTCTGTGGAGCTGCCGCTTTTCGGTCGCGAGCGCGATCCCGGGGAAAGGTTGAGACCCGTTGTTGTAAGGGTGGGGTGGAGGCATGGCGTTCAATCGCCAACCCCTCGAGAAGAGCACTTGGCGCGGCGTGGACCGTCCAGGGTCCAGGGCACCTGGCCTACCTTGTTACCTGTCGTGGTGCTGCTGCTCCGCCGCGGCCGCTGGCTGGGGGAGAGTCCGCGGCCTCCCAGCACCGCGTCCTCCAGCGCCGCCAACCGCTGCAGCGCGTCCTCGCCTTGGCCCGCCAGCTGCGTGCGCACAAGGCCGCCGCCGCGGCCGCCGCCATGCCGTCAGCGAAAGCAGCAAGGGTGCAGCAGACTCATCCCGAGAGTCAGAGCGATGAGTCTGCCCCGTCCCCACTCCCCACCTGCGAGACGCGGCTCTCCACGGCCTCGGTGCGGCCCTGCAGCTTGTCCAGCCTGGCCCGCCTCTTCGGCGAGGGCGGCCCCACGTCCGTGCCCTCCGCGCACACGCCGCTCTTGGTGGCGTCCAGCTGCGCCGACGACTGCAGGGAGGCGGCGTCCTCCGACAGCCGCTCCAGCCGCTCCAGGCGCTCCAGCCGGTGGGAGCTGGTGAGGACCTCCAGGAGGTGCGCCGAGAACCTCTTCTTCCGCGAGTGCGCCGCGCGGAGCACTGTGCAGCATGTGCGAACTGAGCGGGCTGCCTCCACGGCCGGGCCACGACGCCGTCCTCGGACCTACCTTCCTCGGCCTCGTCCACGCCGCTGCAGCGCCGGCAGCCCTTCCTGCTGCGCGCCTTGCCGACCTTGGCCTGCGTCTTGGCCGTCGTGGTGGTGACCGCGCCCGGCACCGCGACCGAGGGGCCGTCGCTGCCGCTGCTGCTGCTCCTACTGGCGCTGCTGTCTGCGCGCTGCCGGAGAGGACAGCCCCCATCAGGCAGAGGCCAAAGGCGGGGCACCGACGGCGAGGTCGAGGCCGAGGCCGCGGCAGTGGACCCACCGTCCGGGATGACTCCGAGTCGTCGTGCTGCTGCGCGCGCCTGGCCACCTCCCTGTCCCTCCGCAGGCTCCTGTCCCGCACGCGGTAGTCCGACAGCTTGGCGACGGGGACGGCGCTGGCCGAGGCGCTGCCGGCCATGGCCGCCTGGTTCGCGCCAACGGCACCGCGGCATTACTCTACTCTCGCCTTTCCACCCACTAGCAGACTGATTCCGAGCGTCGTTGTCGTCGCTGTCTCTCTCGCACTCATGGGGCGTTGCGTACAGGTGCGAGAGAGGCAGAGCGACGGAGCACTCCGTACCTGTATCCGCTCCGAATCGGGGCCCCGGAACTCGACGGCGCACTGCTGCAGCTCCAGCTGCTTGATCATGACGTGCAGCAGCGAGTGGAGGATGTTGAAGTTGACGGAGCCCACCTGTACGACCAAAACACAAGGAAAGTCATTTTTGGAGGAGATTCGGCCAGGGGGACGCGACGGCGACACGAGTACCTCTGGCGACCCGAGAGCGAGGTCCACCATCTGCGGCAGCGTCAGTGACACGCTGGGGCCTGCCATGGGCCCTGCCATGGGCATGGGGGCCGTGAAGGCCTCACGGGCCCAACAGGTCACCGGGGTTGTGTGCTGCTTTGCTGCTACACGCACTGCGCGCTGATCCTCGTTCACAACGCTGTCCTGCGAGTGCAAGCGATAGCGGTAGCGAAGAGGGCCATAAACTGGTCATACACCGGCCCATGAAGCTGACCACTGCGGCTTGCGGCTACGCGGAGCACACGGATCTCTCGCCATGCTCGTCGTGCCGGCCTGACAATAGTGGCACACTGCTCCCAAACAATGCCCCCAACAATGACGGCGGCTGCAGCTGCAGGACCTGCAGGACCTGCAGGACAGGACGGCACTCTTGTCTTCGCTCTTTTCTCCGTACAGGACAGATGTAAACAGGGGCTTCATATCTCAGTTTAGTTTAATAGCGGTGCTGCACTGTATATGAGTTTTGGATTTTTCCTAGACAATTTAAGGAGGATTTCTGGTTTGTTTTTCCACCCGTGATGTGTTCTATGTTAGATGTTCAACTTCACTGTTGTATGCCGTGTGTCGCGTCGCTCGTGCCAGCGACAAGTTTGCTTGCTTTGCGACTGGCTTTGAAAAGCCCGCGCCGCGCCCACCGCCTTTTTAGGCCACCGTGGGTTTTCCCTGTTTTCCGCTGGAAGGCCGTGAGCACGCGTAGCAAGCGCTGTCTCTCTTGCTCCTCCTCTGTGATCATATGCTTCTTTCTCTCACTCCCTCTCCCTCTGTCATCCAACAAAAGCAAAAGCACAGCACCGCGGTGTCTGTTCGGCGTTCGACAACAACATTCCACTAGAAGTCTTATTGTTGAACCGTGTACATTCAAGTCAAAGCTGAATGAACTTCTAGTCCATCCCTGACTCTTCCAATTTCTGCCGGTTTCGCTCCCCGGAGGCTCTGGATTGTGTAAGTGCCAAAAGTACGCTTGCATGTCTCTTAACCTAGAATCATGTCTGCTTGCAAATCAAGTACCAGTTATGATGGTATGGAAATCAGCTAAAAGTCAATTCCATTTCGTTATGAAGTTATTTTGTCTAGGTTTCTTGAGTTTTATTCTTGACTGCCATGTTCTGTCATCTGCCTTCATTTAATCTCTTTTGTTTTATATTTGACTTCCAAGTCCTCTCTAGTTTGTAAAGAAGGGTTTTCTCTATTTTGGTTTTAAGAAACTTTATAGGAAAGTTCCTGAACACTGGTGACGCTGCTGATGTGGATAGCAGCTACCACCTCATCTGTTCATGCTACTGTCTGCTCATACTTCTTTCCATGCTGTGGTTGTCAACAGAAAAATGGCAGCGGTTCCTAAGCCAGAGAATGCGGCTGAAACTATAGCTGCTGCTGTGCCTGTCACTGTGCCTGTCGCTGTGCCTGTCGCTGTGCCTGGTCCTTCACCTGGCGATGCCCCTGCTGCTGTGCCCGTGGCAGTAGCTGAAAATACGCCCGACATTGAAGTGATTAAAATTAAACCTAAGTCTAAGAAAAAGAAAAACAAGTTAGGTCTTTCAGCACCCCGTCAGCCATTAACTGGTGAGTTTGAAACGTTGTCAAGTGACGAACAGATTTTGCATGACTTGTTTTGTCTTGTTTCTCACATAATCAGGCAGTCTCTGTTAAAATTTTTCTTCGTCCCTTTCTTTTTTAGGCTATATAAGATATCTAAACAGCCGGCGAGATACATTAAGAAATGACAATCCAAACTTGACGTTTGCTGATATTACAAAAATTCTGGCTCAGGAATGGGCAAACTTACCTCCTGAGGAAAAGAGAGTGAGTATTGATGGGTACAATACTCAAACAGTTGAAGAGGCTCAAATCACCAGTGTTCTAAGTACCTTCTTTTATTTTTAGCCATACCAAGAAGCAGGGGAACAAGATAGAGAGCGATACCTTCAAGAAATGGAAACATACAAGAAGACAGATGCTTACAAGGAATATCTCCGTCAGCAGGAAGAGTCAAAACAGAAAGGAAAAGAAAAGATAAAAGAAAAAGAACCTGAACCTAAAAAGGCAAAGGTTATAGCTGAACAAAATGATGAGGTATTTACTATAACTCTTTTCATTTCTGAAAAAGCTACACCATTTCTGTATTAATTTTGTGTTCTCTTTCTTTCTCTTTCTTTTCATAGAGCAACAGTAGTGGTTATGATATTCCTATCTTCACAGAAGAATTCCTGGACCTAAATAAAAGTAAGAAATATCTGCTTTGATCAAGAAAACAGAATCAAGTTTCACTTCTTCTAATGTGATGCATATTTATTATATTCATTATTTTTCCCTTCAGCTCGAGAGGCAGAACTTCGTCAATTGAGAAAATCTAGCACAGACTATGAGTTACAGAATGCCTCATTAAGCAGAATCGTGGAGAGCATGAGAACTGCTGTAACGAATATGGAAAGTGACGTAAATGCGCAAAGAGCCAATAACCTAGCTCTTAGCAGACACTTGGATCAACTGCGAGCTTCTCTAGCTGCAGCATTCCATGCAGTAGCGTTGCCTGGTGAGCCTTTCATACTTTGCTGGTGGCTTCATACTTATGTCCTCCATGAAGTGACAAATTTAAATCCTTCCATATTGTTTTTTGTTTTTGTAGATACAAATGAACGGCCAACAGTTGACTCTATTGATTTCTATATGCAGAAAATGCATAGCCTCTTCACTGGACCTTCTGCAAATCAACATTCTCAACTTCTTGCTAGGGTTTCTGGGATTGTCGAACGTTTGGATCTGCATGGCTGATACATTACTTAGTTTGTGGAGCAAATTTTGATGTTCAATGTTTAATAGTTCTTCCTTCCCTGTGAAAGACTGCTTTAAGATCTCAGTTTAACCCAGATTGAAATTTTTTCTTGTTTTGTTGTTCAGTTCTGACAAAAATATTTTTCACTCTGAACTCCCTGTACATTAATTGACCCGGAACAATTAACTCCAATTGTACCTCCCATAATTCGTCAAAGAACTTTCTGGAACCAGGCTCTTGTATTTAGTATTTCCCTACTTGGGAGGTAATGTGATTTATATTAAGTTGATTTTTTTGTGAATACTGTAAATTTTTTTTGTATTAGGATGGATGTGAAAAAAAAAAATGAAATGTATGTACCTTTTGTTGAGACAAAAGTCCCATTTTGTGTCTCATGTCAATGTTCTGCTCATTTTTCAAAACAAACTATCATTAGCATTCAGTATTTTGTATATTTCTTTGCAATAATATGTGACTGCAGGCATTCATTAACAATAAAACATCAGAGCAGCCACCTTGACATGTTTTCTTTTAAATCCTTGATCCTTGATTTTAAGACCCTTGGGCTTAAGACATCAAAAATTTAAAACAGCCCAAATTGGAGTATGTCGAGCTGCACCACTCCCTCATGACTCCTGAATCATGGACTGTTTCGGCCCTAGAAAGCCATTTTTCTGGTCGCTATCGTTACACCGCGCCGGGAAGGTAGACCACCCTTTTGGCACGTTTCTGGGAAGACTTGCAGAAGAAGACACCAGCCTAAAGCCACGCCCGTGGGTCGAACCCGTTGCTTTAACGCAGCAGCCGCTTCCTCTGCGCTCTGAGCCACTGTACACACGTCTCCTTTCATGCTGGACCCATGGCCGAGCGGCAGCGGGGCTCTCCAGCTTGTGGGACACGCTTCTTGAGCCCTCTCTGGTCCGGCCCAGTCCGGCCGCAGGGCGCCGCTGACGCCACGGCGAGCGGCACGGCGAGCGCCAGCCACGGCCTAACAATGGGAGGATGGAGTCACGGACTCCAGTCTGCAGTCCAGGATGAGCTGCTCTGCCTCTGCCGGCGTCTGGCCTGGTCTGGGCGCTGCAACCGCTGCAACAGCCACACCGAAACCCAGCCAGCAGCCCAGCCCGCCAGCCCGGTCCGCCCCGCTCGGCCTGCATCCTCGGGGAATCGACCATCAACCTTGGGGGCTCGCCGCCGCTGCCGCCGCGGTAGCGCGGTACGTGACGTGCTTTCGGAAGGCACTCGTCCTTGGCTGGAACGCGTTAACAGTGCGTCGTGCGACTGCACCCCGCGTCCTGCATCCTGCCCTCTAGGGACTCCGGGCGCTCCGGGCTCCGGCGGCGGCCTTGTGGTCGTAGCTTCGACTCCCGCGCCGGCCCAACGCCGCCAGACGCGGCCAGAGATCCCTTGCTGCCTGCTGAGCAGCACGCTAGCGGCAGGCTTGGCGATGACCGGGCGAAGCTCGGCGAAGCTCGGAGAAGCACAGGATGCGCCGCGCCGCACCACGGCATGGCTGCCGGCTTGGCTGCCCCCCCGGTTCGCACCGCGGGGAAAAACGAGGAAGAGGAGAGGGGGCGCCGGCGGGTCTCCGCCGCGATGCCTAGGATGTTCTGCCCGGAGGAGCCCGGCCAGAGTGCCCGGCCAGGGAGCCCGGCCCGGCGAGGCCCGGGTGCACTCAAGTGTTGTTCAGTAGTGCGCCGTCCGCCGATGCCCTCCGCCCAAGTGCAGGAGCCAGGACCGCGACGAGCCTCGCGCCTCGCGCCAAGCAGTGCCGCCACCGCGCGCGGCCCGACGCCGCACCGACTGTCCGCGGTTCAAATTCTGCTTCGTTTTGTATTTTCGCGCGCTGTGCCATGAAGGACCGGTGGTCTGCTTGTCCGGGCCACTGAGCGCGCCGCCGTGAGTGCATGCACGCGTGCGCTGGGGCGTGCTCGTGCACGCCGACCGCGGCCCCCGAGGCAGTGACCCCGAGGAAGTGGACGTTGACTCCCCCGGCCGGCGTCCAGACCGTCCAGACCGCCCAGGCCGCCCAGCCGGGCGCGGACTGCAGGCCTCTGCACGCCGCCGCGCCGCCGCCCCCGCCAGAGCGCGCGGCTGCGGGACCGCGGCGTGTGTAGTGGCCTCACTGGCGTGGCAGGGCGGCAGGGCCTCCGGTGGGCGCCAAGGCACGCCACGGCCCGCCACGGCCCGCCACGGCCCGCCAAGGTGAAGGCTGCGGCCCGATTGGCGGCCGCGCGCCCAGGACGCCGAGACCGCGCGGCGGCGCTCCGCCTGGAGACAGGGGCCACGCCGGCCACGCCGAGCCCATCCTTGCAGACGAGCCGGCGCGCGCGGCCCGTGTGCAGTACTCCGGAGGACGCCGTCGTCCCGCCCCCGCCGACGGGCTGCGCAGAATGCGGCACTGCGCCGCCGACGCCAAGTTGCCGTCGTCGTGGTGGTGAAGGTGTGCACCACGAAGAGGTCCCCGTCGGACCACATGCTACTGAGGACCATGTTGGTCGGCGTGCTGGCCGCCTACCTCCGCGTGCTGGCCGGCGTGCCGCAGGGCGCGGGGACCGCGTCGGGGACCGCCACGCGCGCCGCCAGCCTGGAGGACTCGCTGGCCCACAACGTGATCCACGGACTGACCAACGGTGAGACATGCACGATCAAGTTCGACTCTTCAGCGTGCATCCTGCCAGTGCGGGCGCCTGCCATGCCGGGGGTAGGCAGTCCCGCCGAACTGGCGTGCGCGCCGGGCGTGCTGGCTGCATGCCTTCCAGGCGGCCCCGCCCTGCCCCGCCCTGCCCCGCCCTGCCGCGCCCTGCCCCGCCCTGCCCCGCCCTGCCCCGCCCTGCCGCGCATCGTTCTGCAGCCCCGAAACCCTGGGCCGCCCAGGGCGCGCCTTTTTCTGCCGCCGTTTCCATCTCGCCGCAGTGACAGACCCAGGCAGGGCAACCCTTTTCGCTTTTCATCCTTTATTTCCCTCTTTTGGCGACGCCGCCGTGTTCCCCGGCGTCCACGGCCAAACGAGCGGCACTGTGTCGCTGCTGGGTGTGGTGTGGCGGCGCCCCGCCGCGCAGCCCCTGGAGGCCGCCGCCGCGTTAGAGGGCCTCAATGGGGGCAAAGGTGCGAAATCGCGTCGTGTGCGCGGAGCCTTGGGGAGCCTCCGGCAGGGCGGAGCCTTGCGCGGAGCCTTGCGCGGAGCCGCGCACCACTTGTGTGCCTGTGGCTGTGCTGGGGCGGAGGGCGGCAAAAAGGCGGACAAAAATGGAGTTGAAAACACGCGCACACACACGGAGAGAGCGACAAGTTTCTGTGCCGCCCCTCTGCGCTCGCCGCCCCGCGCCCCACATCCGCGCACACTTTGCACTGCGCTGGCTGCAAAGCCCGGTCCCTGCACACTGACGCCGGGACTCGTTTTCGGTCTCTCTCGCACTCATAGGGCGCCCCTAATTGCGCGAGAGAGACGGAGCGACGAAAACGACTGTCGGAATCAGTCTACTGGCTACACGCGTCGGCGCGGCCGAAATAAACAGAGAGAACCCCCCGGGGGTGTAGGGGTGGTCGAAAGAGGTGGGAAAAGTGGAGAAGGGGAAGGGGCACCTTCTCGGCCCTGTGTTGGTGACTCTCTTTGTCGAACCATAGTGTGTAGTTGCAAAGCTCATACACTCCGCGCGATCCCTCCGCTACAGGCAAGCACACACACGCACACACACACACACACGGCACACTGAACCCGTTTTAATGAGATACGCGATACACGATACTCGTACATGCTCGGTTTTATTTTTATTTTCTTATTCATGCAATTACGGTATTCCCAGTAATATAGTCCGCTCGTGAAACGGCAAGTGCCGATAAAACTAGCGAAACGAAGGACGCCTCGCGCCCCGCCGTGCCGCCGACTCATTCCGAGAGTCGTTTTTTCGTCGCTCTGTCCCTCTCGCACTCATGAGGCATCCCGTATAGGTGCGAGGGAGATGGAGCGACGAAAACGACTCTCGGAATCAGTCTACCGAGCACCGGAGCGGGTCGACGTTGGCTGCCGTGCAGAGCGTGGTGGTGGGTGGGGCACTGGGTGCGCTCCTAGACAGACAACCTGGCGACGGCCATGGCGACGGCCTCCCAGGCCCGCGCCGCTCTGTCTCCCGCACCCCGGCGGAGCGCACCGTGAGTGCGAGTGAGACAGCGACGCAGCCACAGTCCGGGATCGGTATCTATCTGCCGCATAGGTTTTGCAAATCGGCGTCCGCGGTGAGCAGCGCGGTGAGCTCACCGGGCATGACGTCATGACCACCGCGACGACGACGTCGCCCTGAGGGCCTCGGCGCCGCCAAGGATGTATTCCAATGAGAGGGGCAAAAACAAAATAATTTCCGCCAGCGGCCGGGCGGACGGGGCTGGCAGGCAGGCAGCCAGGCAGGCAGCCAGGCAGGCAGGCAGCCGAAATAATAATGTCCGCTCGGGTCGCGTCCGCCCCGTCGCCGTCGCCGTCCGCCCGGCCCGAGAAGATGGAGGGACGGAGACGAGACGCGACGTGTCAGGCCGTCGTCCGGGCCGTCCAGGCCGTCCAGGAAGCCGCCTGACCGTGGCCGGGGGGACCTTGTGGTCGGCCGCGTGCGCGGCGTGGCGCGCAGTGCGGCGTGGGAGAGGCAGAGGCAGCAACAATGAGCTGTAAGATAAGGCGGTGTGCAGCGCGGGCAGCAGAGCAGCGGACCGGAGCCTTGCTTGCCAACGCGCGAATGCCCCCCCCCCACCCCTCTTCCTCCCATATTACTTCCAAATGCAGGCAGCGTATCTCATACAGCACGGCGGAAGCGACCTGCCCCAGGCCGGACTGCCGGAGTGCGCCGAGGCTCCGCCGCTCTGCCGTTCTGCATTTGCACCCAAAGCATCCCGTTCTCACGCCCTAGTCGCTCTGTCGCTCTGTCTCTCTCGCACTCGTGGCACGTCCCGTACAGGTGCGAGAGAGGCAGAGCGACAGAGCGACTCTCGGAATGAGTCTGCAGGGCCCAGGGAGCCCCGCCAAGTCCCGCTCACAGTGCAGATGGACCGAGCCTGCCATCGTCCGGCAGCTCCTTTTCGACTCCCCCGAGAGGCTGGCTTGGCTGCTTGGCTTCAGCCTCGGAGTCGTTTTTCATACTTTTTGTTCTGCGGATATCGGAATTCTGCTCTGCGCGCTTGTTCCTTTCCGACAGCAATCTCGCCAAATACCATTCCGGAAAGGAAGACGGGCGGGGGTTGTTATGAATGTCGTTTTCTCGCTCACTCTTCCCAACATGCTCTTCAAACATTCGACGCAGCTTTTATCTTTTGCCAAACTTCAACCCCGCGCTGGACTAATTAAGCAAGGTTCCTCCGGGGATTCAAGAGCAAGGGGTGGTGGCTGGCACACTGGAAGGGAGGGGGCAGGCAAACCGCGCCAACGGCTCTGCTCCGCTCGGCTCAGCGTTTTGGGAGTCGAGGCGAGAGAGGTACTAATGTGAAGATCTCGCCTAACGGATCCGCGATTTTCTTTTTTTCTCTAAGCCGGGCGCTCTCGCCTTTGGGTACAGACACCCCTTCCCTTCCGCGCACACACACACACACACACACACACACACACACACACACACACACACACACACACACACACACACACACACACACACACACACGCAGGCGCGTGCCGCGCGGCTGACGGTTGTCGGTAGGGGTGGGGAGACTGGCCGGCTGGCCCGCGGACGCACCCGCGGACCTGCAAGCGTATCCGCCCCTGTAAGGAAGGAAATGGCAAATTGCCCAGCCCGGCCGGCCGGGTCCGCCTCCTCTAGTTCTAATGACACGAGAGCCACTGGCCACGTGTGAGTGTGTGGGAGTGGGAGGTTGTGGTTGTGTGTGTGTGTGTGTGCGTGTGTGCGTGTGTGTGTTGGGGCGTTGACCCCTGGCGTCCTAATAATGCTCTGCGCGGAGTGCGATCTCGAGATTCGCAGCGGGATTCCGTTGCCTGATTCCGAACTAACATGGCTGCAGTGTTACTGGGGTGCGAGAGAGACAGACGCACTGGGTGTCCCAGAGTGTCCCGGAGTGTCCTAGGGTGTCCCGGAGTGTCCTAGGGTGTCCTGCTCGTCCGCCCAGGACCGTCCAGGACCGTCCAGGACGGCAGGGTTATTAAGGCAATGTCAGCAGGTTCATTATGGCATTATGGCGCGCCGTGCACGCGAGGCTAGGCGGCGAGGCAGGGCCCGGCCCCGCGCGGCGTCCTCGCCGAATCCCTCGCGACTCCCGGGACGTCAAAAAAGTGTCAAGCGGCGGCGACCTCCCTCACCTCCCCCTCGTCCTCCTCCTCCTCCTCGTCCTCCTCCTGGGGCAGGTCCGAGATGGCAGCGCCGCGATAGTGGTTCCCGAGGACCGCGCCGACCGCGCCGCGCTGTCGTTGTGTCTCGTTCTCTCGTTCTGTTGGCGGACGGGCCGGACGCGAGACAAATTAAATAACAAACGACTGGAACAGGGAGATGCTTTCCCGCAGTAGCGAGCCGCGTCGCCGTGGCGTCGCCGTGGCGTGGCTGTGGCGTCGAGCACGTCGCACTTCCGGGCTTTCGGCCGCGCGCTCGCCCTGTCGCTGCACTGTCAGTTTGCGGCTCTCCGGCGCCAAACTTGCGACCGGAGTCACTTGGCGTGTCTTTGTGTGTGTGTGTGTGTGTGTGTGTGCGCGTGCGCGTGTGTGTGTGTGTGTGTGTGTGTGTGTGAGTGAGTGTGTGAGTGGGATCCGCCGGCAGAGGGCTCCTCACACCTCGCCGTGGACCGAACCAGCTGCCCCGGCGACGTGACGGGGGCTCTGTGATGAATAAGTAATCTGTGTTCAACGGGGCGTGGCGGAGCGTGGCGTGGCGGCGCGGGGGGGGGGGGGGGGGGGCAAGGGAAGACTGACCGGGGGGGGGGGGGAGCGAAGATGCCGATGCCGAACAGCGAGGGCCGGGCAAAACGCAGGCAGGATGCTGCCGACCTGCTAAACACCAGGACTGCCGGGACCAGGACCAGCTCGAGGACCAGGATGAGGATCAGGGCGGTCTCGGAGGCGCGCAGAGCGCAAGACAGCGAGGACTTGCAGACGAAAATAATGGCGTCCGTAGGAGCGGCACCACTTCGCCCTTTTGTTAAGGGACTCATCACAGCCGCAGTCATAGCATGGCATAGCATGGCACGGCACGGCACTGTCGAGTTCGTCGAGTTGGCGGCCTGGCGACAGCGCTGTCGGCCTGTGGACACTATCCCCGGGATTTACTTCTGCTTCTCTTTTTTTTTGTGAGCCTCTCTAGTAAATGACTGCGAGGCCCGAAATGAGACAATGAAAGGCAAGGCAGGCAAGGCAGGCAAGGGCGAGGAGGGGAGGCACGTCGAGGATGAAGTCGAGGACTGCAGCCGCGGAAGGACCGCGCCGCGTCTTGCTGCCACTATGCTTTGCCGTGCCCTGCCGTGGGACGCGACGCGGCACGGCGCGGCGCTGTGTGACAACTTCGGGGAATCGGGAAACCGAGCGGAACCGATGCTCGGAATAGGGAAGAGCCCTGCGACTGTTCCATCTGGCATGACGTCTGCTTGTCCGCGGTGATTAATTCCCCCCTCCCCTTTCTCCCTCCCTCGAGCAGTTTTTACAACACGCAACAACAACAAGCCGAAACAAAACGAAAATCACTCACCATTGACACTCCTTCCCCTACATCGAAAAAGGTTTTCCTCTCTATTTTTCTTATTCGCGCGTTGGCGTTGGCGCTGGCGGGGCGTCGCCGCGGCGGTCGCGGGGGTCATCGCGCCCCTGGGGCCCTCGTGGACTCCTGGCGCCTTGCCCCTGTCTGTCTCTCTCGCACCTCCACGGAGCGCGCCGTGCGGCCCCGTGAGTGCGAGAGAGACAGAGCGACGAGTCGGCCTGCACCGTCATCGGCCATCGATCAAACGGGTACTAGTCCGTCTAGGCCGCGATGACAGTGTTGTTGTCATTAGGTGGAAGGGCGGCAGGGACCCGCAGGGACCCGCAGGGGCCGCGATGAGGACTCGCCGAGGGGCAAGGGCTGGCGAGGGCCACCACCCTGGCCCTGGCCCGCCCTGCACCCCCGCCCTGCGCCCTTCCGGCCGGCGGGGAGGGTCGGCGGGGAGGGTTGACGGCCGCGGGGTGGCCTGAGGAGCGCCGCGCGTCCGTGAACCCCGCGCGCCACGACCCACGACGCGGAGGGGTCGGTGGGGTGCCCAGGACAGCGCCGCCGACGCTGCTGCCGCGCACCTCACGCTGATGGCAAACCGATGGCGCCGCCCCGGCTGCAAGCAGGCAGGCAGGCAGGCAGGCAGGCAGGCAGGCAGGCAGGCAGGCAGGCATGCCGTCAGGGTGATGATCCCCCATCACCTCCGAGCCGCGCCCCGGCCCGGTGCGTTGAGCCGCAGCAAGCTGATTTTCGAACGAGGCTTTTGGCGCAGTCTCTCTCGCACTCATGGCGCGTTGGCCAGGGGACCGAGAGGGACAGAGCGACACAAGACAGTTCGAGTCGGCGCTGATGCGCTGCGAGCGAAGCTTAGCAGTCGCGCAACCAGGAAGGGCCCTAATGTCCAAGCGCGTTGTGCCGCGTCGCGTTGCGCACACACTGTCTTCTGCTCCGGCCGGCCTCCAATGCAAACGGAATGGGGCGTCCCTCCGATTGTCCCAGGCCGGCTAATGGCCGTCGCGTTGCACCACGGGGCGGGGCGGGCGGGGCGGGGCGGGGCGGGGCGGGGCGGGGCGGGGCGGGGCGGGGCGGAAGCCACCTCTCGCTCGTCTAGCCCTTATCTGCCGGGAGAAAAGTTGCGCCCCGCGAGTGTTCCCGTGTTCCGCGTGCGGCTCGGCGGCCACAGCGCAAGCAGGGAGATCACAGTGTACAGACCAAAGGTGGCCGTCGCGGTGGACGGGACAGGAGGAACAGCTTGCAGTCGAATCAAAGCTAGCACAGCCGATGGCGAGGAAGACTAGATACGTAAATTGATTGGTCGGGCATGAATGACAAAGAAGATGCCTTGTTTCATCCTCAGACGATTCACATCCGATCTTTCGGGTCACATCGATCTTACCTCAAATGCTTCTGCTAAATTTCTCTGTAAAGCATCTTATTTTTCGGCTGTCCGGTCAAGCGCGGATCCGGGGGGGGGGGGCAAAAGGACAATTGCCCCCCCTTGACCCCTAGATAGCCGCCTGAAAGGTAGGCAAAAAGCACCAATTTGCCCCTGTAAGTAGGCAAAAAGTGCTACTTTGCCCCCCCCCCCTTGGGCCGACTCTGGATCCGCCACTGTGTCCGGTAGAAAACCTCTATCCGTACCACTTCATCATTTTTCTGTTTCTGCCGAGCGGACGGGTTCATCTGGGCCGCGGAGAGAGACGGTGCCTCTCTTCATTGTCTTCTTTCTTAATTATCTTTGACGGAAAATGGAGCGCAGAAGTCGTTCTCCCAGCCTCTAGAAGGCGCGCGAGAAAGAGAGAGAGAAGGATAACCGCTCTTGCGCGCTCTTGGCGGCCGAGAATGGTGCCGAACGATACTGTCATACGTTCCACAATGTCCACAAAGACGTTTTGGCCACCTTTGGGGCGCCACGATGATCCTTGCAAATCGCTTACAGTGTAGCCGAGGCAGCCCGAGGCAGGGCACGAAAGAGTCCGTAAGGAGTACGCAACAGGCTTCCCGCCCTTCCCTCCATTTTTGTCCGTGTGTCCGCAGGATGCTTCGAGCGCGCCGCGGTGGCAGAGCGCCTTCCCTCCGGTGACATCGTGGACGTGGTGATGGGCGTCAACCTGAAGCAGTGCGAGCACCGCTGCAGCAACACCCGACCGCCGTGCGGCGCCTTCAGCTTCGGGTCAGTATGCATTCGGCCTCCTGTTCCACTCCATGTGCGCCGGGTGCTCGGCGGCGCTCGGCGGCGCTCGGCGGCCAGCTCTCGTTGCCCCTCGAGTGAGCAGCGCGCGGCTTCCGGCGCGCGGGCCAAGTCCCCCGTGCCCCGGTACGGCGTGCGCGGAGTGTGGAGGGGGAAGGAGGGCATCCGAACGTCACGGAGCGGATCGTGAAGTAACGGAAGCACCTGCCGTGCTATTGAGCCATCGGCCACGTCCCCCCGGCGCCACGCACTCACGCAAAAAATTTTAAGAAGCGGTATTCGAACCTGCGTCTTCCCTCTCTGTCCCTCTCGCAGCGTGCACAGTGGCGGCAACACGACGTGCGAGCTGGGGCGGACGTCCTCGGCGCGCATCAACCAGGACCCCGACTTCGACCTGTACGTCCGCCGGCCCGAGTGCGACGGCGAGCCCCCGGAGGCGCCGTCGCTGCAGCGGCCCCACCGACTCAGGCCGCCGCAGCCGCCGCAGCCGGCGGCGTCCTGGGCAGACCTCCGCGCGCAGGTGAGTGTTCCCTCGCCCTCTGCGTCCCTCTGTCTCAGCCCCCGGCCCCCAAGCCCTCCAGGGAGCCCCAATCGAGACGCAGTGGTCTCACCGTCGTCCCAGCTGCCTGCTGCAGGGGCTCCGGCCCTGCCACTCCAGCGCGACGGCCTCCTGGAGGCCGGCACGCCGGCATTGACGCGAGGCTGCGCGCGGCGCTCTGTTTGTTTCGAAAGCAATCACACACAGGGTGCCGATAGGGTGGCCGTCGACAAAGGGTTTGCTCTGCGCTCCGCCCGGCTCCGCCTCACGACCCCTTCCTTGATCACAGCATGCGGGCCACGCGCCGTTCGACAACCTGGAGCCGCAGGACCCCCTGCAGAGCGCGTCGCACGGCGCCCCGCAAGGCCCCGCGCCGCCCCAACCTGGGCCGCCCCTGCCTCACGGTCCACCGCAAGAATTCCACCAGGCGCTGCCCCAAGGATTTCCCCAGGGGGAGGCAGGATTCCCGGCGGGGCGGCCCGACTTCCAGCAGGACCAGCACGGCCAGCACGGCCAGCAGGGGGCGCCGCCATTCAACCCGGAGCTGTGGGTGCTGCCGCCAGACCACAACCCGCTCACCAAGCCAGCACTCGAATTCGGTGAGTCCGCGCCCTGGGGCCCGTCGCGCCGGGCCATGGTCGGGCCATGGTCGGGCCCAGCACGACTACCTCCCCCGCCAAAGAGCGAGAGAGACAGAGAAAGCGCGCGCCGCGCCCGACGCGTCCCCTCCGCCCGGCGAGCAGGATGGGTGGCCTACCTCTCGGGCGGCTGCGAGCTCGGCGCTACACTGCTGCCTCCTCAAGCCACATCGCCTCACCCAGCTGCTCCCAGCGCGCCCAGTAGACATTCCGAGAGTCCTTTTCGTCGCTCTGTCTCCCTCGCTCTCATGGGCACCCCGTATAGGTGCGAGAGAGACAGAGAGACGAGACGTCTCGCGGAATGCGGCCACTGCCTTCGGGGTTCGAGGTCCGGAGAGTGGATAAACCCGTTGGTCCCAGCCCGAGTGCGAGGGGCCGTCGGGGCCGTCGGGGCCGCCCGCCGTCCCAGGCCATCCCCCGAACCGTTTCAAAGGGCGGCCCAGCGCCGCAACGCCGCACTCCACGCAGTGCACGCAGTGTGGTGGCCGAATAAAGCGCGCGCTGCACCGCGCGGTCACTCGAACAACAACAACACGATGGCAACAACGACAACAACAAACAGCCCCACAGACAGCCCAGGCCGAGCCAGGCCTGCACTGACAGACGCAGCCAGCCAGGCTGGGCGGCTGGGCTGGGCCAGCCTTGTCCGGGATACCTTGCCGGCCCTGCCAAAGCGGGCGCTTTGTCCCCTACTCCCGAAACAATGTTGCCGGGAATGCACAGCCCGGCCAGGCCAGGCCGAGCCAGGCGAACGGCGAGGCCCGGATTCCCGCCAATGACGAACGCGCCGCTCTTCCCCTGCCGCATGCAGTCCACGCAGTCCACCCCCACTGCCCGCCTGTCCGCCAGTCCGCGACCCCGCCAGGGCTGTTGCGGATAATGGAATGATTAAGGCCGCCCTGGTCGCGTGGCTGGGCGGCCGCGCCGCTCAGCGCCCCATCCCTTCTTTCCGCCGCACCGCCAAACCGCCACACCGCCCGCCACCCTCGCACCCTCGCGGTCGAGCTCGCGGTGCGGAGCGGAGAGGAGAGTACTCCAGTGCGGTGTCGGCCAAACCTGTCGCTCCATCCATTCTCATAAGCCCGGGGGAGAGCCGGCCCCGTGCCGGCCCGGCCACCGCGCGGAGGGGGAGGGGGAGGGTCACTGGAACGGGAGAGAAAGGGAGGGAGGGACGGAGAGAAGAGGAGCGAGCGAGAAGAGTGCAAGAGAGTGGCGCGAGAAATGGCAGAAAAACGGCGCGTAATAATGAACGAGAGGGCCTTGTCTTCTCTTAATTGATTCCGTTCTCACGCGGCCAGGGCGCCATGCCACGCGGAGAGGGAGAGAGAGAGAGAGAGAGAGAGAGAGAAAGAGACAGGGAGAGAAAAACGGAGTGAGGCGATACGGCAGGACTATTACGTGCCGGCAGCCTAAACAGTTTCATAACGTTACGACGACGGCTGCGATAAAAAAAATAATAAAAGTAAAAATACGCCAATTCGCGCTTCGGCAATAAAGCGGCGCCAAATGACGGATTGCCAATCTCCGTGGCACGGCCAGGCCCGGCCAGGCCCGGCGTGGAATGAATGGGCAGCGTAACGGTCTCGTCGACGTCGCCCTATGTCGCCCGCGAGCCTCGAACAGGACTCAGATCGACCACGTGATTGGAGCGTGGAGCCCATCGGTAATTGGTACCGTCACGTGCTGAGCGGGCTGCGCGCTCGATTCGTGTCCTGTTTGAGGACCGCCCCGCATAGCTCGAGACGTGTCCGGAAACATGTTGGCCTGTGCGGCGTTTTACGCGCTGCATCTCGTCGCCATATCGTTCCCGGCACACTGGGACGGGCAACGACTAGCTGCAGACTCTCTCTCTCTCTCTCTCTCTCTCTCTCTCTCTCTCTCTCTCTCTCTCTCTCTCTCTCTCTCTCCTCTCTTTTCTCTCTCCCTCTCTCTCTCTTCTCTCTTCTCTTCTCTCTTCTCTCTCTCTCTCTCTCTCTCTAATTTTAAAAACTAAAAAAAAAACTCTCTCTCTCTCGCATCCCTTCGGGTCGCCACGAGAGTGCGAGAGAGACCGCGACGAGAGCTGTCTCCTGCACTGCAGGGCGGCCCTTCCGCGAAATCCTTCTTTGCGCCGAGATGCGTTGATGGCGCCGTCAGCCCCGCACATCCCCGCCGGCCGAGCGAAGCAGAGCGACGCCGTAAAAGCGAACCCGCGCGCCGCCGCGCCGGACGGACGCCCTGCATGCTGCCAGCACGGCCAGCGCCGCCGTCGTCCTGGTCGTCGAGGCGAGTCGTACAGTGTGCTCCGTCCGTCAGTGCAGTTCCGCGTTTTCACGCACTCGACCATAAGGTGTGTGTGTGTTTGTGTGTCCGACTGTCTCTGTCTGTCGCTCTCTGTCGGACAGTCATCAACAGCACCACCGCGGCGCATCCAAGGCCGTCAGTGCCGGCGCTCTCGCGTCCCCAGGCGACAAATTTCCTGGCCACCACCGCCTTCTTGCCTCTTACTTTTGTACACCGCGCCACGTCGGCCACGTCGCTGCCGGAAAGACGAGGACCTCATCGTCGCGCCCCCCGAGGCCGAGGCCGAAGCCGAGGCCGCGCGCCGGCTGCCTTGGCCCTGCCTTGGCCGCGGGGCAAGAAGGGGCTTCCCTCCCTCGGCCACGTCTGACGCCGAGCAGCGCCCGGTTTCTCCGTCCCTCTCGCACCACCGCGGGACTGTGGGCCGCCCCACGAGTGCGAGAGGGAGAGAAGCAGCCGAAGCGGCGCCGTTCGGCACCACCCTGCCTGCAGGCCGTCGACGGGCTGCGTCCGGGACCGGCGGGGACCGACGGGGACCCCATCCGCCGGCACGTCGTCGTCGCGCTACCGATCCCCCGCGCACCTTGTCCAAATAACGGTGGCGTTATTTGGAAGAGAGGGAGGGAGAGAGAGGGAGGGAGCGAGGTCCCAGAGGAAGGCGTCGCGACGGCCCGGCGCGGCGGCGCGGCGGCGGTCAGGGTTGAGGCTGCGTAGGCTGCGCAGCCTGCGTGCGTCCGGCGGCCGGGCCGGGCCGGCCGGACGACGGAACTTGAGGGTCACTCTTGGCGCGGTGGCGGGGGCCTGCCTGCTTGCCGACCCGCCTGCCTACCTCCCAGGCGGCGGTGCCCAGTATCTCATTATTTCCACGAGTGGCGGCACGGCGGCACGGCGGCTCTGCGCCCTTGGGGCGTCTGGCGCGTCAAAGCGCGTGAGAATAGAATAAGACGAGGTCCCCGCCGGAGGTCCCCGTCGGCCCGGCAGCCCGGCGGTGCTGGAGTCGCGAGCTGATTGTCACCGCACTGCTCGGCGGCTCGGCGGCGCCGCGCTGCCGGACGGCTGATAATGACCTGGCCTTGGCCGGCCTTGGCGCGGTTTGATTACCTGCCGAGAAGTAACCGCGGCAACGACAGCGACGCGGCGGACGCGGCTCAGTGACAATGCCGCGAGCCCGCGAGCGATTAGCACAGTGCGCCGCCGCGCTCCGTCTCCCTCGCACTCGTGCACCGCCCCGCAAGGGCGCGAGAGAGACGGAGCGCCGTTTGGAATGAGCCCGACCAGGCCTCCGACTGAACAGGATTTGCTCCACAGTTGCGGTCCTTTTCCCCGGCCTGATCGTCCTCCTGGTTAGCGGTTAATAGTTAATGCGGCCTGCTCTTCGTTTGATTAATCCTGCTTCCCTTTTAATGCGTCCCCGGTCCGTTTCTCGGGCGACAGCTACACTGCTCACCGCCATGCGTCACTCAGGTTGGCGCGGTCCGAAACGCGGTGGTCTTCGCGGTGGCGCCGCGCCTCCGCGCCTCCGCGTCGAGGGCGTCTGTGGCGGTCTTGGTGGCGGTCCGGCCCCGCCGGAAGGGGCGAGTGGAAAATGCGAGGCAAAATGGCCCACCGCCGCTCCCTCGAGGGCCCGTCGTTCTCCGTTCTCCGAGCTTGTCCGGGTCACTGGCAGCCTCAGCCTCCTCGGCTCCATTCTACTCCTATGATGAAAAGAAGGAGGGGAAAAAAGGCGCCGATTTTCCGGAAGTCGACAGCAGCAGCAGCGTCCGCCCAGCGCGTTCGGCGACGGCGGCGGGGCCTCAGCAACTTAACGAAATTACTCAAGTTTAGGGCGCCGTCGTCGGGCGGCCGACGGGTCGGAAAAAATAAGGTCCGGAATGAGAAAATCGGCTTTCTTGGACGCCGCCACCGGTTGTTTAGTATTTAGGGTGTCGTGAAAAGAGGGTTCAAAGTGGGTGCGTGGTGGGCGTCAGGGAGGCGTGCCTTGTCACCGCGTGCTGCCGCGGCCAGCGCGTGCTGCGGTCCCCCGCCGCCCCCACCCACGGCGTCGTCCAGGCCGCCTGGCCGCCCGCCGCCACGGCCGCCGAGGATCGCCTGCTGGCGCCGGAAACGGAACGTGTCCCAGTGCCCCGCTGCAGGAGCGCCACAGGAGGGGAGGGGAGGGGGGCGGAGGGGCGGATGCAGAGTGACCAGGAGGAGGCCAACCTTGCGGGCGATGGCGTTTTGGCCGCGCGAGCCGCGCGAGGCTCGGCCGTCGGCTTGGCTTCCCTTTCTCACACCGCCTTAGTTTGCATTCGAGCTTCGGGCGGAGAGGCAGGCGAGGCAGGCCAACGCGTGAACTCACGTACCTCTGCCTTTAACGCGCGCGAGGGCAGCAACGCAGCGACGCACTGATAGCATAGCCATGGCGGCGCGTCGTCGGTGTGAGTGCAGTGCAGTGTAGTGTCCTAGCAGTGCCGCGACCGCCGACATATTGGCGCCCCATCGCGTGTGTGCGTGCGTGCGTGCGTGTGCCGAGAGGGGACTGCGCTCTCTCTTTTCATCGTGGAAATCAAAGTGGAGCCACCGCCGCGCCGCGCGACGTGTTATTGGCTCGGTGATTGAATGTGTACAAATAGGAGATATAAAGCAAACAGCGAGCACCGGCAATCAGAGAGGCACCCGCGTGTGTGTGCGTGTGAGTGTGTGCCATCCCGCGTCATCCCCAGGGGGTCGTGCCGACTGCTTCTTACTGGCGGAGGTGGTATTGGGACCTCCAGCACCATCAGCAGCACGGCGCCGCTCCTTGCAGCAGCACTTGTTGTTGTTTTTGTTGAAGTTGGTGGCGATGATCCTCGCCGCCACGGCCGCCACGGCCGCAACGCCGTCGCGAACTTGCAAAGGAATGTAGCGGAGGGTGCCTTCGCTCTTGCCACCTGGGTGCGCCTGGGAGGGAATGTGTCAGGCGGCGGCCAACTTGCACAAACTCACTCGCATCACGCACACACACACGCACACACACACACACACACCACACACACACACACACGCACACACACACACACACACACACGCACACACACGCACACACACGCACACACACACACACACACGCGCATACACACTCACACACCGGGGCGCACACTCACGCACACGGAGACGCAGTGCGTTGCAATGCGAGAACCGTCACGCGGGCTCGGGTTCGAATACCGGCACCGCCATTCTCCGTGGGCCCGATGCGCTTTTGTGGGCTGGATGGCCTGGACGGCCTGGACGGCAGCGCGGTCGGATTGTGCAACAAAACGACGTGGCTGTCATCCAGCCCGTCCAGCAGACCGTCCAGCAGACCGGAGGGCCGGACTCGGATCATCCGTTGCGATGCACGGACACAGCGTGGGAACACGCACACACACACCCACCCACACACGTGGGCCGGGTGCCACTTGGATGTCACATGGTGTGCTGGCGTGGAGGGGAGGGGAGGGTCGTGACAGGGCGGTGGCGCCGGTGGACGCGGTGTTAGGAAACGCGCCCCTGGTTCGGCCGTGAGCTTATTGTGTGGCAAGCATCAAAGGATCAAGGATCACCAGGTCAGCATTCAACTCCAGCCAAAGGCCTGCGAGGCGACTGGCTGCAAGGGTTCGGCGCGCGGCCCTGCTGCGACTGCGGTGCCGTGCCGCGGGGCGCGGGGCCAGCCACCCGAGTCCGAACGGCGGTCTTTGTCGCCTTGTCTTTGTCGCACTCGCGGGTCGGCCGGTCGGAGCCGTTCGGCCGGCCGGGCAGGGCTACGTCTCGTACCACTGCTTTGCAAACAATGTTTCGTCCCGCAATTAAAATGGTCCCAGTGTTGCGTCCGCGGCGCGGCGGCGGCGCGGCGGCGGCGCGTCCTGCTGCAGGCCATGTAGCGCCTCATTACGTGCGCCCGGTCGGCCGCGACGACGGCGACGTCCACGACGGCGACGTCCGCGACGTCCGCGATGACGCCGCCAGGACGGCGGTCCTCTTCTCCTGCTGCGCGGCCCGCGTCGGCCCGCGTTCCGTTTCCTGGCCCAGTGTGCCCCGCTGGCCCGCTGCCGACGCGAGGCGCGCGGCCCCGCCATGGCCTTCCCACGCCCCCGCCGCCGGCCGCCGAGCCGCCGACGGCGCACTCCGAAGAGAAGCCCGGCGCGGCCGCCGTCGAGGTGCATCGCGCACCGCGGCGCACCGCGCACCGTGACGTAACCATCTCTTGGTTTCGGCGCGCGGCCTGCTCCCTCTCTCTCGCACGGCCGGGGCACGCCTCGAAGGTGCGAGAGGTGTGCTCGCGAGAGACTCCCCCGCCGACGGCTGACGCTGCGCTGACGGCATGCTGACGCGCTGAGGGCGGCGGGGCGTGGTCGCCGCCCACCGGTATCAGTTCGTTAGCGGGAACACCGGCACGGCAGACTGATTCAGGGGGCCGTTTTCGTCCCACTGTCTCTCTCGCACTTATGGGGCGCCCCGTATTGGTGCGAAAGAGACAGAGCGACGAAAACGACTCTCAGCCTGCTGGGATCGATGCTCCCACCCCTCTTTCCTCCGCCTTGGCATTATTGTCCAGCGCCAATGATTTGGCGGGGCGCGGCGGTAAGAAAACTAAGTTGTTAGCGTCGGCCCCCGCGCCGCTCCCACGCCGAGGCCCCCGATGAGCCATTCGCTGTTCCAGCAGCACTACTTCCGGTCTGGCAGTGTGCCCTCCAGGCGAGCCTCCAGGAGGCGGTGGAGACGTCGCCGCCTCCAGGGAGTGACGCGTGAGCTGACTTCGTCGCCGTCCCCTGGCGGCCGGCAGCCTGCGCCGCTCCGTCTCTCTCGCACCGCTACGAAGCGCCGCTACGAAGCGCCCCATGAGTGCGAGAGAGACGGAGCTGCTGGGCGTCCAATCAGCGACGACGGCGCCATATCGGCGACCCGGCAGACTCCCCGTACCGCCAATCGCCCGCCCCGGCATGGCCGGGCACGGCCGGGCATGGCCCCGGGCTGCGCTGTGTTTGTGTTTCAAAGTCCCACCGCGGTGTTACGTAGAATGTGGACGAACGGCCGTGTCGATGGCGCTTAAATGTGGCTCTCGTGGACTCGGACCTGGACTCCCCCGCCCCGCGTGGCTCCGGGGACGGCCCCGAAGGCCCGAAGGCCGCCCGCCGGGCTGCCCACCTTCTTCGACACGTCCGAGTCCATTTCGCAACTCAACGCGTTCTGTTGACTCTGACAGACAACTGAGTCTCCCTCTCCCCCTTTTTCCTCTTTCCAACCGTGTCTCCAATTCCTGTCGCCCCGACAGGACACGGCAGGACGCGGCAGGACACGGCAAGACGCCATGCGACGCTGCCCCGCGACCTGATCTGACGGAAGGACGGGACAAATAGAAAGACACTGCGAGACTGCGCGGCAGGAGAGAGACATGCGGGGACAGGCGCTGCTGCTGCTGCTGCCGCTGCTGGCCGAGGCGCACATCCACGGCCACCCGCCGCTGGACGACGAGCCCCTCATCATCGTGGAGGACGCCGACGGTGAGAACCCGCGCGCCGCCCGGCATGGCGACGCCATTCGTCCTCGTCTTCTGGTTTTTCAATCTTCTCGGTTCGGCGCGCTGGGCGCGCTGGGCGCCTCGAGTTTCGAGTTTCCAGTGTCGAGTGTGATTCACGGTCGCCCAATTTCTCATCTTCGAGTGCAAGCGGACACGGGCCGCCCGCCCGGGCCGTACCGCCACCCTGCTTTGCAAACAATGGCCGCCGGCAGTCTGATTCCGGAGCGGCGCGCCGTCGCCCCGTCTCCCTCGCACAGTGTCCCCCACGGAGCGGCCCGCGAGTGCGAGGCAGACGGAGCGACCGGCCCGCAGTGCCGCAGTGCAGTCTGCCGCCTCGTTGCAACGCCTTTTCTTTTGCAGTGTGCTTCCGGCGGGTGCTGGCCGGCGGCCGCCTCCACGAGCAGCTCATCCGGCGCTCCCTGCCGGCCGACCACGTGGACCGCTGCCAGCACGCGTGCAAGGTCGAGGACCACTTCACCTGCGAGGGGTTCAACTACCGGTAAGGCATCCCGCTACGACCGGTGGACGCGCCCAAAACTCTAGACGCATTTTGAGCTCCAGCGTCGCTAAAAAGGACTCAAACCGGATATCTGACCCCACCGATGGATTCCTCTTTCGAAGAGGAATTCATTGGTGGGGGTCACACGTTCCATTCGAATCCCATTTAGCGACTCTGGCTGGAGCTGAAACCCCGTCCGGGATTTTGACCGCCTCCACCGGTCTTCGCGCCCACCTTGCGGTCCCGCCCCCGCACGCCGCGCTCTGTCTCTCTCGCACCCCTACGCGTGAGCCCCATGCGAGCGAGAGAGACAGAGCACCGCTCGGGACGGAGCTATGCCGTCAAGATCCTCTTCCTTCCTCGCGCCGGGGTTTCGGAGCCACAAATATTGGGCAAGCTGCTCTGGCATAACATGAGCGCGGAGCGGCCGGGACGACTTCCGGGAAACGGCCAATGAGAGCAACGCAACGAGATGGGCCACGGATTATACACGACGGGGAGATTAGTAGCTCAACCCGGACAACGGCCGGCCATTGAATAAATTCATCCGATTGTCTGCCGAATTCACCGTCCATTCATTCAATTACAGCCATTAGAATCCAATGGATTCATATTCATGTCATCCATTCACCCGAATTTCATTGAATCTGATCCGCTGTTCAGTCATCCCCCAATTCGTCCGTTGGCCCCAGCCCCCTGCAGCCCCCGGCCACTCTAAGCATTCATTTTCATTCATGGCCACGTGGTTTTTCCTTTGGACTCTTTCTTTCTTTCTCTCTCTCTCTCTCTCTCTCTCTCTCTCTCTCTCTCTCTCTCTCTCTCTCTCTCTCTCTCTCTCTCTCTCTCTCTCTCTCTCTCTCTCTCGGGCTTTCGCCTTCGTGGACGCGCTGAATAGGGTGAGCGGCCACTGCGAAGGGCTTTCGACCTGCGGGCCTACGCCGGCCTACGCCGCCGGCCCTCGCCCTGAAAAGACTAAAAACCTCTCTGCTCAAGTCTCGGCCGGGCCATGCCGGGCCTTCCCCTCCCCCTTTTACACCTGAGTTTCGCTCTCCTTTATTCCTGACATCACGAAGTGGTGCGAAACGTGGGTGGACGCCTGGACGGCTGGAGTGTCGCCTATTGTGGTGCCGAGAGAGAAAGTGACCGGGGCGTGGCGGGGCGAGGCGGGGTGGGGCGGGGTGGGCGCGAGGCTGGAAATGAATCGGATCGCCGCGCGCTCCGCGCTCCGCTCCACACATGGCAGGGCAGCCCACACGCGCGCAGCCATCCGCAGAGATATGCGCGCCGCGCCTTTTGCTCATTTTCTGACTCTCAAAAAGGGGCGTCCAGGCAAGCCAGCCGAGCGATTCAGAAGAGTCGTCTCGTCGCTCTGTCTCTGTCGCACTCGAGGGGCTCCCCGTACGGGTGCGAGAGGGACAGAGCATGTGGCTATCGGCAGGCAGGCAGTCTTTGGCCTTCGCTTCCCTCCCCGCCTTTATTTCCTTCCCTCCGAACTTTGAGGCGCGGCATCTCCCTCCCTCTGGCCGCCGCGCCGCCGCCGCGGGCGCCGACAGTGCCGAGGAGAGGTGGGGTGCGTCGCTGGTCGTCCAGCTGCCTCTTTCCGAACGGCGTGGTTCGTCGCTCTGTCTCTGTCGCACCTCTGCGCACCTCTGCGCAACGGCCCACGGGTGCGAGAGGGACGGAGCGACGAAAGCAACCGCTCGGAAAGAGCCCTCAGGGCGTGTTATGTCGGTCGGGCGACTCGCTGCGTAGTATGTCCGTGTGTGCGCCACGCCACGCCACGCCACGGCACGCCACGGCCACGCCACCGCGTCGCCACACCGATGGGCTATTTAGTTCGCCTCGCGCCTGACGGGAGCGAAGGCGCGAAGGCGCGGGCGAGAGCGCCTTGGGGAGTGGTGGGGGGATGCGTTCGGTGCCTTCGGCTGGGCCAGTTCGGGTCTCGGGTCCAGCCGAAGGCAGTCGAAGCCCGAACCGATCCCCCCACCACTCCCCAAGGCGCTCTCGCCCGCGCCTTCGCGCCTTCGCTCCCGTCAGGCGCGAGGCGAACTAAATAGCCCACGAGACGGTCAAGACGACGTGGCGGCCTGGCCGCGGCCTGGCCGGGGCCTGGCGGGGTGGACAGGCCTACCCCCGTGTCGCTTCGCCGGCGTCGCCTCGCCATGACCTCATGGACGAAAACACGCCCTGGCAGCGCGTGACTGGCGCGTGGAGGGGAGGGGGTGGGGTGGCGGTCCACGTGGCGCCCGAGGCTCTTTTATTTGGCGACCGGGGCGCGGCCGCGTGCGGGTCGGGTCCAGAGGACGGGCATGCTAAATGAAACGCTGTGCGGACGCGCGTGGGGCGTGGGCTCTAGTAGACTCAATCGGAACAGCACTTGGTGCTTCATCGTTCTGTCTCTCTCTGTCATGCCGGTAGAGAGAAAGAGCACGGTTCGGAATCAGCCTGCAGTCTGGACAGCCCGTCCGGACGGGTTCGAGGAGTTTACATCTCGTCAACAGATTCGGACAATGGGTCCTGATTTGAATGCCTGATTCCAGTTTTTGCTGCTCTGTTGAGCGCGCGGCTCTGCCATCTCTCTCTTTCTTTCCCTCCTCTCGTCCGTCCGGATAGAGGATGCCCACCTGTCTGCCGGCGTCACGTTCCGGACTCGGAGGACTCTGCGGACCCGGAGTCCGGCTTGCCGGACGACTGACCCATCGGTTCGGCCTTGTTGCAGCCCCAACGTGGGCAGCTGCGAGCTGACGGCGGTGCCGCTGTCACTGCTGGAGGCCAGCAGGGACTCGCGCGCGGACCGCGACTACGACTACTACGCCCGCGACCGCAACGCCCAGCCGCCGCACTGCCCCGCCGACGGCCTCAGCGGCCCCGGGCCCATGTGGGGCCCCGGCTGGGGCGCCACGGGCACGGCCTGGGCGTCCTCGGGGACGCCGTCGGCGCCCTCCGCCTGGAGCGGCGGCAACAATCTGGGCTCTGGGTACGCCCCCGGGTACGCCTCGGGGTACGCCTCGTCGGGGTACGCCCCCGGGTACGGGGGCGCGGCGGGCGCGGCGGGCCAGCATAGCGAGGTGGGCTTCTACGGCGCCACGGCCTCCGGGAGTGGCGCTTCGGGCACGACGAACAGGTGAGTGAGGGCCTTGACTGCAGCAGCAACCTGACGAAGCTCTCTCTGTCTCTGTCGCTCCCATGCGGTGCTTCGCAGGGGTGCGAGGACTAAAGTGATGCAACCACCCTTCTGAGTCAGCATCCAGGCCGGGCGTCCACAATCCACTGACCTCTGGTTTCAGGAACGACTACGGCTACCACAGTAACGAGGTGGACTACCACGGCCACGGCATCGCCAAGCCCGGCAAGCACATGTACGACGGCTACGGGCTGCTCGGCGGCGCGCAGGGCGCCGGACAGAGCCCCGCCTGGGGCTACGGAGGTGGCTACGCGGGTGGGTACGCCGGTGGCTACGCCGGTGGCTACGCGGGCGGCTACGGCGGTGGTTACGGTTACGACCTGCCGCCCAGCTACATCACGCCGCCCCCGCCCCCGGCCCCGCTGCCGCCCCCAGCGGGTGCACCGCCGCCCGTCGGACACCCACCTGTTGGCGACGGTAAGTTAGGGGACAAGAAAACTTCGCCTACAAGATTACCAGTGGAGGTCTCTCTCTCTCACTCATGAGGCGAGTGCACGAGAGAGACAGGCTGACGAGAGCATTCTTTCGCCGCACTGCCGCCTTTGTGCGACAAGGCCGTGGTGTCCGCCCTCTGACTGACGGCCTCCTTGTCCACGCTGTCCGCAGGCTGCTTCGTCCGCGCGCACGGCGGCTTCCGCATGTCGGAGCGCGTGGTGCGCACCACGCTGGCCGCCACCTCGCTGCCACACTGCGAGCGGATGTGCACCGACTCCAGCCAGGTCCGCTGCAACGCCTTCACGTTCCGGTGAGTGCGTCCAAACCGCGACCAAGCCGCGGCATCGCGACGACCGCGACGGTGTCCAAGGCCCCCGTGGCCGTGGCGATGCAGGCCCGCCGCACAGCGCCGCGCCCGGGACTGCCTACCCTCCATTACCATTACCATTAAGGGCTAGACCACAAATGATCGTATGCCATTTCGGGCCCGACACATGCCCGCCTGCACTGCAAAACGAGACATGGCCGTCCTTACTAAGGTGACACTTTATCCTCCGGTGCCCCCCTCCAGGCGCGAACCCGCAATTTGACTTCGCGGGTGGTGCTGCGGCTTCGCGCCTGGAGGGGGGGGGGCACCGGAACCGGTTGTGCTCGCAGAGGCTGTTCCGGGGTGTGGGCCTGCATAACCCCCTCGGGGGGGATGTAGACCTAGCAGCCTCATTCCGAAGATTTCTGTCTCTCTCGGGCTCGTGGGACGCCCCGCAAGGCCCGAAAGGGACGAGGTGGCGGAGGTGGCGCGGCCTACCTCGGCCGCCGGCCTTGCCGCGGGCTCCCCGACGACTTGAAAGCGACAGTGCGAGATTCGGCGCCAACAATATCCCCCGGGACGGCATCGGCAGCCCGCTTCAGTCGCCTCGTCGCGCTGACTCTGCCTCTGTCGCTCTCACGGGGCGGCTCGCGAGAGAGACAGCGTGACGAGGCGACGCGGCGGAATGGCCGGGCTGTCACGGCCGCCTGACAGACGAGGGGTCGAATCCCCGCGGATGACGGAATGGGCCGGGCTGGGCCTTCCCGGGCCTTCCCGCATGGCGCCATGGCCGTCCCTGCTTTAGCCCGCCTCGGGCCGCCCCGCCGCCCCGCCGCCCTCGACTCGGCATGGCGGTTTAAGTCCTAGGCAGGACGCGGAGACAACATGGCCGCCATGTGGGCCATGGGGGTTCCGCGAAGGGCCAAAGGGATGTTCTATCCCGCCGCCAAGGCGTGCCGTGCCATGCCATGCCGTGCCATGCCGTGCCATGCCGTGCCATGCATGGCCGCGGGCAAAGACAAAGGTTATCACAACCGTCATGTACACGGCGGCGCGGCAGCACAGCGGCGTGGCGCACGCCGCAAAGGCGGCAAAGGCAGAGCGCCATTTCTGGAAACTGCCGGCGGAGCGGGGCGGAGCTGCGCCCGGCCGAGCTGATACTGTCCCTGAAGCCTGAAGCCGCCCGAAGCCAGCCGACGGCAAGTTGTCACGAACAGGAGCTGTCGGGGCTCCTCCAACACCAGGCGTGCGAGGGCTGCGGTCGGATTTCTCTGTTATCGTGCCGCAAAGTGCCGCCGTCGAAACAACAGGGAGGATCTGAGACTTACTTTTTGTGGCTGGATTTTTACCAGGTTTAATGCCGCTATAAAAAGACAAATGCTGGAGCCTTGACCAGCACCGCCCCTCTCAGGGTGACATCTCAGGGTGCCCCTTCCCTCCCCGATGTCTCGATCGATGTCTCGATCGATGTCTCGATACCGACCCGCTGCCATTTGGTTTCCAGGTACAACTCGTGGCCGTACAACTGCGACCTGTCGGAGCTGCCGCTGTCCGAGGTGAACGCGTACGCCGAGCTGGTGCCCGACCGCAACGCGGACGTGTTCGGGCGCGCGCCCCGGTGCGCGCCTCCGCCGACCGACTGGGACCACGACGCAGGTAAGGCTGGGCTGGCTGGGCCACCGCAAGCACCGCAAGCACCGCAAGCACCGCAAGCACCGCAAGGCGCCGAGATGACTATTGCCAATTACGGGCTGCGCGGCCAAGTAAGATTAAGGCGCCCCGCCCCGCCGCGCCCCACCCCGACCTACCGCGATCGAGATTTACGGCGGGCAACATGGGCCGTGGCGCAGTTAGGGCCTTCATTTGGAGGCGCGGGTGCGCGGCGGCCGCGCCCACCGCCCCCATCCCCCTCCCCCTGCCTCCCCGCCAGTGTTGGCAGTTTCGGCCAGCCGAACACCCGTCGCGCCGCGGGCCACGGCGTAGGGCGGAGGCCCTGTTGCGTAGTAGTGGACCTGCCGCGAGGCCCGACCCTGTCCCTGGCCCTGTTCCTGCCGGCCCGGCGGACCTTCACTGGCTCGAAAACAACCCTCCAGCAAGCTGCAAGAAGCTTCCAGCGACCTTCCCGCCCGAGGCCAGGCCGCGTCCGATTAGAGGCCCCGCACGGGGCTCCTTGGGGCCTCGGCGGCCTCGCCGGGGAATGCCACGGCCACGCCACGCGCGGGACAAAGGTATCTTTCATCGCAGCAAATTGGGCCGAAAACGCGTCGGAACAAGCATTCATCGAGCTCGCCTCGGAAGGGCTTCAATTACAATGGCTTCCACTGCCACTCTCCCCCGGCGGCGCACGCGCGGAGCAAAGGGGAGGAGGGGAGGAGGGGAGGGGGCTGCGATCCATTATACGGGACGAACGTGCCCCGGCTGGCCATTCCGCCACGAAACTGGCTGACAGGTCTCCGAAAATTACAATTGCCTTTTTTTCGCCGTCCGACCGGACCGTCGTCTTCGTCGTCGCCGTCGTGCTGGTGTGTCGCGGGGGACGCGACCAAGGGCGCCGTCAAGGGCGCAGCAGGGTGGCTGCGGCTGTCGCCAGGCGCCCGAGAAGTCGGAGCTCAGTCAGATCTTCTTACCGCCGCCGCGCCGCGCCGCGCCGCGCCCCGCCCCACACCCCAGCGCCGTGTTCCGATTCGTCTGAATTAAATCACTGTTTACCAGTGCGGTTCCTCCCCCCGCCGCGGAGTGGCCGTGAAGCGTCGTGAAGCGGAGCGAGACAATCTTTGAATGTGGCTGTTTGGAGGACAAGGACGCCGAGGACGCCCACACCGCGCGCCGCGCGCTGCCGAACGTGGGCGTTGTTTTGTTTGCCGGCGATGCGGCGCTTTCTCCTTCGGCCTACCCTCACTCACACTCCCTCTCCCTCTCTCCGTCTCGCGCGCGCCACCCCGACGCGACGACACCTTGCAGGAAGAAGTCTGGCATGCGCTGATGCCGAGCGAGATGTCTCTCTCTCTCTCCCTCTCTCTCTCTCTCTCCCTCTCTCTCTCTCTCTCTCTCTCTCTCTCTCTCTCTCTCTCTCTCTCTCTCTCTCTCTCTCTCTCTATCGCACCCGCGGGGCGTGCCGCGTGGGTGCGAGAGAGAGAGAGAGAAACAGAGAGGTAGTGCCACTGGGAAGCAGCCGGCAGCTTTCCGCCGCGCAGCACGCGCCGAAGAAATAATGACGTTCGAGCCTCGCCACGCTGCCGGCGCTGCCAGGCGGGCTGCTCGCATTCCAGCAAAGGTGACTCGCGCTCTCCGTCTCCGTCCTCTCCGTCTATCGGGGACGCGGGACGCGCGGCGCCGCGTTCGAGTTCATTCTTTGAAGCCCTGCCGGCGCTGCTGTCCTTGCCCCAATTTCTTACTTTGCGCTTCGCGTCGCGAGCGTCGCGAGTTGCGGATCGACAATGAGGCGAGCGTGGCGCTCGGCGCGACAACAGGCAGCCAATTCGTTTGTCATGCAAAGTTGGAGGCGCTGAAGGCAGCACTGCAGTCGCCTTGGAATTACCGTCCTGACGCCGTCCTGACGCGGGGCCGTCTCTCTTCTTTTCCAGAATGCTTCGAGCGCGTGCGCTCCGGCCAGCGCCTCGCCCCCAACGCCGTCAAGGACCTGCTGCACGCGCACGGCCTCGGAGCGTGCCAGACGGCGTGCCTGTCCGCCAGCGCCTATGTGTGCAGAGCCTTCACGTTCAGGTCCGTGATCGAGTGCAGCGAGTGCAGTGTAGTGTCGCTCCGTGCAGCGTGAAGTTGACGCTCGTTTGCAGGTTCGGCCCCGCCGGCCCGGACGGCCCCCCGGAGAACTGCATGCTGTCGGACTGGCCGTCCGACGAGATCCTGCCCTGGAAGGACACGGCGCCAGAGCCCGGCACCGAGATGTACCAGCGCTCCAGCTTCGGCCGCGGCTGCGAGCTGTGGCGGCGGGCGTGGCCGGGCAACGGCGCGGGCGGCGACGGCAGGCCCACCGTCAGGGACCAATGTGAGTGGCGTGGCTCTGTCTCTCTCGCACTCATGGGGCGCCCCGTCAGGGTGCGAGGGGGACAGATCGACGAAAACGCGTCTCGGCATCGGCCTGCCGGACTCGCTGAAAACGAAGAAGCTGTTGCAGACTGCTACGTGGGCTACGGCGGCCCCGCGCGCCTGCTGCCCCCCGCCGTACTGCGGCCGCTGCGCGTGCCCACCGAGCTGGACTGCAAGGCGGAGTGCACGCGGATGTGGGAGGCGGGCCGCGGCCGGCCGGGCGACGCGTCGTGCAGCGCGCTCAGCTTCCGCTCCGAGGACGCCGACGGGCCCAACTGCCTGCTCAGCGAGCTGGCCATGCGCGACCTGCGCCCGGGGCTGGAGCTGCTGCGCGACCCGGCACACTGGCTGTTCGTCTGGAACGACGACGACCCGCGCTGCTTCCGGGGGCACCACGCCGTCGGCCGCCACCGCCAGCCCGGGCCGCCGGGCCGCGACGACGGTGCGAACTGCCAAACAAACTGGTTTTTATTGCTCTGGAAAACAAGAAGCCGAGTCATAGACGAAGCACCGCGTTTTAGTCTCTCCCCAGTGCAGTGACGGGTATGAATGTTGCAGACCTGTGGGGCCGCGAGGAGCAGGCGGGCGTGTGGCGCCGCTTCTCCGTGTCGGGGCAGGCGTGCCGCAGCCTCTGCGCGCCGCACCCCGTGGGCTTCTGGTCCTGCGCCCTGGAGACGGGCGGCTGGGACTACTGCTGCCGGCCGGGCCACTCGTGCGGCTACTCCGAGGGCTACGACTACCCCTGGTGAGTCGCTCTGCCCTTGTCGCACGCCTGGGGCGGTCCGCGTTGGTGGGAGAGAGGCAGAGCGAGAACGCAGGCAGGAGAAAGGCCCGCTCCGCTCGGGCTCGGCGTGTTTGACTTGGCTTGTTTGCCGACGCCACGGCGCGCCGCCCGATACAGTGCAGACTCGGCCACTCTTTAACTTGTCCTAAACTTGGCCGACACTTTGCAGGTGCTACGTCGGCTCCGCGGCGCTGGACCAGTGGCGGCCGTGCTCGGAGCGCTACAAACCGTACCCGGGCGCGGAGCAGGACGCCCGCTACTGGCCCGTGTCCTACCTGCACCCCGCGGGGCCCCCCAACGGCACCAACGCCGCCACCGGCTACGCCCCAGGGTCCCCCTCGCCGCCGAGGGGCGGTGCCGGTGGCAACGTCGGCAACGGGAGCGGTGGGTACGCGCCCCCGCCCTCGCCCACCACCACCACCACGCAGCGGCCCAAGGACCTGCAGTACCCCGCCGTGCCGCGCCACCGGCCGGGCTTCACGCCCGCCGACGACGGCGACGACTCCCGGCGGTGGATGCCGTCGGTGCCCAACCTCCCCTCCAGGACCTCCAAGTTCATCCTGGACCACCCCGAGTACTACAACTACGTGCGGCTCAACGGGTCGGTACTTGGCGATACTGGTTTGCCACTCACACGGCGGCAACGACCTGAAACCTTGCTTTCCAGGCCGAGCGGCAACGGCACAGGGCGACACCCGCCGGCCTCGGGGGTGGGCAAGGACTGCACGACGTCCGCCTCCGCCTCCACGTCGCCGCCCAGCACCACCACGCCCGCGTCCAACAACAGCCACGACGTGGTGCTCATCGGCGGCGACCAGAGCAACAAGGACGCCGTCGACGACGACGACGACTTCCTCAGCGCCGCGGCGGCCATCGTGCGCACCAACACGCCGGCCTCGCCCACCAGCAAGAGCGCCAGGATCGCCCTGGAGGCGACCACAGCCCTCACCCGGCCGCAGGACGACGACGAGGACATCGAGCTGGAAGTGGTGGACGCCGTGGACAGCGCGGGCACCATGGCGTCGCGCAACGGCACGCTGACCGTCAAGGCGCGCAGCGGGCACGCGGACGACGAGGAGGACGCCGAGGAGAGCGGACGCCTGGAGCGGGTCGCGCTGGTGGAGCGCGTGGACCCCAAGCTGGGGCTCAGCCTGGGGCAGGCGCCAATGCACGCCGCGGCGCCGAGGAAGGCCAAGATCACCGTGTTCAGGAGGGCGCGGAACGACGCCAAGGGCTAGGACGGAACCCTCGCGACACACAATCCGTCATTGCAGGATTTTCTCCTTTCTGGCCCGACGGAAACAAAACCAACAAGAACAACAGCTTCGAATACATAAATGATCAGTTCCTCGCCATTTCAGCGCGTGCGCGAAGAGAAGCCTGGTCGGCTCGTGAATTCCGGGAAATCCATTAATGCGCGGACTCTTGGCGTCCTCCAAGGCGTTCGTTAAGGCCTCGGCCTGCGCGAATCCGGTGGCCGCCCTCCGCCCCACCTACCTGCACCGTGTTCCCGTCGGTCGCCGCGCGCCCGGAGGAGCGCGGCCCGAGGACGCCGGGCAAGCCAGGCAAGCCGGGCGCGGCGCTGACTAAAGTTTGGCCTTTGAAACAACTACACCCTCAGCAGGCCTAGGCCCCCTCATCCAGTTGTTGGCCCGGTACCAACAGAGGCACGTGAGAACAAGGAGTACAAAGTGTCGCAGACCTGACGCGCGTGTATGTGTGAGTGCGCGCGCGCATGTGTGCGAGTGTGTGAGTGCATGCGAGTGTGACAGTGTTTTGTTGATTCCCCGGTGTGCTGCGCCGACACTTCCCTGTGATTATTATAATAACTTTACCTAGTTTATATTTTTTACGCAAAGTGGAGGAGGTATGGGACAGAGCGGGATGGAAAAAGATATTTTTTTATTGCGTTGTTTTGTAGAACCTGCGTCCTGTTTGCCACGATACGTACTAACCCCCAACGTGCAAAAACAATGACCTCCCTCTCTCCTCGTGATATTAATTAGAACACACCTGTAACATACCGATATCGATCCCGTGTGTAAACCGCACCCATAGATGATTAAGTTCAATGTATTCTCCTATTAAAACATTACGTCAATTACTCACGTTGTTGTGTTTGCATTTCTGACTGTGCGCGGGCCAAGCCAGCCCACGAGCTTGCTTGTTTAATAAACGTTTCCAAATTCCCTCGGTCACCCCGCCACCGCACTGGTCTTGTCCATTCACGCTGCCGCCACTGGGGCCCGCCCCAGCGCTCCTCATTGTCATGATAGTCATGAACTGGGAGATGTGCGCCACACACACACACACACACACACATACGCACACGTACACGCACACACACGCAAACACACACGCACACCGTGGTATGCGTGGGCGCGACTCGCCGTGGCATTTACATACCAGTTGCTTGCGGGGTCCCCTCATCCCCCTCATCCAGTCACCCCTTTGACCACATGTTGTGCGTCGCCCCGTTTCCCAGCACTCATTCATACCACCAGCACATTATTGGCGCTGACGCGTGTCCCCCCTCTCCCCCAATCGTGCAGAGACAGCGAAATAAAGGCTTCACCGCACTGCCCTCGCAGCGACAATGCGCGTCGCGGCGTGGCGGCCGTCCGATTGGTCCGATTCCAACGCGCCACTCTTTTGTTCGGCCGCTGTGTCGCGCCATTGACGAACTTGGCGCCAAAGTAGTCGTCTGTTTAAATGGGGGCCTCTGTCCCATTGTTAAGACCTCGAAAAAGAAAAGTGCCATTGTGCGCAGTGCTATTGTGCGTGGCGGTCTGGGTGGTCCAGCCAGCGGCAGGTTATTCGAAACTCGCAACGGAATTGGAGATCTCGCCAGGCATGTACGGCCCGATGACGTACAGTCCAACTTCAACTCTTTTCCTCCTCTTTCTCCTCTTCCACTCTTTTTCCCGCCCGATTTCGATTTTCCTTCAATACCCGGCGGGCTTTGCAGCAGCGCCCGACAGACAGACTAAAGAGACAAGGCGTCGAATTCCGCTCCGACTGAGTCGGTCCCGTCAGCGGCAGGGCCCTGCCAGGCCCTGCAGGGGGTCCGCGAGCTCCGCGCTCCACCCGCTCGCCGAGCACGGCGAGGACGCGGCGCGACGCGGGGGGATCCTGTTTTTCTTTGGCTCGGAAATAATACGCGAGCGCGCCGTCCTCGCTCACGGTCCGTTTGGCCAGGCCGGGCGGCGCGCCGCGGACACGGCCGCCGTTCCGAGCATTACCAAAGTTTTATCAGTCTTGGGGGCGGTGGCGGGGCGGGGCGCGTCGTCCACGGGGACGGCATAAACGCGCTGGCCCCTTTCCGGACGACGCCCCAATATGCCGAACGCCGCACGTCGCGACGCGGGGCGGCGACGCCGGCGGAGGGGCCCGCGCGGGGTGAACGGCCACGGCACACCTCGCGGCAGTAAACACGTTCGCCGCGCAGGACAAGACCCCCGCGACGTCCTCGCCCGCCGTCGAGCAGGAAGGCGAAGCAGCTAAGCTCCGCGGCCACCAGGGGATTCATGCAGACAGCCCCGGGCCCCGCCACAACAGACATTCGCACGAAACGCACGTGTGTGTACCCACACACGCACGCGCGCACACTGATACAGGTTTCCTGTGCAAGCGCACGCTCCTCCAACGCTCGACCCGAGAGCGCCTGTGGTGGCGCGGTTAGGCCACCGGCACAACACGCCTGCCCCGCGGGCCTGTCTACGCACGCTCGCCGGGCGCTCTGCCGCGCGCGGCGTGCTTCGCTCGCTGGGGAGCTCCGCCCCCTCCCTCTGCCGCGGCCCACGGTGGTGGCTCACGGCGCGAAAACAGCTCTCAGCACAGCACGCCGTGAATGGGCTGACAGGAAAGGCGAGTTGAAGAGGGGGAGGGGGAGGAAAACCACCGACGACAACAACACAGGATATCCAGACAGACCGCAATGCGCAATGTCCACCTGTTTGTGACACGCTTTCAGCTCGCGCATGTTCGCGCCACTGTTCGGGGAAAACTGGCCTATAATTATTTCATTTTTACAGTGCCAATTAAGGCGAGGTGGGCCAGGTGCGTACCGGGGACTGCTCAATCATTCACGAGCCCGTCGGGGCCGCGGGGCCGCGCGGTGGCGCCGACCTAAGCCGACAGAGGGCGCGTTGCCTTGCAGGGGCACAAATGGTCGCTGAGGAAACTATTGTTCGGCGCCTCCGGCCTGCCTCCGGCCGGGCAGGGCCTTGGCCAAGGCCTCGACCAGGTCGCCACCCCACCTGTGAGCTTTAGGCCGGGCGATTACTGCAGACGATTCGCTCAATATTTCAGCGGGACCGCGCCGGGGGCACAATACAATCTCCGAGTCTCACCCACCCAGCGGACTGCCTCCTCCGAGCTGTGCCTCACCGCCGTGCTCACGCCCTTGCGGGGCACCTCGCGAGCGCAAGAGAGACAGAGCTACGACAGCCCTGCTCGGAATGAGAGGCCAGGCCGTGTGACTGTGACGCGGCAAATCCGCGCTGAGCCGCGCTGAGCGCCTTGTTCGAGGGAGTGACCGTTGCTGACCGCTTCCTTTTGTTTCAACCGTATCGAGCCGAGAGGGCGATGGGGATGGGGCCGCGGGGCCGCGGGGCGAGGCGAGCCCATTTTCCCAGAAGCCCCCGCGGCGTCAGCACATTCTCGCTCATTATTTGGCCATCAGAGCACTGCCGCTGCGCCGCGCTGCTCTCATTCCCTGCCGTTCTCCATTTTCCCGGAATCGGCGTTTTGCCTTGCTCGCCGGCTGCGAAGTTCAACGAAGCTCGGTGAAGCTCGGCGAAGCCCCCGCTCCTCGCCTCGCGCGGGACCATGCGCCGCGGCCGCGGGCTGGGCCTTCTTTGTCCCTCGCGTGCTCGGGCTGCGTAAACAAAATGCCAGAGTCTATTATCGTAAACAGACAAAGTTCCCGGGAAGTACGAAGTCCCGTGATTAAAAAGAAAGCTTTCTCAAAATAATGTCTGTTTCTAAACCGACGCAGCCCGCGAGGCACTCAAAGAATTTCCGACACTCAGAACATCAAAAAACAGCAACTTGTTTGCCAGCACACGGGTGTGTGTTTAAATGGAATGGTGTTTAACTCATGACGGTATTGGTTTTCCGGGCACATTCATCTAGACACTGACCGTGTGGCCGATGGCGCCGGGAAGTCCACTGACTCACATCGGGACATTTCGAGCGGACGGTCGGCGGGCCATCCCGAGTTCACTCGGCGGAGACCCCGCCCCAACCCACCGCACCCCGCGCTGCCCGGCCCTGCCGCCCTGCCACAGTCTGCCTTTGGCTGCTCGTTGTCAATCCTTTATGTCTGTCCGACACTTCCGCAAACGTCTGCGCTATCGAGTCCCCCTCGGCCCCCTCCCTCTCTCCCGCCTGTCCGTCCGGAACAACTCGAATCTGTTTCCTCGCTCGACCGATATAAATTATTATGTCCCCCATTCCGCATCGCGTGCTGCGGACGATGCTTCAAAGGCGGAGAGGACGCCACCGCGACGACCGCCAGCACCACCGCCTGCCCGGGGAAATACGTGGGACGTGGCTGGCGGTGCACCTGCTTGTAGAGCACCAGGAGCACGAGCACCAGCCCCCAGGGAACTCCCAGGGGGTCCCGTTGCCGTGCCGCGTTGCCGCGTTGCCACCACCGGCGCGTTTCTCGCGTCGCCGAGCGCCGCGCGCCGTGCCGTTGCGGTAGGTGGCTTTCCCCGCTGGTTCGCTGGTTGGCGCCGTCGCCGCCAGGGGGCGCCCCACCCCTCCCCGATGACGTGCGAAGCAGCAGGCAGGCCGGGGCTGGCGCAGGCTGGGGGTTGTTTACATGGCCGGGTGGGGGGTGAGCGCGGCCGGCGGTGGCGGCGCCAGGGCAGGCCACAGTGACGGTGCCACAGTCGACCGGCTGCCGGCCCCAGGTCCAACCCGCTGCTCCGCTCCGCCGCCCCGGCCGCCCCGGCCACCACAGCGAGTCGCGTGCCACCCGACGACCCGTCCGACGACCCGTCGGCCCCTGTCGCCCGCGCGTCCACCGTACCCAGTCAGGGTGGGGTGTCCTCACAGCACGCTGCCCGCCAACGCCGACACCACCACGAAGAAGAACAAGCGTGGTGAGTGGTGCTGCCCAGGGCGCCGCCCGCCCCAGCGCTGCAAATTAATTTACCGTGACGGCGCTGATTGACATTGTTACCGCCCGCCACCGCCGCCACCGCCACCACTGCCGCCCCGGGCACGGTGTCAATCAGTAGGGCCGGGCTGGAGAGCGCGGCGGTGAGCTCCGCGGGCGGAAGGCGGGACTCAACTTTTTCAATTAATTTAGCACTGCACCAGGCGAGTCTGCCAAGGGCTTGTCCTAATTGTGGCACGGCGCTGGCGGTGACCCATTTCCAGGTGCGCGTCGGCGGCTTACGTTGTTGGCGCGATGCGTGTAGCGATAGCCGCGAGCACGTCGTTAGCGCCCCGGGCGCGGTGGCCTGGCGCGGTGCAGTGGGGCGCAGGCACTGCCGCCAGCACTCGCGCCAGCATTAACCCAGAAGCAGCCGACCCATTGCCCTCGACGCGACCCAGCCCGACCCTCAGCGACCCTTGACCCCGCCAGGTCTTTGTTGGCGTCGGCCTGGCTGCGCTGCCACGCCATTGTTCCCCGCGCGCCACGCCCGGTGCACCTGACAGTCTCGAGCCCTTGTCGTCGACGCGGAGGCCTCCGAGTGGCGGCAAGTGCGCCACCGCGCGGCGCGCACAAAAGCCACAGGCCGACCCTTCGATGGCTCCCTCCGACCCTACGAGGCCTCGACGCGTGCCTTTCAACAACGGCCCCAGTGGAAACACCTCCACGACGACCGCCATTTTACTGGTGGCGCGAACCTCTGGGTTTGGGTCGCGGTCGCCGCTGCCCTGACCCGACGGCAGGACAGCAGCAGTCTCGGCGGGGCGAGTCTGGACCGAACCGGCGGGCCCTCGAACTAGGTCAACGGCGCGGAACAGCAACGCCGCGTCCCATTTCACGGAGTCGAAAACGGCCAACTCCACACGCGAGTCAACGTCAGACGGCGTCTGCCGTCAACGTCGTCCGTGACGACGTCCCCGA